TAAAAAAACACAGCAAAATTTTCTAATTATTAGATGATTTTACCCTAATGGTTCACAGAATATATGAAGGCAGATGGATGCTTATCAGGTTACAGTTTTGAGAGCCATAAAAACTCTCTCTATATTCAAAGTTTCTTGTGATTTCAACTTTAGAAGGCGGTCAGGGAACGCCACCAGGACAGCACAGCAATCCTTCCAGTCACAGCATGGAACAAGTCCAAATATGCACATAATTAAAATGAAAAGAGTCCAATGTCTTCTCTCAGGACTGGTGATGATGAGAAACAGGACCTGACAACACAAGATCTATTACTGCCTTTAGAGCAGCAGTACCTTCTATGCCTCACAAATGTAATTGTGTCAAGATTGCAAAGACAAAGATAAGCCTTAACACTGACAATCATGTAAGTGGTTGTCAGCATTCACTGATGAAAACCTAAATCACATATCAGCATCCTCAGCCCTACAGATTTCATTTGTCAAGTGAGCTTGAAGCCTTCTCTTTCAATCCACAAATTCTTCACTTAGGCAGACTCCAGGTTTCCATGAATCTTCTGAAAGACAATACTAAATTCTGAACAGAGAACGAGGTCCAGAATTCTCTGATACGTTTTCTGAGGATTAACAACTTCACCACAGCATTAAGCCTATTCACACACCAGAATACGTGAAAGGCCTTCAAAAAGTTTTTCGCAAATCAAAACAAAACAAAAACAAGAAAAACCACCAGAAAAAGCAGGTATTCTCCACTGAATTAACTGTTGCAGGTATTAAACACAAATGAAAATCATCCGGTCTAATATTTAATTTCTTCTCGCTTCTGCAAGACTAAAACATCTTTCTACTAATATATGTACATACTCAATAAATGTAGCTGCTGTGAAACTTGTAAGGACAAAGAGCTACACATCATTTTTCAGTGACACATTTTGAAATAGAATAATATATATTTTTTAAATTATTTGTATAGAGAAAGAAAGGAATGTTATCCTTTACACTTCTAATTCCATTACTGGCTCACTATCCTCAATGATTAAGACCACCAAAAGTAATTAAATTTTTCTTACTATACTGCCAGTTAAATCATAGAACTGAACTCTGAAGGTCTTAACGTGATAAGGAGTTAGAATAAAGCCTCAGAATATAAATGGTAAAATGAAAATATAGCAAAGTTGTGTTTTGGCCAGTAACTATGTAATTTTGCTTAAAAAGATTAAGACTTTCTGCTTTATAAAACAAAACAAAACAAAACCAACAAAAATAAGATACTGGAAAAGTTATGTAGCATTTGTACCATGGAACACTAGGATGAAATAACAGAATTACTGATAACACTTTATTGAAGAATAGATTTAAAGCCTCAGGAAATTGCTTTAGTGAAAGGCAAAAAAAAAAAAAAAAGAGAGAGAGACTGTTATGATTAAAACCCAATGCTGAGAAAATATTTGAGACATCATTTAAAAGTCATAGAAAGAAGACTGTTAGTTGTTCTGCACTTTACTTATTGGTCAGTATGGCAATGAGAACATACCATGTCTCTAACTACAATTATAGTTTACATAAGAAAAATACTGAGATTGGATCTGCATTGTAGAGTTGGTTATTCATGCATAACATTTTCATAAATCAACACAGTTTAGAGGTGTGCCTTTTTGCTGTTTCTGGTGTAGATTTTGGGGTAGAATGTAAAATGACCCTCTTTGCTAACGTGACCCTCTTTGCTAACAAATGGGATATAAGGTATTATTCTAAGGTCTGGTGTTTTTTGTTTGTTTGTTTTGTTTGATTGCTTGCTTTTTAAATTGCCAGTAAATACCAAAAGATCAGCCTAAAATTCAGTAGTCATGTCAATATGGGCACTTACTGCAGTCGAATAGGCATGCCAATACGCGTACTTACTGCACTCCTTTAAATAATAAATCACATTATTTTCAAGAAGAATGTAATTGTATTGTGCATTCTATGTACTGTTCATAATTACTGGTAGAAATGAAGTTTACATCTCATTATGCAAGAGTACCTTAAACCACTTGGTTGCATAAAACTCTGTTCTATAAAAAAGGGGGTCACTTAAAGACAGCCACTTAATTAAACCCATTGGTTATGTCGCTGAAAAGCTTAACACAACAACCATTTAATGAAATCAGAGAAAACTAAGAAAGTTGAAGCTTTCTTGCGGGAAGAGGAAAAAAAAAAAAAAGAAAGTAGAAAAGACAGGTTTGATAAGAACTATAATAGCTTGTAATAATAGCTTGTATTCCTTATTATAGCTGCATAATAGTGAATGAAACGTTTACCATAGCTTACAGTCTAATAGACAGTCTTACTGGCCTTTTGTTTTGTACTGGCTTGTGTTCCCTGTGTTCATAGCTTTAGCCATTGCACAATTTCTCACTTAACTTCTCACTTAAAGGAAGGTCACTTCTTTATCACCAGTCACAAAAGTAATGGCTTCTTGACTAATTAGGGATTATGGCAAGGAATGGGAGAAAGGAAAACAAAGGGATAGAAACCATTAGCTACAACCTAGAACTAATAGTAACTTGTACTGTTTTTGCTCTGGAAACACACACATATACTGAGACAGATGAAGTAAGACAGTCAAAACATTTCTACATGTTATATCCATGGAAACCACCAACTTGTCTGTTTGGTGAAACATGGAGGTACGTTAGGACGCTACTTCTCTGTTCTTTAACATCTGGAGCCATTATCTGAATTCCACTTGACATTTTAGCCTTTTCATTCTTTGCTAATATACAGTGCTATGAAAAAAGTAACTTATTTCAAGGTTATAATAACCCTTACATGAGTTTTTACATGCTCCAACTCATTATCTTTTGGCTTATAAAGAAAAACATTTTTATTTTCCGTTACTTTTTGCCTGAGTTATATATATATATATATATTACACTGGGATTGAACTACTTACTAGGCCAGTTCTGATGATCTAAAGCTACTAAAGCCCATAGGATGATGTTCCAAGGCAATGGTGATAAATCTGTGGTATGTAGTCTTCTTACATACCAAAATTTTTACTTAGCAAAGAACAATTTACATTCTGTGTATTTTTAAGAGGAGATTTAAGACAGGTACTCAAAGTGCAATTGAAAGAACTCTGAGTCTTTCCAAAATCAGTCTCTATTACGTTTTAGCATGCAGTCTATTCCCAACACATAGTTCCATATGCTTGATTGCACCGAAATACATAGATCATGAGGCTATTCTAACTAAATACTTTTTCACAAAATCTGTCATTACTAACTTGACAAAGTATATATATATATATATATATATATATATATATATATTTTTTTTTTCATTTCATACCAATTTCCAAATTGGTAATGAAAAGTGGTTAAAATTGTCCAACAAGAACTAATTCCTGAGAGCTCACTTTCTGATGGTTCTCCAGCAATGAATGAATAATAATAATAAAAAATTCTCCAGTTTTTCAATCTGCTTAGCTTATTATTTTTGTTCCAGTCAAGTATATTGTTTTGGTTTTGGTCAAGATGTCATACTAGGAGAAAGATAAACATATTGTATTCTTCCTTATATCTTAAATCTGTAATATTGTCAAATATTTAATAAGCCTATTTAACAAGATCTATTTTTACAATAAAATATGTTCAGTGGCATTGACTTTTACATTTTAAATCCTTGTTAACAGCGTTCTTAAAATGTTTGCCAGACATTTATACTGCTCCCACATTCTAAGTGTGTGTGAGGGGAGACAGAGAGTGATTGTATTCTCTGCAGCTCTTTTGGATTTTTTTTTATATGCTTTCCTTTGATGGATAAAGAATCAGCACAAATTGAGAGAAAAGTAAACACTTCCTTACTTTAATGTATTTTTTCACTATATTTTAGTAATTTTTTATTTTTTTTTAGATATCTTCATCCACATTTAAAAAAAATGCAAAAATAATTTGAGAAGCTGTTAAGTAATAGTGACCTAATACCTGGACAGTTATCAACCTTTGTTCTGAGATTATGATGGAAGCACAGTATCATGTCATTATTAGATTTGTCTGTGCAGATTTTATTCTCTTTCTTGGATGGTTTTCCCATTTCTATAGTACAATCCAAAGAATACACTACACCACTCAACAAAGCCTTTACAATTTTTTAGTATCACCTCTATCAATTATTACAAACACAGGCAATTATTTTTTTAAAACTGACAACAAAATAATTTTAACTAGGATTTAAACACCCTGTCACTCAAGAAATATTTTAGCCTCCGACTTGTGATACTTCTATTCTACAGCTTCTACTGACCACTAGTCTACTTGCTTTTAATACTACATTTTCACTTTCCTGAAAATGTGCCTGGAAGACCTTAAAATGTTTCACAGCGCAGATACTATAATCTAAACAGAACAATTCTGTAACAATTTCTGACTTGTCAGGAATTCCTTATTTTTCCTCCAGAAGAGAAACCAAAAATGCATGGGGTGCAACAAGTAATAAAACATAGGCCATGAAAGCACAACTGATTTCAAGTGCCACTGAGAAGTACAGGGACTTACAGAAGGAGTCTACTTATCAAGACTTATAAGCAATAAAAAGAATCTGTAGATTTTTCACATTAATAGACTGACTATATTTCAAGCCTTTACTAAATTTACTAAGGAAATTAATACTTAATTTGAACCAGCAAAGCCAAAACTTATTTGTCTGTGTTGTTACCAGATACTTCTGGGACAACACATTAACTGTGATATAAATATGCGCGGATCAGGTAAATATAAACATAAATTTTGGTTTAGTTCTTTTATTCAATACAACCTAGAATGCTATATAGGTTTACATAAATCATTCTAAAAACTAGTTAAAGAAGGATCAAAATATGAGCCAAGTAAATAAGAAAACATTTAAAATTTCAGTACAGGACTTGAGAGAAAGTCCATTTTCTTTAAGTGTTTAGGAAATCTTAGGAAAAGAGCTTCTCTGGGAGAATAAATCAAATCCATTATATTTATGAATATTCTTACCTATTTTCTCAGGTGAAACATCTTTTATTGAAGGAACTTTCAAATTAACTCTGCTAGATGCCAACACTGGAACAGAGAGTTTCTCAGGAACGTCAAATAATTCTCGCATGCTCACTTGTACACTGTAATCCACATACTTCAACTCTGGTGGGAATTTACGAGGTTTTAGGAGTTCGCATCTCTGCAAGTGAAGGAATAATGTATACATATGAACAATGATCTCATAGTAATTTCAGGTTAGGAAGATACAGGCTTAAATGCGTAATTCCATGACTTGTAAAGTGGTAATTAGTCCTGTTACATAGCAATGGTTGAGAGGCACTCCTAAATAAAGACTGTTTGGTACAATTTTCTAGATATCATGTATCTGAAGCATTAATTTAAAAATAATGTTTTGAGATTTACAGTAAAAACACCTCCTACTCAGAAACCACCTACCAACCTTTAAAGACACTCAGAGAAGAGGAAAAAAAAAAAAAAGAGAAAATATTAAAATAAAAATGTATTTTGTTTCAGAACAGGTGTTTCTTTAATCCATAAAATTTCTGATTAATGATAGTATGAAAAAAGAAAAAATATTTTGACATTCTGTGAGAAATTACTGTATAGTTAACTGTGCTAACTTTACTATTCAAATGTTGACAATATGTTCGAGAAATCAAAGCATTTAGAATTAATTTTATGGACAAACAAGCTCCTCCGTTTGGTGAAAGGCATTGCTAATTCACAGCATGAAACATTTTAGTAAAGTTTTAGCATAACACATAAAGGCAAAATCAAAAGAGGCTTCTAAATCTCATAATGAAAACTAAATTAGACACCTGAAGGAAATCATTACTGAAAGAACGCAATGATTTAACATGCGACTTGCTCACAATTTTAATTTTTGATCCAACAACACAGTATATTTGCAATGCTCGAGATAATCGATAAATTCAACAAATTTAGTAACTGTAGTAACTCTAATCATCAAAGATGATCAAAATAGATCTCTCTTTCTTGCAGCAAGGAAAAGAAGGTGTAAAAGCACTGTACAAAAATAGCCAGGATTTTCAACCATGCATATAGACAGGTCAAGTAGAAACACGAAATATACATTCCTGAAGATGTATATCCAGTCTAACTTCAAAATACAGCTTGCATTTATTGCTGTTTTCAATGGGATTTAAGTGAACATGAGTAAAATTTAGTTTAATAAAAACTTTGGACAGGGTCTTTTTTTTGTTCAGGAATGGTGGAGGGGATATTTAGACAATGAACATAAAAGAATACTTCAACTCCAAATTAAGTTGCAGAGCAGAAGCCCCCCTCAAAAAAGAAGTTTCTTCAATAAATGCCACCAGAATTTCTATACTCTCACTTTTATACAGATAGCAAGACAGAATTCATAATAAAAAGAACAATAGGAACAGTTTTTAGAAATTTATGTGCATAGTGGATTTCCATACTGAGAAATATTTTTAAATGAAGTTTTTTCTACAGCAGCAGTATAGCAGAACTACTTTATTTTATTTCTCACGAGCAAATAAAAAATTTTCTGTACATGAAACAAATATGTCCTTTTGCATGTTATTTTCACTTCTCCCACGATTATTTATTCAGTAGTACAAAACGTGGCACATTTCATTACTGTTTTCCACTGTTCTTCAATGTAGGTAAATTTAGCACTCGTGTTAGATCTTAGCATCCTTAGTCATAGAGAGACTATTACCATTACATTCCATCTCAATTAGATCCAGAGCTTCAGAGCAGTCAAGTCTTTCATCAAGTCTTTGTTAACCAACTGTGATATTAAAGGACTTCAGTTAAGAAAAGTTTATAAAATGTCACCATGGCAGCATAGCAGGTATGCTCAAAACAAAAATATTTGTGTCTAAATTACATGGTTACAATTCTTGTCCCATGACAAACATATTAACATTAACTAATTTGATTTGTATTACTTTTTAAACTTATCTGTAAACAAAAAGGCATAAATTTAACAATCTCAAGACTCTAGGGAAAATTCTCTCCCCCTAGCACTGGGAATCATGCAGCACTGGGACTGGGAACCATACTCAGGAAGGAGTCCAGCTGAAAAACTGGAATAACATACAGCTTCCCAGCCAACTGCCTGAGGTCAGGTAGCATCAGGTTCACATGGGAAATTAAACAATAAAACCCAGACTTTGGCCATAATCCATAGATGTTTATATTTGAATTCTATGTGAGAAAAAAGCTTGGTTATTTGGGAGTATTGCTATTATAAATTCATTCACAAATACTATTTGAATGTCTACTGGACTATCTAGGGTTTTTTTTCTAGATGCTGAATTCTTGGGGAAATACCCCTAGGTTGGAATTATGTATAGGTAGGGAACTATAGCTTATAAGGAAGATCCAGTGCTTTCCAAAAGTATGGTGTATTGATTGCAAAACAAGAAAAAGTCTTTCCTGCTCCTCAATTTGGTATGTCTGTTCTTATACAAAATAATTATAAAAAATAAAAATTCTGTTAGAGAATTTTCTTTCCTTATAAAATGAGCATAAGGACACTAATACAGACATCAATGCATAGAGTATAAAAGATTCTTTAATCAATGTGTATTTTTCAGAAGCTAACTGAAATAAACCATCAATGTTCTTTTTAACTGCAGCTAACATTTCTTAAATGGTGACTTTTTAATCACATGAGTGAGGAAGCAACTTCAGAATGAATATTTAAATTGTGTCTGAGGGAATGAGGATTATAATCTGTCAGATTGCAGAATATATTAAAAACAACAACAACAAAGACTTCATTAGACTATTTCCTGAAAATTTAAAATTTTAAAATTTCATTTTTACACACAAGAACGGCTAAATAATTCTAGGACCAGATTTCTGTGTTTCTCACCTCTACTCTGGACAGCCCTAGCAATGCAGTTGCAACTCGGACACTACTGCTATCCAGAGTCTCTGTGATCTTTCTTCTTTCATATTCAATATTTGACATTTGCTGTTGTGCAGCAATAGCCAGAGCCCTTTCTCTTGATTCATTGATCAATGGAATCCTGAGATTTTCTTCAAGAGTCTGCTCAAGACTGCATTTCAAATATAAAACTGGCTCTGCTGCACTTGGACCTGTTTAAATAAAAAATAAAAAATATAAAATAAACCCACCACCACCACCAAAAACAATACTTGTCAACTGCTACTATATCTTCATAGAGTACTTAAAATCCTTAATGTTCAAAGAAAAACCTGAATACAATATTCCTTTGATATTTAGTTACATGTTACTTCTCCAGTACATGCTTCCATAAAAAAAATATTTTTAATCATAGTGGGGAAATAAAAATTGACACAAACTGAAATCCAAATAGAAGTTGCTTTTCATGGTTAATCAAAAAACCCAGACTTCAGTGTTACTACTACTACAATGGCAATAAAACTTTCAAAAGGCTGTTTCCTTTAAAACACAACCACTCTTTTATTCCTTTAGATCATGTTTCATTGCTCCTAAAAGAAGTCACCATCAATATAACTCTGATCAGAGATGGCAAAACTCAAAGAGTTTTTCCAGTAGAATTTTCTGAGATCCATAGTTCTCATTAAAGTTCTCTGAAATAAATACCAACAAATCTTTCCTTGTCTCTCCTGTACATACACTTAACTTACTTCAAATTTTCACATTCATATGTAGAAATATCAGTGGAAAAAAAAATTTTGCATCTTGGAAAGCAAAACTGCGGGTGAGAGCTTTTACGCATGCACTAGTATCAAAGGATCTTAGAAAAACAATGTTCCATCTTATTTGGCAAAATGCATGCCAAGAGCAGCATATTTTTACCCTTTACAGAAGGAATGGAAACAGATAAGAGAGCTTAAATTAATAAATGAGAAGTGGTGCGTAGATTTCTGATATTTCATGCAAGTGCCTTAAATCAAAATAATCTTGCACTGCTCTGGTTAGCTTTTGACGCATAGCAGAGGAAGTTTCATAACTGATGTACATCTCCGTATTTTTTTCAGTGAATACTTTTTACTTGGTCAAGCTGGTCCACAGAATCAAACACACTCAGCAGTGACTTTCTTCAGACCTCTGCCCAGTCTGGCTTGAAATGGCTGAGATACAAAGCTCCCAGGATATGAAGATCTCATGAACATGATTCTGACCAGACTAATCCAAAGATTAAAGGAAGGTAAGGCCTTGTAATAGGCAGGAAGAACCAGGAAAAGTCTAGAATGGCTAAAATGCTATAATACAAAATATCACTAGAGGTGCATTGAGATCAGTGGCTTAGAAATTGTTTCATGTTTTCCTAAATGCCTCATTTTGACCTAGACATGTTAATATTTTTTTGATCTTTGTACCATGTTAAAAACTGTCTTGCCTGAGAACATCCTGGGGAAAAAAATAAATCAATCAAACATTAAAACTTGCCCCTCTCCCTCAATCCCTTTTCCCCCCTTTCTCCCAGATAACTCTTACCTCCAGACTCAGTCATGGAGAAGTATGTCTGAACTACTATCAACGAAACAGGCTATATACCTAATAATTATTTTCAGATTAGTTGGTATCTGAATCTACATTTAGTAACAAGCAGATAGAAGGACAGTTACTTTACTGCCTACTGAGCACTGAATTCTTAAATTTAGTCTCAGAACATAAGATATATGTATTTCAAATATAGCCATACTGGTTCTGAAATAGAACTGACAGCAGTTTATCACTGGTTGTTTAAAGACAAAAGTATAGGATTATCTGTCAAATCACAATACTTAATACACTATTAATGTGTTCTAAAAGTAGAAAAACTCCAGGTAAATTGACTTGTCCTGTTTTATCTGGCTACAGACTACATTTGAAATAAAAGAGAAAATATGAAAAAATATTGATATAGACTGTTAAAAACAACTTCACATACAAGTCCAATAAGATAACTAATAACCAGATCACTGCTGCTCTGAAGAGAATGGACTGGACAACATTAAAAGAAATATCCCATACTTACATTGTACTACCTTTCTTACACTTCACTACCAACAACTGCTTATACCAGATACATTTAATGAATCTTAACAGAAAAGAATATTTGCAAAGAGTGATTTGCTTTATTTCACTGCCCTCACTTCAATTTACTTTACCTTCTAATGTGCTGCTAATATGTAAAACATTTGGACTATCCATTGGAAGCAGTCCTGAAGGCAAAGGTATATCACCTGTTCCTTCTACCAGGTATACAAATTCTCCAATCTGAAACACAGAAACATGCACATACACATAATTCTTAAAGGAACTCATGGAAAAAAAAAAAAAAAAAAAAAGCAGAATATTAAAACTGAAAACAAAGATAACCTAGTAACACTGAAGGCCTGGCTTGCAGAATAATTTACACATCCAGAAGAACCATTATTTTAGAACTATGTTTAAACAGAAAAAAATATATATAATTTCAAACCCTGCTATGATATCCAAATGGTTTTAATTAAGAATATTAAATCTGAAAAGCCAAGAAATTTTAACAAGTTGAATCCTTTCCAACTCCTCATATAATTTAACAGAATGAGAATACCCTGAGTCACAAATATGGTGATAAATTGAATTCTAATTATGTACTATAGCTGCATATATTGAAACATATATACCAGTTGACTTATTTTTTTCACTTTGTAGAAAATGGTTACTGTAATTTTGAGCAAATAACACTTGTATTTCATCAAAAATAATTAAATTCCTATAGAAGCTTGAAAATAACCATAAATATGACCCAGAACAAAGGAAGACAATAATTTGCCATAGAGGAAAGTATAAATGAATGATCAGAGAAATAATACTTGAATAATAGAAGGAAAAAGGGAGGGGTGGGGGGGAGGGAGGAAGTAAATAAAAACAGAAAAGTGTTAAAAAAAAAAAAAGTACTCTAAACTACAAAGACTACAAAGAGAACATCCCAAAACTAAACGTAATTAAATTAGATACATATATACATACACCAGGAGATTTAATAGACATAATAGTATTGCTTTGTTAACTTCTTTCAGTTTTCTGCAAACTTTTGTATAACTTTAGTTTCTACTGACTTCAAGGCAGAGGATCAAATGTTGCTGTGACTAGACATATAATTTACCACAGAAAGTCAACCCATATTTCCATAAACTATATTCTATAAAATCATGCCTCAAAACTGCATTTATTTCATATATTCTTCATTCCAGATATGAGGGAACTTATTTATTTATGTCTGTTAGTTTACCTGTCAGCCAATGCAATTTTTTCACTCTAATATTGGTCAATAACAGAAGATACACCTGCTTTTTATTTTATTCAAAGCATCATCAAATATTTATGCTAAAGCCAAAAACATTGCAGTTATGTTTCTAGCACAGCAGAAGGAAAACTACTGAACTTTGATGGCATTTTCTCCCCTTCCTTGGTTCAAGAATTCAGACAAATCTTCCTTTAGAAGGATTAAAGAAACCTACAGGAAAATAGGTTTCCCACATCCAAACTAATAGCCACTCCTGGGAACCAATTTAAACAGAAATTATTCCTGTTTGACACAGTGTTTTGACTCCGTAAGGACCACTAACAAGCTCAGAAGCTTGCAGCACGTACAACTAATTTCATGAAGGAACTGGTTGCTAGGTTGCCGTTCTACTATCAATTACTTTTTTTGTCATCACTGACATCAACATACTTGTATGTAGGAACAAGCTTCCCCATTTCCCTTCTTGCTTTGAAGAAATCTTGCTTTATGATCTCCATAAAATGCAAATCCTGTTTTCTTTCTGCTGAGGTTTTCTCAGCAGAATGGGTATCATAATCCATTTTGCAAATTTAGAAGGGAATCCCTTGGTTTTCATCATTTATATTTCCAGTTTTCATGAGCTGCAAAGGCTAGCATAAACATTTTCTAGGGCTTAATGTTTAAATAAATAAATAAATAAAAATAAAATGTCTGTTGAATAAGCTATTTATCTAATTGTGTTGCTAGATAATATTGCAAAATCATGGATAGCTACTAGAAATTTGCAGTTTCCATGAAAGTCAGTAATTAAGAACAACAGAGAGTAAAGTATTCTTTAAACAAGCCATTTAATTTCATACTAGATATTTACCTGTGAAAATCTAGAGTGACAATTTTAAACTATGACTTCATAAATGACTATCATTGAAATCAAAAGTCATTCATATTTAGATTATCTCCCAGAAACAGAAATCTAGAGAAAAAACAACCCACTTATATTGCCCAATATACAATTCCTTCTCTGAAAAGACATATGCTGAAAATTTAAATAATATCAATTTTGATTTTTCTTAAAAATAAGTACGGAAACAAAACTTTGAGAAATGATAAACAACTTGTTCTGTCATTTCAAACATTAGAAAAGTTAACATACAGATTCTTTCTTTAAAAAAAAAAATAAAGCAACATCTAGTTGCAACATTTAACTAGTGTTTTGGATCTCAACATCTTTTATTGTAATGAAGCTACATTTTGACTCTGACTGCTGTTTTTGTCCATTTGTCTTAATGATTAGGAAAGGTATGTAGAAAGAAATGCTAAATTAAATGATTTATTAGATTATAAACAGCAAAAGCCCAGCAAGGGCTTTTAAAGGGCTTTTATAAAAAAGCAAAAGTTCAAAAAGCTTGTATTTGAACAATACAAGCTCCATCATTATACAAAACCATTTGACCATCATACAGCTTGGTCATACAGCTACAATTGTTTGTCAATGAGAAAATGGTGCAATAGTGATATTGCAGCCATATACACAATATTTAAAGCCAATTTCTACCTGTCATCACTGTACAAGTCACGACAGATACTTTGCAGCTTCATCTTACTCTAGGAGTTTCCACATTTTACTATATATGATACAATTTTGTGGATGGGACTTGCGTTTTCCTAGCCCAAGGCTGTACATATCAAACTCTTTACACATTCAGTAGCCTTTAAATGCATCCCACCTAACCAGTTAAGATTAAAGGAACAGGTCTTCCAGAAACAGTTACCATACAGGACATGAGTGTCTCCTCAGAGGCATTAATGCTTTCTGCTATGACAAATGACTAGGAGCCAGGTGTCAAATTTTAGATGTTTCTACATCACCACTGGGGATAACTCTCAATGGTTTCTAGAGGCTGTCAGAAACATTAACTGTCCATAACTCTGATCACATCTCTTTCTGATTTGCTTTCCTCTCATTAGCATGTCTCCATTTCCCCTCTCTTCATTAAACAACTTTGTTGTTAAAATCCCTAATGTAGCATGAGACTCCTATTTTCTGTCAGGGCATATACTTCTGCTCCTAATAAAAAAACAAACAGCAAGAATGCCAACAGCAGAAATTATAAAATCATAGCATGTAGAAAATGATCCTTCTTAGATCTGCTTCCAGAAAACTGTAGGTTAGGGTATTCTTTATCTAGAGACTGCATCCAGATCATCATATTGAATTAAAAGTGGTGAAACCAGCCTCCATGAGTTTGTCTAATTTCTTTTGAACTAGTTAACATTTAGAGCAACCAGCGTCCTGTGATAGTTGACTTACATAAATTAATAATTGTATATAAAAAAGTACTTCATTTGGTTCAGTTTGTATCTCTTGCCACAATTGCTCTATTAACTTTCTGCAAATTATTCATAATTATATGCATCTTTCATGTCCCTTACCTGTCTCTTTTTTTAACTGAAGGAAATTAATTTCTTTTTAGTATCTTTCTCCATAAAGAAACCATTATATACTTCTTATCATTCTTGCTTCTTGTTTTCTTTTTTTTTTTTTTTTTTTTCTTTTCTTTTTTTTCCTCCCTGATTCCTATTATACTGTTTGCTGGAGTAACTAGAAATGCACACAGTAGTTAAGGTGTGTACACCATAGCTCCTTAGGGCGTATTGAGGTTTCACATTTATATGTCTATTTCTTCCCCCCTCAAAAAATCTCTTTTTGAATAATGCTGAGCACTGGGTTGGATTTCTTTTCACAGAACTGTGAACAAAGACAACACTGCACTGACAGAGGGACATTTATATAACCCCTTTGTAGCTAATTCCCTGGTGCCAGTAAGGTAATGCTATGGCATAAGCTCACTGTCTGACTGTAGGTGCTAGAAGAAAATCTTTAATCTCTCTCTCCACTTATTTTCAAGAAACTCAAATGAACTTATTCTGGTTTTGGCTGAGATGCAGCTACTTTTTCTCTGTAGAGCCTCATTCTGTTTTGCATTTTTGATGAAAGTAGTGTAGTAAGCAAGAGGTTGTGTGATTCTTAGCTGCCCACCGAAGTTAAACCACAACAAAAATGTATGTTCCTTAAGGTTTCCAACCAAGTGACTTTCTTAAAGACAAAAAAAAAAAAACAAAAAAAGAAAGCCAGTGGTTGATTTCAAATATTGAATAGGATTGTATCTACAGACTTAGGCATAATTGCATAAGTTATATTTTCCTTTTAAAGCAAGGAGAACGTTAAGAAGACCACGTGCCATAACCAAAGTCACAGTTAAGCAATAAAAACAAACACCAAACACAAAAACACAAAACATTAGCAGTAGTCTCTTGCTCTATAGCAAGGAAGAATATGGAAGCTAATAATGTGGAGGAGAAAAAGTATAAATAAATAAGTTTTGGATATACCACCACAAATCATGAAAGCATTGCAGACAGAATGGCAGATACATGCAATTGCACAGAGAGAAAGCTGAAACAGAGGTAGTATTATGGACGTAAGAAGAAGAATGAAAGCCTTGAGATCAACCACATGTAGAAGAAGTTTAGAGAAACAATAGGGTGTTGAAGAACAATGACAGCTAGGGAAAAAACACAGCAGAGTGATTTAAAGAGGTGAAATGATGGATGAAAGACAGAAATAAGAAGTTTGAGGCCACTGAGATAAAGGATTATAGGAACATCGAAGGAGTTGGAGTGCAAATTTTAAGTGCTGAAAGTTGGTCAAAACTGAGTCTTGGTAATTTGATGAAATCAATTCCAGTTAAAAACATATGTCAAATGCCAGATTGCATGAATCAAGAAAAAAATAAACAGTAACAGCAACAGAGTTAGTATTCAGGTACAACCTTTTCAGCAGATTTCCTTACACTGGTGACAAGAACTGAACGGAATTTGGACAGCATTATTTAAACCAAAAAAAACGGGGCGGGGGGGGGGGGGGGGGGGGGGGGGAAGGAGAGACAGAGCAAGGAAAATTATTATTATTCTACTTTGGCATCTTATCCTAGATACAGTAAAGACTGCATTTCTTCCCTGTCTATTTCTCATCCAAAAGCATTACTCTTGCTCCCATATCAAGATAAATGTTTTAAATTCCATATTTGTTTTGTGGAGATAAAAGGGCAGAGAACTTTAGTTTAAATTTCTTAGTTGAAACTTGTAACCTTATGCAAACCTCTCATCAAATTCTTAAGCAATGTTTCCCCAAAAGAGTTATAGGAATATTTTATTTCAAACAAATATATATATATATATATATATATGGAAAGAGAAAAGGTTTTCATGTTTTCATTTCCAAAAGCCTGCATACAGATATCTTTATAATTGCATATGCATGCAAAAACATTATGTGAACATATGTACATAACAGATTTATATATTCATTTACCCTATTTACATATAACTGGCAAACATCTTAAAGTTTTACAGAAATAGTCTTCTTAACTGACTAGACTATCACGTGAAAGCCAATCACAGAACATATTTTCCATCCTTACCAGTTCATTAACCAGAATGACAGTGCAGTAACGTTTTTCCAGATTAAAGGGAAGAAAGTGAATCTCTAAGCCTGAAGAACTTCTCGCTGTCAAGAACAGTTTTTCCATTGGACTGAAGAACTCATGCAGCAGGCTGGACTGGTCAGCTGTTAAAATAAGTTTTAATGGTTGCTTAGATACAACAGCACCAGTTGCAAAATACTGCCTGAATTTAAATATAAGGATACCGTATACAGCCTGCTGTAGTAATCAGTATTTAATGTACTCTGAAGTTACACTTGTGTAAATATGCTGCAATATTGTATGCTGTATTATTCGCATTCATTTTTCTAATTAATTTTGTTCTTATTTCATGCATTGAAGCAAAACCAGGGAAATCAGACTGATCTATAAAAAAATTAAAAATAAAACTCTTTAAAGATGTACAGTCTACAAGCAAACAACTCCTCTTACCAGTAAGAAGAATACAGTTTAATACTATTTAAATGAACCATCTTGCCCCCAGTGGCAGAAAGTACATTTTATATTATAACCTGAAATCCTCTGGAATAGACAAAAGCTAAGTTCTGGAAAGCATACTTTCTCAGTATTACTTTCAGAAAAAAAAAAATGCTGATAGTGTTTTCTTCCTAGGATACTAGGAATCTTATGGGTGAATCTGTGAGTCAGACTACTTTCTCAGCGAGTGTTTTTCCCCTCTTGAGCATATTTTGGTGATGTACTTCATATTTTGGTAAGGTACTTCAGAGCCTGACTTTCATTCTACCTTGGCTGCATAACCTTCTAGAAAGATCAACAGACTGAAAACTAGGAGAGAAAACTAGGAGCTTTCAGTCCTAAAAGTGCAGGCAACCAAAAGTGAAGATCACAGAACAGCTAAGGTTAGGAAGGACAAGGACCTCTGGAGGTAATCTGGTCCAACCCTGCCTGGCTCAAGCAGGGGTACATAAGAAAATTATGCAAAACTCTGGCTAATTAAATGTAAGTGAATCAGCACCTCCCTCCCAAAATCCAAGAACTACGTTAATGAAAGCCATAACCTCTACCCTCTCACCCTCGATGACCTTTTCTTTCCATAGTCCAGTTTGTTTTCACAACAATAACAATAGGAATTTCCCAATATTCGCATTTCAACAAACAGCTAAGTTGCACGTGAAACTGACATTTCCAAAGCTTACATAAACAATGACAAAAACAAACAAACAAACAATCGCCAACAGAACCCAAAGCCCATTTTAACCCTTTCATCAAATATGGTAAATTTTTTTACTATGTAAGGTAACAGTTCTTAAACTTGTCACCTGTTCAAGTATTCCTCATTCAAAGTATGTATTTTGCAGTATGTATTCCTCATTCAAAGTATTCAAACTGTGGTACAGACTGAATTAGTCTTGTGAAAACCCTCCCTCTTCACCTGCTTTCTGGACTGTGCAAAATTAAAACAATCACCAAAGAAGTGCATTTATTAAATAACTTAAATTTTTTGACAATTCTGTTCTTTATTATGGTTGCTTCAAGAAAAAATACAAAAATATTTTCTGATTCCTACTGCTCTCCAATTAGGACTCCTCCTGACCCTTAATAATAACATTGTCTCAGAAGAAAACATATGTGGAAGGCTCCTAGTTGGATCTTGTTTGGTATGCTACAGGGAGAAGTATCAAGAAGTATACTCAAAGCAGAAGTGCACTTCCACAAGAAGCAAAAACATAGTTTTGGTACGTCACTTCATTAGTTAAGATACATACTTTTAATTTTTATGAGCTTTGTATTAGTTGGTTGTTAAACACATCTCAGAAAACAATATGAGAAATAAATATAAATAGAAGAGCTAGGCGATTCATATTACAAATCTGTTTTCCACATGGCCTCATAGAAAGCAAGCATTATATCCCAACAGGAAAAAAATAATTTCATACAGCAAAATTTTGCTCACGTGGATTTCTGACAGTCTCAGAAAAGGCTACAACTCCAGATTTGTATGTTTTTACAGAACTTTTGACTGACATTTCATAGGAAACAAAAGCAAGAATTGCACTGTTTATGAGTATTTTTGAAAATAACTCGGGTATGCTGAAAAGACTCCACATCAAACTGCCATGAAGTCAATACATGGGCCATTAAAAAATATATATATTTATTTGTTAAAGTCGCTAGGAATACAGTGCAGCTTTAGAAATCACTTCAATAAATAAAAAAATACCAGATGATACACGGCTATAAATAATAAGTTCTGAGCATATTTTAGATGTCAAAATTCTGCTTATGCACATACTCTAATTGCTACTCTAGTGACATAAGGTGTGTTGTATAGAGGTACTTACAGCAATTAAAGTTGTTCTCTTCATTTGGCTCATTAGGCAGTGCACTGTTTTTACAATTTATTACATTATTTTCAGAACTAGAACCAAAGAAATGAAAGCAATATAGTAAATTTGGAGATTTCTATTATTTCACTTAACAGATAGCTTCTTCCCGGCTTTTAGACAAATACTGGAAAAGCAAATGTTTCAAACAAAAGCAACAAACATTTTGGAACTATCTACTTATCAATAATGTCAGGTACCTACCAACTCAGGTACCACTTAAGTTAGTAGTCATATTTACAGCAGAGCTAGAATGTGCTTCCTTCAATTAAGTTGTATAACATCCCTGTAGTAATCTATAAACAAAACTCCACATTAAAAAATACAATTAGTATTTGTCAATCAAAAACATTCCTGACCAATAATATTTTTTGGTGAATTCAGTCCCAGTTCTTCTCTTTACCATTTCAGAATTCTATTGCAGTAGGTAAAGAATTGTCCCCTGGTACAAAGCCTGGCATTCCTCTGACAATTGACTTCAAAGCAGATTTGCAATGTTTCCTGTAAAATCTACTCTAGAAATACATCTAAAAATTCTATTTATTTAATGGTATAGACCATAAAAGCTTTAAAGATATCTCATAATTTCTACTTGGATCATAGAAGGGCAATGACTTTAACACTACTACACCTTAGCAGGAAAAAAAAATAATCTCTAAATAAATTAGAAGAGTTTACCACTAAACGCAACTTTCTAATTTAAGTCTTTGAAATAAATATTTCTAGTCTCCAAGATGCACTATGTTGTTTCAAAACATACATTTTGGTAGAGTCTCAAAGATACTTAAATAATTTCACTGTTCCCAAACTGCATCAGTAGTACACAAAATATTTAAAACTTTTAACACATCTTTTTTTTCTTAGAGGAAACAGGGCACAACTGTTTAAGAAAAAATGCAACATAGACAATGGAACATTTGCCTATTTCATGGGGAAAAAAAAAAAAAACACCAAAGCTGATGCTGTCACTGTCTCTATCTGATAATCATTTTTCTTCCAGTGCTCATTTCAAAACAGACTGAATTTGGCATCCTTTAAGAATATCCCATTCTCAGAATCTTGTCTTTTTAACTTTAGAGTGGAAATTAATTAAGTAAAATAATTGGCTTACAAACTTTCTTTTCACACAGTAAGTATAAATTAGGACATAATTTTCCATGATATTCTGTGCAAAGACTAATTTTAATCATCTCTGCATAGGTTTGGGGGAATTTACAATGAGGAAATAGGGGTGTAAAATCCCCACATTAATGAACAGCAGTTCACGATCTTGCTAGGAAGCACCAAATCTCACAAGAGAAACTCTCCAAAAATTTCTACTTTACATAATTCTCTTCTTGTTTCAGTTAATTTAGTTCGCATGCAAGATTCATTTCTACAAGGTTATAGCCCTGAAAAAAGGGGATGAGAAAGCCTAGGAACAGTAAAGCTTATCCCTCCACATCTCTTTGACACCAAGGCTACAGGAATGGTCTATATACACTAACAGTGCAATTAACCATGCAACAGAATGCAATCAAGGATTTGTCTGAGAAATGAATGAAGAGGATGAACCTTAACCTAAACACCTTACTCAGTTCACAACAATGTTGTTTTTCAAACGTACTTGAAAAGAACACTTGGGAAAAAATAAATAAATAAATAAATAAATAAATATATATATATATATATATATTTGCTTATTCCCATCCCCCCATCTTATTTCCTTGATATTACTTTATATTTTATTTCTATCCTTCTTCACAAACAATTTCTACCAGTATTGACAGGAGCTGAGACTGTGCAGTTACATTTATGGAAGGACAGTTTTATGTAATTTACAACAAGCACAGGTAAGAACCCATAGATGCTGGAAAAAAAAACACTGTAAAGCATCTAAAAGAAATTACTGCAAGTAGCTTTTTCAGTTCTAGACTCAGTTTTAATATTATTCACACATAAAAATCATTTTCCCCAGCAGTAAAATTTGATGAACCAGCTTATACCAAACAATTATCATGTACAGCATTCGGTAGCTATTGGGTCTCTCTTAAAATAAATTGTTAATCTTGCTGGGCTAAGAAAAAAATCACAACCTTAAATAAATGGACTTGTAAAATTCTCAGAATATGTTACCCTGGGGATTCATTTTAATGCCTATACTTAAAAGTTATTTTTCAGAAAGGGAAATGATCTCTGAAGTATGTGAGTATAACATACTATTTATTCTTTACTAACAAATAATAACTTATCTCACACAAAAATACAAAGAAAATACAAATTTTATACAAAACATCATCTCTTTCAATGCTTTGTCTTTGAATCAGAAAGCCCAGTTATGATTTCAGTAACAGAGTCAACAACAGAAGAATCACTGTAAAAATAATGAATTGTTCAAAAGCTGTTTAAAAAGAAAAGATAAAAAGATCATTACATGGAAATACATTGTACTTTGACGCCAAAACAGTACAGCATAAGTCTTCACTGGGGTGAACCATACTTTGAATAAATCTTATTTTCTGAGGTGAATGGCAGAGAAACTCATTGCACTGATTTGAAAGTCTGCCTCTGTAAAATTATTCTCACCCAAATGAACAAAGTATCTGCAGATACATAAATTGAAAGAGAATTGAGCTGTATATTGGCAGATGAGTACATTGTGTCTTGTCCTTCTGAAATAAAAATAAATTGCATCCCATGTAATAATAAAAATAAAAATAATATAATTAAGATCAGGAAAGTATTGAAGGCATACCTTCAGTCTAGCTCAATACATTTCCTTTAAATACAGGGAGAAATGAGAGGGTTAGGCAGAACAGCTTAATGCTACCATAAAATAAGTCTACACAGACAGTTTGCTATGGCATTAAGCCCTATGAGGCCTTATGCACCAATCATTTTATTCCATGTTAATACTGAATTTTACTGTACGAAAAATATTTCTGGTGAAGAAGACAAGACAAGCTTTGACATCAAGGTTATACATGTGCTGTTCAGACACAAGGGCAAAGGATCCATGAGCTAATTATGGAACTAAGCACATTGTATCACACTGTGGTTCAGGTTTCAGTCTGAAAACTCAGGTATCAGAAGCAATTCAGTTTAATGGGAAGAATGGTAACTAAGCAACTTCACATTTGTTTTGTTATTTATTTATTTTTTGCAAACACAATTGGCCACTTCTAAATAAGAGGTTCTTTTTGTTTTGTTTTGTTTTTTTAACCATGCATTAAATAGACTAAAAGATCCACAAGTATGTTACATGTGAGGGTTGGCTTAGGAGGGTACCTCTCAACTGTTTGGTAACAAAACCCAGTTGAGTCAAAGAAAACAACAGGTGTGAATACTTCCAACTGATTCTAACAGTGGTTTAGTCTAATCTGTTCAAATTTGTACTAGAAACTACTTAAATACTTGGTCACCAGTAAGAAACAGTTCAGTAGCTATCATCTCTGAGTTGCCAGTTACCTCTTCCTGCATAGTACCACAAAGAGGCTGGGCTTGCCATATTAGCAGGCATACCAGAAATCAAGTCTGGATCAAAAGTAAAAAACATCTCTGCAGTCTACATTGGCCCATGCAAGCCATAAACCACACTTTCTATCCAATAGATTCTTGCATAAGGAAAATTATTTTGCTTTCTGTATTAGAGTTTGGAGTAGAATTTCTCAGATGGTCTTTTTAAGTTCCTTCCAGTTCCAGATTCTACATATTACTGATGTGAAAAGAAAACTAACAGGTGATAATCCTTAAGGGTCCCTTCCAACTCAGGATATTCTATGATTCTATGAGGTGTCAGCCACCACAGGGAAATCTCGAGTCCATACAGCAGCAACTTCATCAATAAACTTTAGAAGACAAAAGGAATCAAACTGTTTATTAGAAAGGATACAACAGCTTACTAGTGCAGTGAAAATACTGAAACATTTGAGTAGAAAACTCATATATATATTTGCCATTTTCAACACTCTGTGGGTTAGTTTGTGATCTCAGAACAAAGACTAAGACAGGAAGTGAAACAGGAACTGCCCAAAAAAGGTAGTGTATTAGTATAGATCAGTTTCTAACATATCAAATATTAATCAGAATTGTGATGACTCCTAACTATATTTCTAAACCACATTTTCTTAAACAACAGATATAACATCTCATAATCTATATTAGACGTGGACACAACAGACCCTTTTAGATCTTTTTTTTTTTTTCCATCAGATCAGTAAGTAAATACAAGTATTCTGTTCAGTGTACCTTTTTCTTTGAAGCATGGAACTGTTTACAACAAGGAGTACACAAATATATAAATACATAAAATTCAAAATATTTCGATTTTCTGGCATTATCCCTGGTTAAAATAAAAAGTAAGCAATGCTAAGAAGCTATATGCAATATTCTGTGGATACAACAGAAGGAAGGGATGCCATCCAAAGGGACCTCGACAAGCTTGAGAACTGGGCCCACATGGACACAGTGAGGTTCAACAAGTCCAAGTGCAAGGTGTTGCACCTCTCAGTCCCAGACATGAGGATATACTGAAAGAACTCATTGAGAGCAGCCCTGTGGAAAGAGACTTGGGAGATCTGCTGGACAAAAAGCTTGACATTAGCCAGTATTGCACACTTGCAGCCCAGAAGGCCAACCACGTCCTGGGCTGCATCAACAGAGGCCAGCAGGGGAGGGAGGGGATTGTTCCCCTCTGCTCTGCCCTTGTGAGGCCCCGCCTGGAGTGCTGCATCCTGGTCTGTGGCCCTCAGCACAAGAAAGATGCAGGGCTGTTAGAGAAGGACCAAAAAAGGGCCACAGAGATGATCAGAGGGCTGGAGCACCTCTCCTGTGAAGAAAGGCTGAGGTAGCTGGGGCTGTTCAGCCTGAAGAAGAGAAGGCTCCAGGAAGACATAGAGAGAAAGAGATAGGACAAGAGAGAATTGTTTTAAACTAAAAGAGGAGAGATTTAGATTAGATGTTAGGAGGAAATTCTTTACTCCTAGGCACTGAAACAGGCTGGCCAGAGAAGTTGTAGATGCCCCATCCCTAGAAGTGCTCAAAGCCATGTTAGATGGAGCCCTGGGAAACCTGATCTAGTGGGTAGGCTCACTTGAAACTTCAAGATGTTAGGATTGAAGCATGTAAAGGATATAAATCATGCAGACACAATTACTTAAAATGTAAGCACTGATGTTATGATAAGGTTACAATTAGAGAGCACTTGGCCCCCATTTTGTAGAACCAACAGGCCCCCATTTTGTAGAAGGCATTTTCTACATTTTATCAAAAGAATAAAAAATGATTGCAGTATAATCTACGTATTGATCAGTAATATATTGTAAAAATAGTAACTTTTAGGACAAATGTCAGAAGTTTGTTATGTTCCATTCAAGAAACAATCATTCTTAAAAGGAGCATCTAAATGGATTTTACACATAAAAGAAACATCAAATCATATGTTTGCAGATACTGGAGATCAATAAAATGCAAATCAATACTGGAGCTTTCTAAAGACTTAAGCTGCCCTCAAATCAATTTTAATGAGAGTTAGGTCTAGATGTATGACTACAATTACAATTTTTTAGATTGTGTTATTTATTGAAGATAAATTATGCAGATGAAAAGGCATTTTCTAACTATTCCAATAGTTTCTGATACCTTAAAGTATAATTTACTAGTACAATCTGTAGCCTCTGTAACACTGAGGTTAATTGCTAGATGTTCAATTATTGTAGCACAGCTGGTAAATGTAGCTTGGCTGTGAGTGCACAGAGCACACAGGACACAAACAAGGGACAGAACAGCATCAAAAGCATCCACCTCTGATATCTATGTAATAGTGTTTTGGTAGCTACAGTATTCTTTCTTGATAATGTTTTGGAGCTGGAGTATTCTTCACATTCAATGTGAGAGGGCTGCTGGTGGTGTATTTTAAAAGTTAGTTCCTGCTTCTTTTGTTGAGAAGAAATCTGATTGGTTACACATTGGTTATCTTTCCAGTAAGCTGACTTCTGTTGTTTGTGGTTTCATTTTGTTTTGTTTTTAATGTACTATACTATTCCAACTGATATTTATGAATGTTATCTATGAATAAATAATTTAAATACAGTTGAAGTGATGGAAGGCTAGAGAAACAGATCTCTGTAACTAAATAACCAAATATGCGAATGAAGAATCTAAATAGGCATAGAATTAAAACTTTTAGTCCTTTGCTGAAAAATAGAGTTATTAAAAGGACATTTATTAAAACAGTACAATTCATAACATCTGGTAAGTTCCAAAAATAGTATTAGACATTTGTGGTCATCCTTTCTCTATGCTGAACCATTTCAAAAGAGTACCCTAAAGATTGCCATACCTGTTCTGGATTGTCTGTTTCTCCTTTAACCTTGACTATGAACAGTTCTAATCTACATCTCTCCTCTGCAATGCCCCTAAAGATTACTGCCTGTTCATCTAAACAGCTTGGTATTTATCTCACTGTCTAACAATTAAAGACAGTGAAGACTGAAATACCTGCTTTCGGACTGTAAGTTGTCTTAAGCACAGAACCTTCTTTATGATACACTTCTCCTTGACTCCCACTCCAAATTACTGTTTTTCAGTCTTTGACATTTTATTACCTTTACCACACTTATTTTGAACTCTCCTTCGCATTCCACATTGCCTATGCTAGAAAATCTGTCCCTAGTCTGTTTAAGCAATAAAGTCTAGACACAAAATTATATTAACTTATATCAATATTTCTGCACTAATATCCCCTCATCCTCATTTGCATCTGCAGGGGCCTACTTATCCTGTAACATTTTAGATTTCAGAACAATTAGAATTCTCTAGACTGCCTACTTATAATTAAAAATGTGATCCCATTGTTACACCTTCAAATACACCTACAGTCTTCATTCTGAGATTCAGAACTATTCCTTCTCTTTTTCAGGTCCTGGTGAACTGGAGTCTTACTGATATTTTCTGTCAACACTTCAGTCACCTAAGTCACCATGATTGCCCCTGTCCCAGCACCAATATTTCACCTTTCAATTCTACTTCGTATAACACTTCTTCTAGTTAGCACATTACTATCATTTTTACCTTTTATACTATATTTGTCTTTCCTCCACTGTTTGAATAAATTATCTGTAAGGTATTTCAAAAATGTTACACAGTCCTACCATACTTCCGTTTCTCAGCCTGTAGTTCTTTACAACCGGTATGCACACAGCTACACACAACTTTGTAATACTAATGAAACTGTACAACTCATTATAGTATAATTAGTAATTACAATTTAAAACTTACCTGAATGTTTGCTCTTGCTTTACTTGCCTGGCTTGATATATCTGTTCTGGCTGAGATAAGCAACTTGTGGATTCCAGCAAAATGACCCTGGAATATGGCAAGTACACTTAAACACTACATTTTACTAGCAGAATGAGGAAAAAAATCTAGCTTTTTTCAAAAATTAAAAAAAAAAAAAGAAAATTTCACAAACAAGAACAATGTGCTTTTCAAGACAAATGATATTCATATTTTAAATTGGAAAAACTATTCTAAAGTATAATTTATGCTATGTTCTGTGCTAATTTAAATGAGTGAAAATAATTTCATTTACATTTGAACAGACCTAAAGTGTTTTTTGTTTGTTTGTTTGTTTTTGGAATGTGGGAATCTATTAAGATACAGGAAGATACAGGAAATTGTCATTTCCCTAATTAAACATGAACAAATGCTTCACTTTCATTTTTCCTAGAAGATTATGCTCTTCTTTCCTTTTGTGTACATTACATTGTGCACACATTATTTCCATTGTAGGTAATGGATAATCCACTCATCTACTGCTAGTCATTATTAAAGAACTAGGTTTTGGTATCATTGTAGAACTTCTGTTACATGGCATCAGCCACTGAATTCATTCATCTGAAGCCAGACTTCTGCATTTTCTCTGTACTCACAAAGGACAGTAAGAACAGAAGGAAAATTACAGAGTGCATAGTAAAAATACAGAAGCTAATGTCAGCTAGCATAGCCCCAGCTGTGGAGCTGAATTCAAACTCTTCAACAGTCACAATCTTAATCAACTAATCACAGTGTTAGTTGATGTTCTGCCCAAGATTTTAATCTGCCACTAAAAAATAATAATACCAATGGTTAGTTACTGTAGTATTTCATAATACATAAATACCTTTTCTATTTTTGGGTAAAAAGTAGCTGTTTCACAATGTAATGGATTATTTTACATGCATTCAACTAATTTGTCTTAATGAAATACAAACTTTCCATAATCAGTCTAAGATACAGTAATTTTTAAAATATCTAACTATACATAAGTATTAAAAGCTCTGAAATTTAAAAAAAAAAAAAAAAAAAAAAGGTGACAATATTTAGCTGATGAAACAAGTAACACCTAACAAATAGCAGAATGCTAGTTTCTGGTTTAGACTGCATAACTTACAGCTTTTGGAAATATATGTCATTTGCCACCATATGTTATTTGACACAAGAATAAAGAGACTTTTTGTCTTTTTCTTAAATAGTACTACTTTATACATAAGGTTTTAAGATTTTCATCCCTCTTTTCTGTAGTAAGGTTACTTCCTTGGTATCACAAGTGCATTTCCTAGTTTTATTTGCAAATAAGCAATACTCACCCTGATGGAACACTAGATATTTTTCAAAACTTTGGCAAAATTATTCAAAGAATCTTTAATTGTAGATTACTGGTTCAAATATGGTCCAAATTGATAATTAATTCACATAGTTGTCATATAGCTGTTGAACACTATATACAAAATTAAACTACTTAATCACCTTAATCTATTCTTGCTGAGAGCTATTTAAATGATAGAACTGAATATAGAAAGCCGGAATGACCACCTCAGTGACTGAGAAAAAAAAAGACAAACTAAACAAATTCATCTGATTCACACACAGGAGGTTATGCCAGGGCACATTGTTGGAGCAATGAAAATAATTCTCTTTATAGCTATATCAAACCTATTCTAAACCTATATCAAACCTATTCTGTGGATGAAAGAGAAATTTAATTCACAGCCTATGGAACATATTAAACAGATCAATAACACAAGTTTAAATGTCATAGAAAATGTACTTGTAAATAAATGAACTATATGAACCCATATGTAGCTTTCCAGTTTAAAAACAAAATATGGAGTCACATCACATAAACTGAGATTCCAAACGGGTATTCTATGCCTTTTGTATTAACAAAAACATTTATAATTCTGTAGTTGTTACATCTATGATGAATACAAATGAAAAATTAGATTAACTGATAGTGATGCAAGCCTCAAGGCAAAAGCATATTTTTTCTTTTGCATGCTTAATAACTTAAACAGCAGGATAAAGGAGATTGGGGGGAAAAAATAACGAACTATTAATTAACATGGCATGTTTCTCTCTGGAATTCTGCTGGACCTCAGCCAAACACAAAAATACAAGTAAGGTTCATGAACTCCATTTGATTAAAGCTCTAGCTTTATTGCTTACACTGAGATGGATTTCAATTAAGACTTATTTATCTTCTTTATTCATTATGATAGCTTCCACTTCACAGTGCTTGTAACAATTTGGCTAATGTAAATCCCTATCATTTAACCTCAAGGTTTTACATTTTTAAATAGAAAATGAAAATTATGGAGAAAGAGTAAATAAAACAGCATAATCAGTATAGTCTTGTCTTTATAGCATTGTCTACCTGAATATGCCATCAGTTCTGAAGGGATTAGTAACATTTAGGACAATTTTCTTCAGCTCATAACATGGGGATTTGCATTTTAATATATCCTAAAAGAGAACAAAAAAGTACATAAATATAAAAAAAAAAAAATGTGCATTGGAAATACTACAAGGAAAATATTACAAGAAGTATTTGACCACTGATGACTACAGAATTCACATAATTAAAATGCTAATCTTTGTTGCCAGTAGAGTTAAAGACTATTTCATTTTAAACATGTTAAACTTCACCACCTTGTAAATCCTCTTCAAAATGATAGCACAGGGACAGGAACCAAACTATCTGCTTGACATGTTCTCCTTTTTTTCCTCCTGTCCCAACCTTCCTCTCTAACATTAATGTCTACTGCTATGGTATAAAAACTGCCATTGAAAAAAAAGAAAAAAAAAAAAGGTGACTCAAACTCCATCTCAGTTCAGGAGAGGTTCTTAGCCAGATTTGCTTAAAGAATGGCTGATAACAAATGCTGGAAAGCATGCCTGTCTCTGCTCTCACTATTTCTGGGGTGTATCTTAAATCTAACAACCATCTAAATTAAAAAGCACAAATAAACCTAGCAACATCTAACAGACGTTAGCTATCCACCTACATCTGGCAAATGAAATGTCAGATGAAGACATTTAGGCTCTTAAGCTGAAGAGGTGTATCATCATCTCTGCAATGGAATTTCCAAAAGTACTCATATGCTGAAAGAAGTCCAGATTTATTTTCAGGGCAATCAGCTCCAAAATTTTTAATTTGTTCCATATCTATGCGAGATTTACATCTTTAGGCATCTTAGATATTCCTCTAGACCTTTCTCTACACATACAAAGGCTAAAATAGGAAACATGAATATTAATAGGTCAAAGGCAAACGCTGATAGTAACTGACCTTTTTATTCTTACCTCAGTTCACTTTTGTTTGATACAACATACAGTTGAGCAGTATTTTTTGTGACAATATTAATCTCATACACAGACTTACAGCAGGCTCAATATGCTTGACTTCAGATTTCAGAGAGAACGTCAGTGTAGCACCACCTATTCCACCCACTCTCTTAGAGATCAGTAGCAAAACTGCTTCAGCAGGGCGCAGAAAACGACTAGTGAATTCCACGTTTATACTTGTTTGTCTCCTAGGCAAAATAATAACAATAATCCCTTAAATAATCAGGCACAAAATCGTGACTCGGGAATGACTCAGAAATGTCACTTCAGGAGTGTATTTTAGTTCTTGTAAGGGAAGGTGGCTAGAAAGTCACTTGTTTCTTCTGTAATAGTTTGTTGTCGTTCAATCTCCTGTTAAAGAGCACCGTAAAACATTCTAATAAAAGAACTATATGGATTGAAAAAGAATAATAAAAATCCTTATTGCTTTTTATGCCCTCAGCATGTAGCTTGATTTTTCTTCCCATACACTAGCAGAGAAAGTTCTCTTATAGCATTGCCCTAAGTTAACAACTGATTTACTTTATGCTCCTCTATTTGAATACAATTTTGTATGTTAAAAAACTGGACATCCTCTTATGTATACTGTGAGGCAGATCTAGAAGTTATTAATAAAATCCCCACTGAAGACAGAAAGAATTGAGAAAAAGAACCTTCAGAGTAATTAGGCAAAGATGAATATTTTAGAGGTGGAAAAAAAAAAAAAGTTTACTCGCATAAGCAACAGATCAAGTTTATATGGGAATGAGGTAACCTGAGTTGCATTAGTCTTGCAATGAAAGCAAGGCTAATAGACAAAAGTTTAATGGTTGAAGCTCTCACTTTGAAGCTCTCAAAATCATTCTATAGTACTGGGATTAACATCTTAAAATGGAAGGTCAAAAAAATTTTAGCATGCAAGACCATTCTAAAAGCCAGAAAACTGTAAATTATAGAAATATTCTGCCTTTCTACACAAGACCAGAGCATAGAGAGCTTTCCCCAAATAGAAAAATGGCCAGATTTTTTTTTAATTTCTAGTAGAATATCACAAAATACATAGCTAAAACTCTACTGTTTTATACTTTAATTGTAATGCCAATCTATATAGTTCAAGAAATTTTAAAGTGTGTCTCCTAACAAACCATATGAAAGAGATGGTACAAAGCCAATAAATGATAGGAAAATCTTGAAATTTTGTAATTTACACAAACTGGGATTATTCAAATAATTCTTCAAAGAAATTAATACAAAAAAAATATATAGGAAAGTGTTATAATTGTAATCTGTAGATTTATTTGTTGTCTTTCTGGAAGAGATAGAAAATACTGAAAGGAAGCTTCTGCCCAGGACACATCAGCCTTCCCTATTAAATGATTAACAGGAACCGTGCAAACTGGAGAAAAAGTAATAATTAAAATAGAGGGCAGAGGAAAATTCTGTGTGATTTACTGGTCTTCTGCCAATTTGAAATTCTAAAGCTGATGCACACAACTACTGGTGGTATGTGAAATATGCTTGTTACATACTGTATGTGCATTCATATTCACAGTGAAGTTGTGAAGCAGAGGACTTGTAATAGCAATCAGCATGCCACATTTTCGGTGGCATCAAGTTAATTTACATTTGGTTCACAACCATGGTAACAGCAGCTGCTTTTTTAAGTGAACTCAATGCACATATCCATACAAGTAAATTGAATGATCACAGTGATGGCAGAAGTTCTACATTTTGATGGCCAGGTTGGACGAGGCTTTGAGCAACCTGGTCTAGTAGAAAGGGACCCTGCCCATGGCAAGGGTGGTGGAACTAGATGATCTTTACTGTACTTTCTGAACTACTCTATGATTCCATGGAAGTAGTGACAGGATTTGTTCCTTGATCGCAACTACTGTCAAGGAAACCTTCCAGGAAGTTCTTTAATTCATTCATATGATAGACCCAGAGGGAAATAAATAAATAAATAAATAAACACTTAAAACTACCTTGGAACCTGAGAACTGGATGGTGACAAATACAGCACCGATATCTGAAAAATATTTTCAGGAAGATTGGGAGAATCTAAGAACTTTAAGCCTCGAGCCTATAACATACAGTATAGTGCAAAGAATTCTGAAGAATAAAAGAACATAAACAATACCTGCAAAAATGAGATCTACCTGGTAGGAGTCAATATTTGCAAAATGTAGTCCTCCCTTATAAGCCTATGGAAGTTCATCAAAGAATTTCAACAAGAACATGAATAAGGATGATTAAGTTCTATTTCTAACAAAGTCCCTTTCTTTAGACTTACAAGGAAAATAACCAGACATGAATGACGGAGACTGTATCTATGACTCAGGAAAGAAGGAAAAGGAGGGAAAGAAACAGAATTTAGGAACTAATACTTCTTGCTATGTAGACAGGCCATTAATGGAGTCCTTGAGCGTCTGTGACAACTGGAAAGTAAGAAAGCTTACTGTTGTTCTAAGTTGCTTCAGGTTGTAAGGACAAAGATCAATAACACAAAGATTGAAGACCTTATGAGACTAGACAACAAATTTACAGCATACAGAGATGTAAAGAGATGTACACAGGGAAAACAACCCTGTGCTGCCATAAAGCAATGTTGTCCAAGCCATTATAACTCACCAGCAAGAACTTGGATTTGTGACAGACAGTTTCATGAAAACACCAGCACAGTGCTGGGAAACATCCAATGAAGTAAATGAAGTGTTAGGAATAATTAGAAAAGAAACAGAAAATATCAAAGAGAATATCATTAGGCCACCAAATCCCATCCAAAGGATAATTCTAAAGGGCTCAAGCCTTTCCTGTTTGCACCTCTTTACCTCAAAAATGTATCTAGCAAAATTGAAAAAGGCTCACCAAATTGCAGCAAGGATGACTATAGATCTACAGAATGAGTCAGTTCCTGAGCAATGGCAACCCCCTGGGTCAGCTCCCCCCATTTTTACTGTTGGCACGATGCCACATGGGATATCTCTTTGGCCAGTGTGGGTCAGCTGTCCTGGCTGCATCCCCTCCCAGCTTCTTGGGCATCCCCAGCCTCCTCACTGGCAGGGAAGTACAAGAAGCAGAAAAGGCCTTGACATAGTGTAAGCACTGCTCTGCAACAACTAAAACACCAGTGTGTAATCAGCATTATTCTTATCCTGAATCCAAAACAAAGCATCATACCAGCTACTAGGATGAAAATTAACTCTATCCCAGCCCAAACCAGGACAATCATCTTTCAAAAAACATCTTTCAAGCAACCAAACTCTCTCTCTTTTATTGGTTATAATTCTATGTATAAAGATAAAAAATAAAACTATTTGTAGTTGTCAAATTGGCAAAGTTTAAGGCCAACATAAACAACTAGATAACACAGTCTGTAGTAGTTGCAGGCCATTATGTGCGACCATCACCCCTCAATTGTATCTGATAAGCACAGAGTTTCTGTAAGTAAGAGTTTCTTTTCTTCCCTTCGGTAGCTATCACTTTCACTACTTCCAGGTTGAGTTTGTACAGCTCCAGGTTTAAGGTGCTGTTTTTATAAAAAGTTTTGTTCTATTTTCTTTGCAGTTAAGCAGGTCCCTTTCCCAGGAAGGTAGTTTTAAATACTGATCAAGTCATCTTCATTACTTCTCTTGCTACGGTACCCAGAATGAGTGGCTTATAGGTTTGTCTGCACCACCCAATAGAGCTCAGAGACATTCACACTATTGTTGTTGTAAACTGCAAATCTATATGGCATAGCGAATTGCCCTAGAGAATGAAAACCTCTAATCAAAGATTAATTATGTTATATGCAAGATCTGATAGTCAGCTACACCGATAATGTTCTGACACACCTCAAAAGCCAGAGGAAAACAGTATGGTCTTTGGAAGATTTTACCAATGTCCAGATGCTTAGGATTTAAGTCAATTTCACTTTGGCCAATTGACTTAAAATATTCATTCTTGGCAGATATAGGGTGTCAAGGCTTTGGTAGCAGCAAGATGCAGAAGTAGCCTCTCTGAGAAGAGACCAGGAGCTGCCCTGTGTCAGACAGACAGTTCCAGCTAGCTCATTATGGAGCCAGCATGAAAACATATATAAGAAACGGGAAAATCATCTGAAAGGCTGAGGTGCAAGGGAAAAAAGGCTGAGACACAGTAGAGGGAACATGAAGGCCAGAGAAGGAAGAGGAGAAGAGATACTCCAGGTACCAGGGCAGTTATTTCCCTACAGAACATGGAGAGGACCACAATGGAGCAGATTCCACATTGCAGCTGATGGAGCACCCCATGCTGGAGTAGTTGGATATCCTGAGAACTTTTGCCCACGGAGAACTCATGCTGGAATTAATTAATTTATTTTTTTTTTCTGCAGGACTGCAGACTCCTTAGAGCAGAGGAAAATGTGAAGATGAAGGAGCTGGAGAGAGGAACTGTTAGAAGGATACTGAAACCACCCACTCCCTGTCTCCCCTGTGCCACTCAGGAGTGGTGGTGGGAGAATGTAAAGGAGTTGGGGGATGGAGTGAAGTTAGGTGTGGGAGAAGGGGGTGGAAAGGAGATAAGGTGTTTTTATAACTTTTATCTTTGTTTATCAGTTTTTGTTTTGACTTTGGTCACAACTCTTAAGCAATCTGCCTGTCTTTATCTCAACCCACAAACTTTGTAATTTTCTCCCCATCTTCTCTTAAGGAGGGGGAGTAGCAGGGTGGGTGTCTGGCAGTTGGCCATGGTTACCCCATGACAGCCATTGACAAGTTTCTCCAGCTAGTAGTGGACTGCAGCATACATCGTCATGCCTCTCTGATAATACAGACAGACACATATTACACATTTCCACCACTTTATCAGTATTGGTTTAAAATACATGACATCTCTATCTAATGACACATCACTGCTTCCTAATTGATTTAGGTAACTTTTCTTTCTCTTCTTTGTCACCCTTCACCTTTCCACCTTTTTTTTTTTTTTTTTTTTCCCCGATCTGTTAGTTTATCAGTTTTCCTACAGTTAATCTCTCCTAGAGAGTTCCTTCAGACTTGGCATTCATCTACAGAATCTTCTATGCCAAGTGTGCTCACCCAGCAGGACAAACAGGATTAGTCAAGAACACTTATTCCTAATAAATCAGCACTTAAAACAGTAAGTCTACACATAATAAAATAGAGGTGTAGGTTTATTATTCACATTTCTATTACTTCCCAAACCACATACCTTATTATGGTCTAACATAAAGAAACAGCAAGACTCACACCAAACCTAACAATGCTTAGAGTTCTCAAACAATTCCATCACGTTTTTAATAAAGGTATTAATTAAAAAAAAAAAAAAAATCATTTGGGGGCCAAGACTACGCACAAGATTATATTATGGTAACCACTGCAGTGGTAGTCAATGGATGACTGCCATTTCCAAAAGCTATGTTTTTGCTTTGCATTTTTTCAAATTGCTATGCTTTTTTTTTTTTTTTTCCCCAAATGTCTGTAGCTATATATAGTGCCAAGCAGCTCATTCATGACATATTTAGTATTATTCAGTACATATTTACTTTTTTCTTGTCTTTTTTATTTTTTTTTCTTCTACTTTTTAAAGGTGAAGTGAAAAACAGCTACAATATTGACCTTTCAGGAAACACATGATATTTTCTAAGATTACATTCTTATGTTAATTCTTATATGAAGAACTTTCAAAGAAAACCAAAGTAAATAAGCCTCACAGCTCACTGATAACATTACTTATTTTTCCGTTTGCATATATTTATGATAGTCACACTATTTCATATTGGAATGTTGGTCAACCTTAAAAAGCACTGTATTTATGTTAAGTCTTGAATTTGACAGTATTTTTAAAATGTTTTTCTTCTTCATGGCTTACTTTCATTCAAATGCTGACCTTTGTTTACCATTTTACAATCTCTAATCCATTTCATCTTCAAAGAAGTATATTATATAAACTTGCAGTCTAAACTTAAAAACTCTTAACTGGCTGCCAGAGTCACTGCTACATCCCTTTTACCTTCAATACTTAAACAATTTGTGATATTTCTGCATCTAATCTTAAGCCATGCTTCATAGAAAGAGCAAAATGTATTGCATAAACAAAATGCAAAAGACAGGCACATATTATGCATATTTTTGCTAGCAAAAATATTAACAAACTAAAGTTTTCCCAAATTTAAGTCTCTCTGAAATCCTTAAATGACAAAGTATTTCAGAAATTTAAGACAGAAATAATGACATTGCAGCTGCAACAGAGGGATGACGTGGGTAAAAAGTAGTAGTCTAACACTACTGTCAAATCTGTGTCATGATCTCTTAAATTTCCTGTCATGTTTCAATTAAGAATAGGAAACAAAAATCAAAATCTTACAAGGAAGAATTTTTTACCTGTTCATACTGCCATAATTCACTAATGTGAAAAACATGAGTCACACTCAGAGGAGATATTTCAATTTTAGTTGGGAAAAAAATAAGAACAACAGATCCAAGCAGCCCAGTTTTTAATTGAACACATTCCTAGTGTTCCACTACAGTTAAATTAGTTGCATCTCCAAAGACTTGCTCCATTTCCATACTGCTAGACTTATGTGGAGCACAGTAACTAGCAGGGTGCCCTGGAAGTCGATATTGGGTCCAATCCTGTTCAACATCTTCATTAATGATCTGGATGATGAGGTAAAATGTACCCTCAACAAATTTGCAGATGACACAAAACTGGGAGGAGTGACTGATATACCGAAGGGTCATGCTACCATTCAGAGAGACCACAACAGGCTGGAGAAATGGTCTGACAGGAACCTCATGAAGTTCAGAAAGAAGTAAAAAGTCCTACACTTAAGGAGGAATAGCCCCAGGCAACAGTATATGATGGGAGCTACCCAGCTGGAAAGCAGCTTTGCAGAAAATGCCCTGGGGCTCCTGCTGGATGCCAAATTGAATATGAGTCAATGCACTTGCCACTAAGAAGGCTAACGATATTCTTGGTTTCATTAGGTAAAGTATAGCCAGCAGGTTGCGAGGTGATCCTTCTCTGCTACTCAGCATTGGCGTGGCTGGACATGGAGTGCTGGGTACAGTTCTGAGCCCTCAACTAAAAGACAGACATCAACATACTGGAAAGAGTCCAGTGGAGGACCACAAATATGATGAAGGGATGGGAGAAGCTCTCCTATAAGTAAATTCAGAGAGCTCAGACTGTTTAGCCAAGAGAAAAGAAGGCTCAGGGGGATCTTTTCAAAGTATATAAAAAATGGAAATGAGGGTGCCAAGAAGACAGAGACAGAGACAGGCTCTTTTCCATGGTGCCCGGTGACAGGACAAGAAACAATGGGCACAAACTTGAACACATGAGGTTCCATCCAAACACCAGGAAGCGCTGTGCAGGTGATGGCATACTGGCACAGGTTGCCCAGAGAGGTTATGGAGTCATCCACCTTGAAGAGACTCAAAAGTCATCTGGGCAATCTGCTCTAGGTGCCTCTGCTTGAGTAGGGGTGTTGGACTAGACATCCGTCCCAACCTCAGCCATTCTGTGATTCATATAGCTCTGTGATTCATAACACTAAAATCATTACTTACTTGGAAGAAATGACGATAGTGTTTCCTTTAGGTAATGAGAAGTCATCAGCATCTCTTCCCACAAGAATAGCGTTATACACCAAAGTTTTAATGCTAGGGTTTTTCAGACGCACCTATCACAACAACAACAAAATTAGCCAAATTTTATTCATTTTTAAAGCACATAAAAGTTCTTCAGCTAGGTTTCAAAATGCAAATGAAGGATACCACAAAATAAGAAAGTATTTCAAATAACAGTGCAAATCATTTTTCTCCCTAAGAAGCACAGATGTCCCACAGACTGTCTGACCTGTTTTTCTGAGTACTTCTTTTGTAATGTAATACCTATGCCAGCTATTAATCTCTTATTCCTCTCTATCTTTATCCCAAAAACCAGTTAAATTCATAGATTTTTCTGTGCTCATAAGCACAGGGGGGAAAACAGAAATCAGCATCCCCATCCTGAAGAGAAAAATATTCTTCGCTCTTCTACATTTAGTAGTCAAACGACATGACACTCATTCTTTGTTGCAGTATATACATAATATAATAATAATAATATATACATGCAGCATGTTTTAACATTGTTCTTTTACAGATCTAAATTCAATGGTATCAGTACCTGTTTAACAACAGTCGCATGGAGAGCACCTGTAAATTCTATAGTCTCCTTAGGTAAGTAGTGAGGGAGGCTTTCATATAGGTAGACACACAGAATAAGCATCATGACTGGGTTTGGATCACAGATGTCAGTGGCCTAGTATTGAAAACCAAGAAGAAATAATTACCAAATATTCAGCAACTGCAAAACAGGTCAAAGCTTTAGTCTTCAGAAATTCTAGTAAATCACTGGAAAGAGAAGTATAAACTCTTCCACCAGGCACGTGAACTTGATTAGACAGAAGTCTAATCAAATAATGAAGATGGGAGTGGCTTCCCAGATAAATACAGGCAGGAAAGATCAGCCACAGATTTAAACAACAAGCTCCTAAATCAGGCTAATTAAGTATTTTAAAATTTCATGCATAGTATCTTGTAAAATAATGTTATTATAATAAAGTTGTCCATAATACACTCCATTTTTACAATTACAGTTAACTTCTCTGCTAATTAAATGTCAAGTCCTACAGAAAAATGTACACACCTGGAAGTAGATCTAAGCAGCAAAACACTGCATTAGAAGGTCATCCTATTAAAAAGTGTTTTTGTTTTGTTTTGTTTTTCCATTTAAGACACTTTGTTTGGATTCCCATAACTGAGACTCTTTTAATATAGCAATACTTTGAAAAAGATGTGTGTACTATGTGCACCTACTTCCCTTAAACAGAGCTATATAAAGAACACCTTGTAACATGACTTGAAAATCAGCAAGCAGATAGGTATAGAGAAAAGACTTGCTATAGACTTGCTATAGGAAACTGTACTGTGAGATCTCTCACTAGAGAAGTGCAACTCTAACTGAAATCTGCCAGGTGACAGCAGCTGTGGTAGTATAGTGAGGATTAACAACAAATCAAAAATAAATAAATACAGTCCATCTAATAAAATGTGCCATTAATTAAAGTGAATAATATTGAATAAAGACTCCAGTTTTTGGCACCACCACCTCTGCAAAATATTTAAACACTTCATTTTTTTTTATATTAAAAAAAAAAAAAAAGAATCACTCTAGAAAACACATGGGTTCATGGGTGAATATTATTCCCACTGTAACTTTTTAGGATCTTACAACTACTCTAAATAGCAATCTAGGAGGATAACATTGTATAAATTTAATTTTCTTTTCCCACTTTTTCAGGAAATTTTAAAACTTACTGACAAACTATTAAAATTTCCAGGGCTCTCTTAGAATAATAAATATTGCTATATATTAATATTTATTCTCTAAACTAGGAGGTCCTTTTCACAGGACCACATTTTCAGCCTCCACATTACTTTTATGAGTACCTTTTTTGTCTCTTATGCATGTCTTTAAGACAGCAAAAGAGATGTACAGGTATTTATGCTATCACTATAGTCTGAGTTATATTTTTTTTTCCAATTTATTAAAAGTTTTAAATTAGAGCACATACTGCTTATTGATTTTTCTTCTTTTGACATTATTAAAATGCAATATTAGCTGAAATTTATTGTGTAAAACATAGGACTATAAAACAGCGACTGAGATGTAACTCCTAAGACAGCAGCACTAAGAAAGCAAAAGGATCCATCAATCCAAGCACAACAGCTCCACTCCCTAACTGCTTCTACCTAATGACTGATGGACCAGCAACTGTCAAAGCTTTACTTCAGCTAGCAAAAGCTACATTTTGACATAATGATTCTGTGAAGTGAAAGGGTATAAAGGGCAAAAATTTACAGCTGTAGTGGAGCCACCTTCTTCAAACACAATGTAAAAAACCTCAGTTGCTTAAAGCAAATATTCAACAAAGAAAAACCTTTATACAAAATAAGAACCTAACAGCAGACTATTGGCTCAGACTATGGGCCAAAAGAGTACCGATTAGATATCCTTTTCCAAGTGTAGCTACAAGCTGATGCCTAAATGAAAATCATTAGAGGGTTAAGTACACTTGAATATTTTCCCAGTTATAGGCTATTTTCAACACGAGTCTTCCTGAACCACATGACTTCTATCCACCTAGAAATCCTCAGTGGATTTGGACACCATAGTATAAAAAAGGATGTAAAGCCATTAGAGTGTCCAAAGGAGGGCAGCGAAGATGGTGAACTGTCTGGAGGACAAGATGTATGAGGAGCAGCTGAGGTTCCTTGGTTTGCTCAGCCCAGAGCAGAGCAAGCTGAGGGGAGGCCTCATGGCAGCCTGCAGCTCCCTCACGAGGGGAGCTGAAGGGCAGGTGCTGAGCTCTGCTCTCTGGGGACAGAAACAGGACCCAAGGGAATGGCATGGAGCTGGGACAGGGGAGGGTCAGGCTGGGGGTTAGGGAAATGTTCTGCACCCAGAGGGGGGTCAGGTACTGGGACAGGCTCCATTGGGCAGTGGTCACAGCAATGAACCTCCCAGAGTTCAAGAAACATTTTGAAAGTGCCCTCAAGACACATGGTCTGGTATTTCAGTGGCCCTGTGTGGACCCAGATGGTCGACTGGATGAGGATTGTGGGCGCTCATGAACATCCAACTCAGGATATTCTATGGTTCTGTGACTTCTCTTCCAAGCATATATAGAGTCTCTCTCTGAATCTGTGTAAAAATTGTAAAAGCATCTTAAGAGAACACTGTCACAGCTGAAACAAGCACCAGCTGGAACATCATACTGTGGGTGAGCCCATTGCAGAGTGGGGCAGGGCCAGGCAGCCCTGGGGCTGATGTGGGGTCCTGGGCCTGTGCAGGTGCTGGAGCCCTATGGGGCTGCTGAGCAGTAGTCAGTGTGTCCTCACGGCCTTGAGAGTGATTAAGTCTAAATAACATTCAACCTACGTCATTTGATGACTCTAAGACTGTCATTTAAGCAAAAACATGATTAAGCAAATCATGTTTTAGCAAGGCTGCAAGGAAACCAGAAGGAGCTCCTTGAACAGATAGACTCCTAATGTCTGCTTTAGGAAGAGGAACCTCTCTGTCCCCATACCCTAAAGCATTACATGGAAGGGTAGGAGGGAAAGAAAAAAAAAAAGGGGGTGGGGGGGGAGAATCTGAGTAGTGGAAAAGATTATGAGTCTTGGCTAATGGACTAAAAGCAGAGGAGGAATGTGGCCCTTTCCTACAGGATAAGTATTATTTAATGAAAGATGACTTAAATGAAGACAACTTCATAGACTTATCATTGAGTACAGTTCAGCACTAATTAAAAGAAATGTCTGTAATCCTGCAAATTAAATGTGCAATAATGTGCTCTATGTGCTTTGTACTACAGCACACGAACTTTTGTTTTGTTTGGTACACAATATAATAGGAAGGAGAAAATTGACAAGATACATTAGAAATGACAAAACCTTACCATATTTTAACCTACATACATATTAAATTCACCTTGTATAGCACCTCACTAGGTAAATTCCAAGTAGTCTTCTGTTTTGTCATGTTGAAGGTTGTAGGAGTGTCCATATTATCAACTATATTATCCATGTTATCAATAAAGCTGAGTTCCAGCCAAATGCTCTTTATCTATTGCTCTGATTTTTTAGGCTTACAGATCAAAGCATATGCTTGTTTATATACTTTTATGTGGATGCTTAGGAAGATTCAGTCTTTTAAAACTCTCTTCAAGTGTTTTTCAAGCCTAGTTGAGGTGTTATGTAAGATACAGTCTAATAAAGATATATACGAGAAGGCAATTGCTACACTAACAAATAAAAGTGATTTTTAAGCTCTTTTCTATTTTCTGTATGTAAGACAGCACATCGACATTAGATTCCTATCTCAGGCAAACCAAGATATTTGCATTTGTGTTACAGATTGGCAGATAGATAGAGGGTTCTATCTGTGTCTTTGCAGTATCATAAAAATTTTAATCAAGTAACTAAGAATTACAAAAGAGTGCTTTTCCTTAAAGTTAGTCTTGTCAAGAAGTTTTCACATTTGTCAAACTAATGGCTTCTTACTAAAGTATAGCAAAATGAAGACAATAGAAGTACGAGTGTAGCATTTAGTGTCAGCCAGGAAGTTTTCTTTCTAGGTGTACCGGTAGACTAACTGCAGGAAAAATTCAAAGATTTTCCAGAAATTTTAAATTCCTTTCCTCCATTGGCTGCTGACACCATTTTCCTTCTCTCCTTCATTTCACACTCAAATCTTATGGTTATCATCTGTGCCCCCTTTTCTTCCTCATTTGGTCATGCTATTGCCCAGTTGCACTGTGTTCTACACCACAGCTATACTGAATTCCTCTCTGTGTTTCAGCAGAATAGGCACATTCATTTTCAGCTTCTTAACACTCTGACTTTACTCACAACTTGTTCTATACTTTTTTGAAAATATACTCCATTTCACTTGGTCCCAAATTTTTGTTGGCCTCAGTTTTATGTCAGTGGCAAATTAGGATCCTCTGCTGGCTATCCCCTATCACAGCATCCTCTCTCCTAATCTATCCTTGTTACGTACATTTCCAGCAAATCACTGTTATCCACCATCCTATCTTACTTTCAATTGGATGTTCTTCAAATCGAAGTGCTTTAGAACTTAAAATAGCAAACAGAAAGAAAAAAATACATAGAAAGACACCATTAATACTCCAGGATTGAACTGTCAGTCATGATCAGAAAGTGGAAACAAAGAATTGCTTGACAAAAGTACTATATCTTAAACCTATATCTTAATCCTTAAGAGGATTTAAAAGCCTTGAACCCCATTAGAGATATGTATCATTTAAGCTTGCAGCTGAAGTCTTCCAGACAGTTAAATTTATTATTACAGAATCTAAGATTTTAAAGTGATTGAAAATGCCATCTGTTCTAGACCTGATATATGTCACAGCTTGCACTGTCACCACCATTTTTGCATTAATTAATGCAAAACTGTGCTGAAAGTTCAGAAGTAACGACTGCCTGATAGTCAAGAACTTTGCCAATACTGTTGGAACATTTTAACTTGCTAAATTTAAGAAACAGGACTATCAGAGAAAAATCCCAAACTAGGACACTTCAGCAAGTGGATGCATGTGTGTATTTTGCTGCTTTTACTGCTGAAGAACAAGTTTAAGAAATTTCTACAGTATTCTTGGAAAAGTATGTATGAATTCCAGTAAGCCTATGTAAGAAGTATTCCTTACATTCTCTATTGTTTTACTTTCCAGGATATTTTGGTTTTAGACCACACCTTAATCTACAATTAAATGCAGATGTTGAAGATCTGAGATCTGTTCCTTTTTCTAGTGTTGACTGATTATATAGTTTTGTTTAAATTCTTAATATATACAGAGATTAACTTTCCCATCTACAAAAACATCAATACCTTAAAAATATGGTGAACTAATCATATTACTACATTGTAGTCTTAAAACACACTAAGTGCACTAAAACTGCATGTCCTAGAGTTCTGCTTCCACCTTGAATATGGTTAACTCCTTTTACTTATCAGCCATTCAGCCTCTGCCTTCATGTGCTGTACTGGCTGCTTTTCATATTACAAAATGAACCAAAAAACACCTTTATTTTCAAGATTATACCTATATTGTCTTCTTATGGTTCCTGTCAGTTATAAGTATATGAAATGGATTTTCTTGGCCTGTAATAGCAAGGACATTTATAACAGCCTATAAATATCAGGAGGTGGTAGCAGAAAAACAGCTAGTACAACTGGAAACAGCATTGTTAATTTTGCACTGCAAATCACATTTTAGGCAGGTTTCTGTAGTGTAGCGGTTATCACATTCGCCTCACACGTGAAAGGTCCCTGGTTCGATCCCAGGCAGAAACACTTAATTTTGGGAGTATTTAAGGAAAGGTTGGACTTGGTGCTTAGGGACATGGTTTAGTGGGTGACATTGGCAGCAGGGTGATGGCTGGACCAGGTGGTCTTTTCCAACCCTAATGATTCCACAATTCTATGAATGGAAAAAAAAAAGTTGTAATTGAGCTTCCTTTCATATCACTTCATATCACCACACCTCCGTCTCTGATTCCTAATACTATTCATTCCTTTGGAAAGCTTCTTCGTACACAGACAAATACTATGTCTATTCTACTATGTATATCTATCTATGTATACATAGATATACATAGTACATATATACATATACACATAGTACATGTATACATCTACTATGTGTATCTACTATGTATATCTATCTTCTTGTCCTTCTAGCCAGCTCAACATGCCCCACACCCACCTCAGCCCATCACAGTCCCTGACATTCATTTTGCTCATGATGGAAACTGAACCACTCTGCAAATTAAGATGATGATTAAATTTAACTGAAACAGTTGTTACTAATTTTGATAAGGATAGGACTTTAATCAATAAGTGAGCAAAGGAGAAGTGAATCAGCTATACAGAAAATTTGGAGGTAACAGAGCTTAAACTGATGGAATTGAGCTGTGAGGTGTGCTACCAAACATATAAAAATGATCCCAGGTGAACTATAGAGTAATGCAGAAGTAACAAACAACATCAATGTCACAGGAGGAATCCCAGTGAAGGACTGCAGAGGTTGATGGCTTTCACAACAGCAGTCCAAGGGTACTGACTTCAGTGTGGAACAAACCTGGGACAGAACACTCATGAGTGTGCATGATTTAGATAGAGTCACCTAAATGCCACCAGACATTTATATATATGAATATTTTTACCACTCTTTCTTATGTTTAAGTGCAGGATGATTGTTGTTATATATATTTTTAATTTGTCTTAGAATGTTAATAATAAATTCTACTCAGTCTTTCATTTTGTGCTTTCGATGCTAGAAACTGAAATTAATAAGTCTTGTTATAATCACCTAGTTTCATCTATACAGTTCTACAAATCAAGGAATTATGGAAATTACTTGTTATTAAGTGTATTTATATGAAGCAGTATTTTGATTTCCATCATACAGTAGCACATCATGGAATAAAACTGATTCACTGAAATCTCATCTCAATTTGATATACAATATTGCTATTATAAAAGTTAAAAAAAAATCAAAAATAAAACAAAGTATGTGAGTAAAGATGGTATAAAATCATTTACCTTTATGTCTATAGTCAGATTGACAGCGTGCATAGCATTCACAAGTATCAAACAGTTGTGCAGAAACTGTGCAGGAGTTTTTGCATTAGTATACATCCTTACAAAGTGAGTAGCAATCTAGGGAAGATACAGAAATCAAACTTTTCATATTCCACTCAGCAAAACTAGTATGTTTGCATTTTCATTCTTTGAGAAATCCATAAGATCTAAATTTTGAACTAAAATTTTCTGTTAAGAATATACCAGAGAAGAGAAAAAGTAATCACTTTTTCAGAAAATCAGAAGAGAAAAATAATCACTCTGCACTCACTAAATGGTATTTTGTTTTTAAAAACCATACAAGTCAACAATTCCAAAGGAAAATAAGGCCTGAGTAAATCCTCTTAATTAATATTGCCCTGTGTATAAAACATGCATGATATTAAGAGAAGTCCTTACCAAGTACGGACAATAAGCTGCCAGCTGTGCTGCCAATACCAGACCATCTAGAAGATCTCGGTCAAAATTCACTATCCATCTCATTGGTGGTACTTCACCTGATTTAAAAACAGAACAGGATGAGTAAATTAGACCCTCTCTCCTGACACGCCTAATTTTACTCTGGGTAGATATAAAGACTTTATGAAACAACTGAGTAGAGGAAAGAACAGAAAAAGGAAAGACGCCACATTCACGTGTAGAATTTCCCAGGCATAATTCTCCTTCAGAGCCATTCCTGGAAACATGAAAAATCTCACCTAGAGTATTGTAACTATTATGCATACATTATGATACAAATGTCAGAGTATTCATCACAACTGGAGGGACGGTAGATAAGCTAAACCTAACCTCAACAGATAGCTGTAAATTTAGCTGTCATACTTAGGTACATAATCACGTAAATTATTAGGTGGCTAGGCATAAGGTTCATGCAGCTACTGAAACTCACAAAAACATGCACAAATCCTCTACAGTTGAAACATTCAAGCATATAGGAAATAATAGGTTATTAATTTTCTTCAAGGTCATACTAAATTATTTGGCACTTATTTAATAAATGCAATATAAATGAAAGCTCAAAGCTCAGCTCCTCCAGCACAGATCACTACTTCTATGTTTCAGTTTTAAATGCCTATGCTTCACAAAGTTAAGATTATTCATCATGTATCTTATACTTTTATTTAAAATAAAACTGATTGTTAAGAAAGTAAATTTTATGAGTATTTCATATTTCAAGCATTCCGTATCCTAAACATTTATCCCAGCATTTAAACAGCACAATTCTGTTTTACCATAAGAAACCATTTGAGTAATAGTCATCTGAAAACTCTCTTTTCAAAAATTTATTTATTAAAAAAAAAAAAAACTCTTCAAAATTCCCAAATATTTGAAACCTGAGATACTCTCTGAAAAAAAAAAAAAAAAATTCTGACATATCAATAATTGTTTTAAATCAGTGACTATATCCAACTACTGGTACCTTGCTGTCGAGATAATATACAGTTTTTAAAACACAAGCACAGAGAAGCTGATCCTATTTTTTTAAAGGAGAAGAATGAGGTCACAAATATTCAAGGACTGAGTCAAGCCTTCTCTGTTGGGTTATCTTCAGTTTCTTCCAACTTCTATGACAAAAATGGCAATTGCTTAATTTCCTTTGTTTTCCTTACTGTCTAAAGTCCCAGCTCACAAATTTAGTGAATGCTTTGGACCTCAGTTATTGGCAGGGTTTTCAGATAGTCTGAGATCATGCTTTCTCATAAAGGACAACTTATATAGCTTTTATTTCACTATATATTCAGATAGTGTATTCTTTACCAACTTCAAAGCTTCCTAGATTGAAAAATACCCACCAATATGCTATGGAATGATCCAAAATTTCATATATTTCAAAAAAATAAATATATCATTTTAATAGAAATTTTATGTAGAAATGTTTTTTCTTTCAAAAGTGCTACCATAAAAAATAAATTAAAAAAAAATCGAAAACTAAACAGCTATGATGGTAATCACAGAATCACAGAATTGTCTAGGTTGGAAGAGACCTCAAGATCATCGAGTCCAACCATGTTTTGTACCATGTTATATCTAGATCCAAATGTAATGATTTTAAGAATAGTCCACCATCTTCCTTAGCAAAAGAATATGGAGACTCCAGTACCTGACACAAAATTAATTTTAAACAATAGGAGCATAAAATGTTTTATCAAGTTACATATTTCAGACCTTTCTTTCAAATCTGTCCTTACTATGAGCTTCATTCTACAAGATCATACCTATGAAAGCAGGTAAATAGCGTTTGTTCTAAAGAACTCAACTTTTACATCCAGTACAATACCTTGCCTGTACTCACTCACTTTTTTGGTATCAAATGCAGTTGCAAAATTGCCATTAGTAACAGTGATGAAGCTATATGTGATGTTGCTAATGCCAGGTTACAACATATCACTACCAGCTTGCTTAACCTCCAGAAGTACAGTTAAATCAAATTTGCAAATAAGTAGCTATCGTCACCTACAGGTATAAATCTGGTTGTGGAACTCCTCATTTACACCAAATGGATGAGTTGTAAGTTTATAAAATTGTTTTATAGGTGTTGCAAATATTATGTTTCATACTAAATTTAAAAGAGAAACTACCCACAAATGAAATAGAAGAAATAAAATAACAATGGAGCAAATTATTAGTGTGTTCAGAGAAAATCATATATTAATGCAAAGTAAATACATCAAATTATAATCTCAAACCAAAATGAGTTCCAGAGAAGACTAATTTTTAAGTATTTGCTTTCATAAAACAACCTAGCTAACACACAATAGATTTTTTTCTAACTGTGACTTCCTATTTCATGGAAGACTGAAGTTATTACAGAATTTTCAGGGATGGTTCATGAATACTTAGATGAAAAATGTTGATGTACATGTGTTTTGCAGCAGGGGGTGCTGGTTCATTATTATCCTATTAAGAATTAAGACAGACCCTCAGACTTCATAAAGTATCACTGACATTTAGGAAAAAAAAAAAAAAAGGATACTGCTTAATTTCAGCATCACAGAATTGTAGGGGTTGGAAGGGACCTCAAAAGATCATCAGGTCCAACCCCAATAGGTTGCAGCTGCACTGTGCCATCATGAAAAATACTATACACTTAAAAACAAACAACTTCCTGCTTGTTGTAGCAGTCAGTTGAAAAGGTTCTTTTTTTAGTTTCACGCTCACATTCTCTAATGTGAGAATTTAAGATGATGTTTGGTCTAACTAAGCACTAGAGCTGTGACATTATTACTGCAAAATAATTTCAAGCAGGGTGCTAAATACTATGTTTTAACTGCTAAAATATTTCAGTGGAAAAATGAATGTATCAAAACATTCAGTGGAAAAGTAATTAGATTATTAGTAACAAATTACACTTAGAAAACACTTATTCAATTTACGACAATCCCCTGCAGTATATTCTAAGCAAAATTTATCTGTCTTAATTTGTTTGTTCATGTACAGAATACAGATGCCTCAGCATCTGAAAAACTTTAATGTCTATCATTCCATGTCAACTATTTGCAGATATTCAAACACATGAACATAGCTGAAGTGAGAAAGTATAGGAGCACATGCTGCACAAGCTTACCAAATAGGGCATGTAAATTCATCGTGAGTTTACTCTGGGACATTGATTAATTTAGTTTTTGCCTTCTTCAGTATTTATGCTTGTTTAATGTTTCCTACTCATTCTCTAAAGTGACTTCAAACACAATTTCAAATGAAAGTAAAGATCAACAGGTTAATGAGTTTGAAATCCAATGGCTGCACAGCTCCATCTCATTACAGTATTCAAGGCCCCTTCCACCTAATTAAAACCAATTACTATGCCAACTACTTTCAACAAGATGTCTCTCACAATGGTAAGTTCTTGGATCTAAACAGATGTAACTCTGGCCTACCTCTTCCACCCTCTCCTTCCCAAAATAACTATTTACCATATCAGAAGACAGATGGAAATCTTACTATGAATTAATCACCATATAACATATGATATCTCATACGCTAATTATAATTGCATTGTTTTTAAGCAGTCTCTTTTCTTCTGGTAAGACCTAAGCTGTTACTTTGTTCCACTTTCATGGTTAAAAATTCATCTCTAATAGTTGAAATAAAGGAACTGGGTTAAAAGTAAAAATGATCACTCTCCACTCATCTCCAAAAGTCTTCTAGGACATACCAAAAAATAAAAATAAAAATTAAGTGACTACCTAAAAACTCTCCTTTTCTGAAGAAAGTTTCAAATAAATTTATTTTATTGTGGTTGTTTCATTAATAACAACAGAAAGAAAACTGAATAAATATACATTTACATTCAAAATACAAAATTACATTGACAGTGGGAACCAGACATTGCTGTTAAATGGCTCTGTGGCATACACAAATTTGTTGGGAACAGAAGTATCAAATTACAGTATCAAGTAAAATAGTATGATGTCAGAGGTTCACATAGGTTTAAAACACAATCATACAAATCCACAGAATAAAAATCTAGTGCAACCTTCAGCCACAGAAGTACCACCTCCATTTCGAGTAGTCTTGAATATCAAGTTAGGTAATATCAGATTGTGGATGAAGAAAGTATTGTCATATGGTTGCACAGTATCTTAAGCATTTTCTATTGCAGATATAGAGCTAGACCTCTAAACTAACAGACTAAGTCCTTTTTAAAGTAAATTACTGCAGTAATAATGGTTTCTAATATTATATAACACCTTCCTATTCTGGTATCTGCAAATCTCTGGAGGTAGAACGAATCTATAGTTATAATAATGCCTATAGTCCTGTCTCAATAGCTTAACTCTGGTACTGAATAAGACAAACATTTACACAAGAAATATGTAGCAATAACTTTTTCTGTAATTTCTGCCATTATAACTAGGGCAAAGTTTAAAATGATTCTACTGAGGTATACAGTACAGAGCATAAGAAAGATGAGATCTAAAATGTATTTAGGACTGATAACTGATTTGCTTTCAGCACATACTACATGTGCAGACTGGTAGGCAAACTATAGTGTCTACTTCAGGCAAGATACAACCTTTGCTCTTGCAAGCTAATAGTTATTCTTCTAAGAACTCCTGAAATCTCAGGCACAGATCAATTTAATACCAGTCAGTTCATAATTCTAAGCAGAAAAGTTCAACAAAAACCACATGGGACAATGACAGGAAAACAGATACACTGCTGATTTGTCTCATTTATTCCCATCTGTTACAGAAGGCTTTTTACCCCAAGGCATGAACATTTACCTTTCTGTTCCTGTTAAAATTTTCTCATCATCTTTCATTATCTATGCTGTTATGTTTTATTTCCACTGATTCTTCTCCCAAATAATCTCTTAAATTGACATTTTTTTATGCAGCACATAAAAATAGTGTTTCCTTATATCAGTATCCATTTTGTTGCTTTTAAACAGAAAATTTTCAGGTGTAAAGAGAAGCAGTTTTTAAGTCACTGAATGATAATAAAAGCCACTAAATCAATGTGTCACTTTCAACACATTTTTTTAAATCACAGAACACTATTTCACTTATAAACTGCTGTGACTTAAAATGGAATAAATCACAACAATTCATTACAGTATACCTGGCTTCTATGTTGGCTTCAGAATGAATACTATAGCCCCTGCATCACCTTATTTAATCATAAAAAAATAAAAAAGTGAAATACCATTCTCAATAAAATTCACCATTTGATATTTACAATGTATTAACAGGATCTTTATTAATCTTCATAGACCGAAATTTGGTTTCCCCTCACAAAATGTCTGAAGTTGTATTACTAAATCCACAGCCATACCATACTAAATCTACATATTTGGCATGCACTATAGAAGAAGCACTACTAGAAAAATAATCCAAAAGCTTATTTACCCAAGAAAAAATAAATACCAATGTACAAACACTGTAAAGAGTCTTGTTTAGCTGTAAGTAGAGTAGCTGTCTAGGCATCTCAGGACGTAGTGCAAAGGAAATATAGGTGTTATTAAAGTTTACAATAAAGACAACACACAGTGGGGTTGAGGAATGTATCCTTACACCATTTATGGTGAACCATAAAACCGGCCAGGTAGCTAGCCATTCTTTCTGCAAATTGTCATCCACACACATGGAACTCAGATTACACAATACAGCAACTTGCAGTAAAAGGAGAAGAGTGCTCCTTACTTTAAGACAGCTTCACTAAAGCTGACACTAGACACAGATAATAAGAAAATGTTACATTGCAAATATACATGTACTTACGTACTACAGGGCGTGTTACCTTAGCTAGGCAAGCTCCCTATGTCAATCATAAAATCAGAACCAAACTATGAGTTGAAAGGTAAAAATCTGTTTCTGTTGAATGCACAATGTATAGACTGACCTTTCATCTTATCAGCAGAATTATTCAACACATTTTAGAATATCCAGTATACTTCTCTTCTATATAGATAAAACAAGAAACGCGATGGGATATTCAAAATATATTCAAGTTAGGTAATATGCCCAAATGAGACTTCCAGAAAATTATACGCAAATAGATTATCCATAATTCACACAGGTCAGAAATTACTCATGGCACAATGACACTAGACAATCTTTTCCATATGTGGCTTATTAGCCGTTTTTTTGGAGTTCTTCATTGATCATCATCATACTGCCTCTTCTTAGTTTTAACTACCCATTCAAATTAATGATGAAAAATAGCATGAGGTTAAGGTCAAGAATCAGAAGGGAGAAATCTTACCAGGAAATAATAATAATAGTTGCTACTGGTTGAACAGTGGCAGATCAGTTTTACCAGATGTGAATAACAGAACTGGTTAGGTCAGTCTTTAACTGAACAGTTCATTTTGTCTAATCTTACTCAAGCCATCATGAGGAGTCAAACTGACCTTGCAAGTAGGGCAAGAGTTAAAAAATGGTCTGCATCACATTCCTATATGGCATTATAGTTAAGTCAATATGAAAGTTATTCTAAAAATTCTGACAAACCTAGCCTTCAAACACATCACTATAAGCACAAATACTAACAACTACATATGCCTGCAGGCAGGAAAATTAAGAGAAAGTGAGTACTATTAGCACCTCCTTCCTGCAGTCATTAATGGAAAGGAGAAACTGGGAAAATTCAGCACAGGTCACCCTTTATGCTTAGTTAGAAATGATAAGAACACAAAGAACAACAGGAGGTAGATCCTGAACAGTGTTAGTCAAAAGACATTCATCATGTAACCCAGAAACACAAGAAATGGAAATATGCATGGGTAGGCAATCCCCCCCCCAAAAAAAACTTTCAGTGGCAAGTTGTCACGATATCTCTATGAATCATATTATTTCTACAAAAGGAATAATAGAAGTGAGAGTATAGTGGGGAAAAAAAATCACCTTTTTGACCATCTTTCCACACAATTTTTCGATTCTTCTCATAATGTTTATTTAACCAAGTAAGGATGATTCGTTCATACGGAGAATATATGTTACTGGATAAAGGTTCTGATTTTATTCTTGGCATGTTCAGCACATTTTCCAAATTGAACGGATCGGTGGTCTTGCGCAAAGAAACACGAGGAAGAACAAACACCTGAAATTAGAAACCATGTTTTTAAAAACAAACTATAAAAAGAACAATTTCAAGTTGAATATTAAAAAGTAACACTTCACAAACAAACAGTTTTCTAGTTTAGTAAGTATTTTAGAGATTACACATAAGCATAACTGTGTAACAAAGAACAAAGTTGCAGAGGTTTGGGGGAAATCTTTTACTTCCTTAAAAAATATACAAATACTTTGTTTCCATATTTTTCCCCAGTTTTGATGAACTGGATGACATCACTGGATTGTGTATCACTGTGTACATTTAAAAAACAAACAAACAAAAAACAAACTTCTAATTACTGAACTGCTAAAATGATCTGCAGTACAATCTATAAAACAAAAAATCTTTAAGTTATTTCATGGCACAGTTGTGCCTTTAGATGCAGATTACGCTGACTGTTCCTCCTGAAAAATAAACCATGTTACAGTGTCTACAGTAAAATTCTTTGTACTCAGAGCTTACCGATTAAGTCTTACACAATCCCACATTAAAAATATAAGAAATTATATACATATTTATAGATGTATACAGAATATAAAAAATATAAAGTTAAAATTAAAAAATCTATACAGTACTCAATAACTTTTTTTTTTCAAATTGAAATGGTGTAGAAAAAGATATTTGAAGGAGGAACAAAGAACTTGGTTTTCAGAAAGAGAAGGAATACAACTGTTTTGGTCCCAACCAACTTCATCAGTCAGGTCTGAACCCTTTGACCAGTGACTAAAAGCATCAAGAATCCTGTCCGTTTTGCATAAATGCTAACTACACTGCATCAGCTCCATGGTTTTCTTTCAGTTACTCTGAACTGTAACAGCTTGCACCCTTTTTATTATTATTATTTTGTTTCTCTTCCTACTAGTTTCTGACTACTGCAGCTTGTAAAAGATACATTAGAGAAAGCATCAATTTCTTGAAGCAAGGTGTTAGAACTTTTTCATCCCTCCATTTGCTGCAGATGGAGATGAACCCTCTTGCATTAAGTATGACACAGTTACAGCCATGTGACTTAACAGCTCCCACATCTATATTTGGATTTCCTTCTTTACAGACAACATAAAGGACACCCACCATTGCTTTCAACTTTTTCTGAAGAAGACGTTTTATGACACGGTAATATATAAAACCTAGTTAACTATTAACATGCATGAGACCAAATTGTAGCATCCATGTTGAACTACAGTAAAAAGAAAATGGAATCACCTTGAAGCATTTCAGCTCAGCATAATCTAGTTACATGCAGACATAGCTGAACTAACAATTTCTTTAGAACTATTTTGATTTCTGACCTTGATGCTTTATTGAGATGCATAGGAATATCTTAAGACAAAAAGAAATCTCAAACTTTTTACATCATCATCCTCAGATAGAAATCTGAAGAAAGCAACAACAACAAAAAAGCAAGTAAATAAACGTGGTTTCATGCATTTCTCAAAAGGTATCGTCCTTGCAGGTTAATTTATTGCAATGTTCCTTCTTCAGAATAACCTGACATTCTATCAAAAGAATGAAAACAGGAAAAAGTAATGGCAACTACGTTTAGGAGAAAATATGCAATGTTGTTTACCCATCAAACATTCTTTTACTGTCTTTTACCAAGAAAATTCAAATCCATCCTAATTCAAGATGTCCATATCTACATTACTATTTAGATCCTGTTGAGGGAACAGGGCATTAGCATATAGTACACTGTATCTACAAAATTTTTCCGAGATAAAGTTAGGAAATGCTATAACTTGTAACTATAAAAAGGATCCTCATTACTACATGCTCAATAAATCTAAAGATAAATCGTGTTTCATGAAAATCTGCCTTGACTCATAAGGTAAAATACCGCTTTTATTATCAGTACATATATTTCCATTATCCTAGAGTTTCAAGATTTTTAGAATACCAGCAATATTTTAGGCTTTTCTCAAAAAGAAAGCTTGAAGTATACCATTATGATTTATGAAGTTCCCCTTTTATTCCTTACAGACTCTACCTTTTTTTTTTTTTTTTTTTTCAGAACAAACTTAAGCTGGAGTTATGTATATGCTTTTTCACCTGGAACTTCTGCAGCAACTGAAGTTTTCATAACAGGAAAGTGAACCATAATGTATCAGGTATGGACCTGAAAGCAGTATGGATGACATTCTGGCTGATAGAGAATACTATCAAGCACTTCTAAGCATTTTATTTCCAAAATAAAATTGGGTAACGAAACATCCCTGGTGAATAGATGAATTCTTTTAACATTTTCTTTAAATTGTTATCTGCTGTTTGTGTAAGAAAGGATTCTGTTTCATCTTATCTTTCTTGAAATCAAGCTGTCATAGTCACAAAAAAACTTGTCTCTATTTTCATTTTAATGAAAATCCTGTTATGAATCTTTTTTTTTTAACTTCAGAATATTTAAAAACTAGTCTCAATAAATATTTTTATATGAAATAATCTTGCTGTCTTGACAGTTCATATCCTGTTTTTCTTTATTGTTCAGATGCTGTCTTTACAAAATGAATAAAATAATTTAAAAACCCTGTTCAGCAACAGTCACGGCCGTCCTTGTCAAAAATGGGTTGAACAAAAAGGTATGAAAGAGAGAACAGGTCATTGAATGTCAAGTGACTAGATTCAATATAAAGTAATGTTAAGATTTCTGTTTTTTCTTTACTATGTCGAATTGAATACCATGTAAGCTTTGGCCTTATGTGGTATGGCTAAAAAGTAAAGCAGAGAAGTACAATTTCTAAGACATTAGAAGGACAGAGAAGACAAATATGATGTTACAAGTCTGTAAAAATGTACCGTCATGTGACAGAAAGATGAGTGAATAATGAATGAGTAACTGAAACGTTTCTCATGCAGGAAAAAGGAAACTAGAATGACAAAGAACATGACTTCACAAAAAGTTTAAGCTTATCTAAACCTGAACTACTTTCATATCCCCAGCAACAATGTCCTCTGTCATGTTCTGTATACACCAATGGTCAGAGAGATGACAGATCTACTGGGAACCACCCTACTCCATGAACTTCAATTACTGCACTGCAAAACTTCCCTTAATGCACTAGTTCTCGCATAATGAAGGCAGTCTGTCTCTGCCTTCATTACGCTCTCTCTGCAGATATTTGCAGACAGTGATGAGATCCCCCCTGGACCTTTCTCACCTCCAGGCTGGACCGTCCCAGCTCTCTCAGACTCTCCTTGTATCAGAGATGCACAAAACTTTATCATCTTTGGAACCCTTCATGGGAGTCACTCTAATATACCCATTTCTTTTCTGAAGAGCCCATATACATGTAATATTTATATGTTTCATTTATTTTCTGTCCCTTTGCATAGAAATGTGAAAATACTTATTTTCAAATGTACAAACATTACTGATCATCTGTGAGCACACCAGGAATACTATGGAAAACTCAAATATCCAAAATATTTATCTAACATCAGCAAAAATAAAATTAAATACAATTTCAGAGGTCCATATTGACCAAGTTCATGTCTTAGACAAAATTACAAAATTAGTTAGACAATATTACAAAAATGCTATTTAAAAATCTATTTAAAAATTCCAGTCTAATATAAGATAACACAATGGCTGCATATGCCTAGTCAACTAAGTATTTCCAGTGGAAAAGGCTTCTAAGCAGGATTACAAAAAAGTATGGCATAGTTTTCTTTTTGTAATAGAAAATTCTATAACATTTAATCCTGTAAAATGCAGTTTTCTCTGACAGTATTTCCTAACTGAAACACATTAGCTCAGTGCTAGTTTCAGAACTAAGACAACTGAAGTGTTCTTATTTAAACTAATACCAGATAGGCTGTTACAGAAGAATAAAATATTTGAGAAATATTTAGTTTTAAAAGATCTGTTTCAAAAAATAACTTGAGTAAACAAAACAGTTTTTCAAAACATTTTTTTGTCATTAGTTCTTCAGAATATAAGTAGCAAATGTGTCTACAATTTACCTTGTATACTTGCAGTAGCACATCTGTCCAAGCTCGTTTGCTAATTGTCTCAAATACGCTGTCCTCCAGAATGAATAGATGTTCGTTGCTAAACACATCTGAGTTTTTCCCATCTCCTTTTTTCAACTCAGTCATGCGGGCCTCCAAGTAAAGGAAAGATAGCAGTTATTTTCAATGTTAATAGCAGTTAACTTCAACAGTTTGGACAGAAAATTCACAAGAGGACAACAATAAATCAAAGGCATAAATGAGTGAGATGTCTTCTATAGTGTAATAATGACCAGCACTGGAATCATTCATAATTCAACACCATCTCAAGAATAAGAAGCTCAGTACAGAACCAACGGGTATTTAAAACAGCAATCAGGACAGAGAATCAAAATTATATTGTGTTTTACATATATATATATATATATATATATATATATATATATACATACATATATATATATACATATATAAAATGAATGGGAAGCAGTAAAATTAATTCCATCCTGGGGAAAAAAAAAAGTGTTCAGAATTAATAACAGGTATCAGAGCTATTAGAAGGAATGGAAGAGAAAACCTGGGGAAGGGTGTAAATGCAGCAGCTTAAAGTTCTGTTTAACCTTATGTGTCTGCTTTGATTTATAGAATCCAAAGAGTCACCACAGTAGGACTACTCAAGGTCCACAGAGAATTTGTATTTGACCTTGAAGGATTAACACTAAACATGTGGTCTTCGTTTAAAAAATAAACAAATAAAGAAACAAAAAACTACCTTCAACCGAGTTTGCACTTCAATCCACCTCTTATAATCACCAGGTTCAAGCAGGAATTCTGGCATAACATGAGGAAGACATGCTCCTTGTCTTCTAAGATCATAAAAAAGGAAAAGGTAATGGGGTGGCAAGGTAACTCTTTTTATTGTCAGGGTGGTTTCTTTATGAGAACTGCTCCTCCATAAAGAACTAATTGCAGCACAAAACCTCAAAGCATATAATACACATGTTAAAGCCAAAGAACCACTGTTACATAACATTAGTAGAATTAAAACTTAATGATGCTTATATCTTGTCTGTAGATCTAATACTGGAAGTCTTGTGGGCATAAGTAAAGGTATTTCAAAACTTCATTAATTGTCAAACCGACCTATCATCTGCTGTCAGGTGACTAATAAACACAATAGAAAAAAGTAACATATGTAAAAAAAGGCAATCACAATGGCCCGATACTAAAAAAAATAGAGCTACCTTTCAGTTGAAGAAAAACTATCCTTTGCTTCAAATGATACAGTTTAAACTTTGGAGAGGGAAGTAGTGAAGAATTATTAGATTTATTTTTCTCATCACAAGTTTCCTGACTTTTATGTCAGAAAAACTCTTCTAATGTATCTAGACTTACATTGCTCTCTGTGTTTTAACACAGCTAATATGAAAAATAATCACATGAGCATTTCTTGTTATTTAACTAGTCCCTCATTCAAATGAAATAAACATACTTTTCTTGTACCATGCAGTTCAAATTCAATTTGCTTTGTGTATTAAAAGTCATACATCACAGATTGAAATTAGATGCATGACAGTTTATTTCTCATCCCACAGAATTGTGCTGGTAGGAGTACATGTTTGTCTCCATATTTTACATAATGACATTATCATCTCAGATAAAATTTCATATTTCATAAAAATATCCAGCATGTTTTTAAAAACAGAAATATTTTAATCAAGAACCCAAAATAGCATCAAATAGTAGTCTGATTCTAAATTCACCATGTCTGAAATTCCCATTTTCAATTAAATCACAAGCTCTGTTCTCTGAAATCCCTTTAAAACTTCAAATCTTTCCAAATGATAAAAGAAGGAAGCTATGCATCATTTATCTTTTTAATGTTGGACTCAATGCAGTTGGACTCAATGATCCTTGTGGGTTCCTTTGAACTTGGGATATGCTATGATCATAGTCAACATGGGTTCTATCTAACTGAATGTTCTCATAATTTGCCAGCTTTTGTTACCAAAGAACACTATCTTACAAAGAATCCTTCCTCATAATAGGGTAATATAAGGATAAAGTGGATATTTAAAATAATATATAATATGGATAAAGTAGATATTTAAAATGATGCCAGTTCTCAAAGATCAGCATTTTCACATTATTAAGATGTAGCTCCTCAACACACACAGCTTGCAACAAATGAGTTAATTCTTCTTGTACTGTAAAATATCCAAACATTTCCTTAACTGTAATGGTAAAATACCAAGGAATGTTGCTTAGAACCGTCAATGACATCCTCCTCATTCAGTAGCTGAAAAACCTGAAAGATGAATCACACTTTATTTCAACCATGCTGACCAGAAAGTAGTAGTTAGGGGGAAGAAAGCTGAAGAGTATATGTTTCTATTCCCTGATTGCTCTCCTGGGCTTTACAGGAGGGAATGCTGCACTTTCTGCAAATCACAATGAACACATAGGGATAGCAGATGACATGAATTACTCATCTCTAGGCTGACTCTGTATGTCCTACCATCATTACATTTGTGCACTGTATTATTATACAGTTTTGCCAGCAGTCCAAATGTCAGACATTTTTTTCACTGGGATCTAAAAGCACTCTTAAATAACAAGCTGTGAAGAAATGAAAGCATCCTAGGTAATCCTAAAATGCACGGGTAGAAGAATACTATCCATAAAGCACAAACAATGACAAAATCTGATAGGACTCACACAAACTAGAACAGGCAGAAACTAACAGGATAATGCTAAGCATATACTGAGCACAAATTTAATCATCTATTATCATCTATATAATCATTATATAATCATCTATATATACAAGCACAGGAGTCCAGCTAGAACTGGCTCTCAACCTATATAGTTTTGCTACGACTGTTATTGATTATGTCTTCATTTCCAAACATCAGATCAAATCAGTCATCAGCCATTGATGTATCTGCATACAGAGGTGCTCAACTCAGCCTTGACTAATTGGCTATTGCTCCAGTTCTGCTCTGAGTACGTCAGTTAGTTAATGTACAAAATTCAGTAAGATTGAAGGCTTTTATTAAAATTTGGCTATTAAATAGCCTTAAACAAGAAAAACTCTTAAATCTACTTAGAGGACCATTCATATTTCAACATTCTCCATGCCTTGTTCTCTGAATAGATGTGACATTCCTTCAGAAGAATAATCAACAGGGTGGCATTAATAATATGATGCCAAGGCATTCTTAGCAGTCCATTGCCTAATGACTCCAGCCTTTAAGATTCAATGTTGTGGGATGTATCCATCAATTTTTTTTTATTTAGTATCAGAATGGATGTTGAAACTGTGAAAACAGGAATCTGTAAGCATTGTTCTCCTTACTAAAGAAAGCCAAAGATACTGTTCTACAATTGCCGCAATGGTTCCTCCAGAATATCTACTATGATATATCAATGATGCAAGGAAGAGTGATATTCTGAATTACTTTTAAAATTAATGACATGACTGAATGTTTCAGATAAAGGTCCGATGTTGTTTTGGATCCAGATAATACCTTTGTTTCCCCTTCCCTGTTTGAGAGTGTTTACAACATTAAGGCCAAATTTTTTTACTGTCTGTTCACTTGGTTGCTCTGCTATAGATAGCAGTGTCACACTGGTATCATTGTGAAGATTGAGACAGCTTTTTTTTTTTTTTTTTTTTTTTTTTTTTAAGATATTTAAATTTAACAAGCTGTGCGCAGCTCTTTTTACAGTCTTCCATCAGGCCTTTTGATTCAGTGCATTGAGTAAGCTTATGAGATCTAATGAGGTGACTCAGTGTTCCCAGGAAGATAGAATTATTGAAAGTACAATTCTAGAACAGAACAGACAGATGCGTTTGAGATAACAGTAGGTAAACAGCATGGTTTCCTGTTTACGTGAAGTTTCAAAAAGTTGTAATTTAGCACTCTTTTGTATAGTTCTGTTGATAGATATCATAGAAGAGATGCTTGTTTATGATGCTACTTTGAGCATTATTCTGCTTTCAGACCTGAAGCATGAGAAAAATGCTTGTTGTGTCTGCTGGTATATCATTGCAACTACTGATCTTTCTGTTACATAAGAAACAGTGTGCATTGATCTCATTATGAGTTCAGATACAACTACATTATGGTCCATTATTTTCAAATGAAAAGCTTGTATTTAGAACAGTAAGTAAATAGTTCTTAAATGGAAGGACAGCCTCTCGAACACTAACAAGGATGCTGAAAAGACACAGAGATGCTGTTTCAGGTCTTCTAGTGTTCTGTAAGGAACTTGTGACATTAGAATTTCTCTGAAGTTAATTGTCTTCTGTTTCACAGCAACAGACAAGGATAAAAAAAGAGTTTATTAACCTTTTTTGATTTGCGCCCTCTTTGACAGTTGTTCCATTTTACGTTACAAAATAAGACTGTCAGTGAAGATTGGTAGTAGATAAATCTGTTCAGCAGCAGGATTAGTGCTTCCATTTCTTGGCATATTGTTAATATGAAAGACAAATATATTACTAAGTTTACAAAATGTATTGCTAAAACCAATGATTACAGAGCAACAAGCATCAGTGGAATGCTAAAATCATTCATAAAAAACCCGATCCAACTTCTACTCAGTCTAAGAGATGAGGTCAATAGTTGTTTTCTTTCATAACAGTGGGAAGAGAGTTCCTGTGGAATCCCTGCTTTGCATATAACCCTACCAAAGGACACCTCAATTAGTGGAAGCTGCAGAGAATACCTTAGTAAAAAAAAAATAAGACTTTTCTATTATAAATTTTAATTTATATCACAAAACATGCACTATAAAAAAGGCCCTTAGCCTACCATTTAGTTGGAATTTTGAACTACATTAATTAAAAGGGGGGGGGGGGGGGGAAGAAAGAAAGATTTTACCACACATGTACTTACTTAAGGAAATCAAGGAACATAGAATGCTGCCAATGGAGCTGTAAAATTTGTTCAACAGGATCAAGGGGCAGTGACCAGCTCAGTGTAAAGCCAGGTAACAACTGTCCGCTCAGGTGGAATAGCATGCCATAAACAGTCTTAGTATCTTTGCCAAGGTTTTGTTTAAAAACATTTTCTCGAGAAGAACTCCTCTGGGCTTTACAGACATCGCTAAGAGAGAAAAGGCTTACAATATTATTCTTAAACAAACAAAACAAGCTAAGATTTAATTATTGTATCGCTGAATCACTGACAATGATAAATTTAATAAAACAAGAAGCATAAACATCAGGAAAGAAGGCTGAAAAGTATAGCACCTTTCTCTTTCTACAGAATTTTTATAATAATGTAAAATTTTTATAAGAATTGAATGTTTAATAAGTATATATCAACTGCTTCATAAATAAATCTATATTTATCATAGCTTTCTGCCAACTATAACTTTGATTTCTATCATATTGATAAATGCCTATATGTGTCCCAGGAGATTGGCTTCTTCATTATTTAGTACCAAACTAGACAAAATCAACTAAGTGATGCCCCCAAAACCGATATATTTCCAGGGTGTTTGCAAGACTTCTGATTATTAAATTTGCTTCCCCATCTGTCTCTTGATCTTCAGATTACGTGGGGAAAAAGACATATTGTCTAAAACTTATTTATGCCATGAAAGGAGGGACAATTGATATACCTGTGCTCATTTTGGGAGAAAAGTAGATTTCAGTTAAAAGAGTGATATCTAGTTTTAACTGTATATTTATATATGCAGATATGATATATCACTGCATTGTAATATATCAGAGCACATTATCTGGAACTATATTTTAGAAAATGAAAAATAACCAAAATGACATTTTCATATAAACAGTGCATAGATGCTATGATTTTAATATAAAACTATGCATTAGAGTGTCTCTATGTTCCTCTGTTCATATCCAAATCATCTTACTATATATATTAACATTTTATTAGGCAGACACAAGTTAGTTCAAAGAAAATATGAATTACCGTCTTAGTGAATATGGTATTGAAATAGGATTTGGTCCCTTAGACCAGCCAAAGAGAGTGAACCAATTCTGAACAGCAGTTAGAGCTTTCTGAAAGAAGGTGTACTGTTCTTTGTCCTCGTCAGGAAAAAATGATAATTCAGATTTATTTTCTCTCCCATCACTTGGGCTATCAGCTTTACTCTCTTCACTGGTCTGTTCATCACTTTCACTTTCAAGGGTAGTGTCGAACTCTGAATGACACAGAAGGGGACACACATGTCTTTGGAACAGAATAAATTCTATTTCTAGAATCTAGTTTCACTTAAAGTGAAATTTTTTATCCAGACAGAAAAAAAAAAAAAAAAAAAGACAAGGTTTACAAAATCATAAACAGTAATCTTAAAACAAACAAACAAACAAACAAACAAACAGCCTTTCGTGCAGTTCCAGTAGCTATTGCTTTACCAGCTAGACAACGATAATTCCTCACCCCAATCACATAGCATGCCTCAATAACTGAGTTGTGTTCAAACAATTTATCAGGTGTTGTATCAGCGTAAGTAAGCCTATTCCCTTAAGTAAGGGAAGTAAGTTACTTCCCTTAAGTAAGTCTTTGGACTTTTCACTCTTACTAGGCCTTGACCTGCTCAAAACTTAAATTACATATTCTTACTACTACTAGGTTTTTTTTTACAGCAGCAGTGTTGCATAAAATATAACAATACAACTCTTTTCATAGGACAAATAGCTTAGACAAGATACATCTTCAGATATGGAAACAATATTTGTAGTTTTATCTGCATCTTATCAATCAACTATTCAGGTTTATTGTTTCATTAAATGATGCAAAAATAGAAGTATTTAATGCCTTGCACAGTTATTTGATTTGATAAGAAATTACTTATTATTTATATATATATATATTATATATATTATTTATATAATTATTTATTAGTATTTAAGGAGTGAAAAAAATAATATAGTGCAACACAAGCAAAAGAGGAGACTCTTGTCCTTAATAAGATGCAGTTTGGCTGGCTGACGAGGCTACTTTCTTATCTTGTCACCGCCACCTTTGCCAGAGGTTATTGCCTTTTTAGATCTGAAACTGAGTTGTTCTTTTGAAATTGTTTTACATCATTCCACTGAAATTGAACCATGTTGTTAAAGACCTATTGTTTAGTCCGTTTAACTAAACTCATTGTCGTGTTAATATCATAGAGAATGATCACACAAACATCTGCAGATCTGCAAATGTGGAATTCTAACAGTAATGAAACAGCAGCAGTAACTTTAGCTGTTCATAAGTAAGAAAACCAGCAGCTGAAAGAAGAGAGATGTCAACAGCCTCAGATATAAGTCACATGGAACCTTACAGAAGATCTATTAGGCTTAATTCCCATACAGCAGCACTTTAACTGAGTCCCACTGACAATAGTTGTTTTTATACAGTACTTCATAAATACAGTAAACATGTTGAAATCTAGCCTGACTTCTCTATGGTTAGTTAGTTTATGACTACAGAAACAATGCCCTTCTTAGCAACTAATCCCCTTAGGTCTGTTCAGTAGTTACTTTTCTGCCAGTTCCTCCACAGACATTTTATTGCAAATGGGGCCATTATATTCTTTGTTTGACTGTTTGTTTTTAGGTAGTTTGGTTGATTTCCCTTCCACTTAAACTGCCAAAAGACAGGAGTGTCTTTTCTGCTAAAATACTTTAGGCCAGGTTTCCCATGGTGTCACTGGAAAGAACAGCCTCTCCAGTATTCCTCGATTACACACACACAAGCGTTTTAAGCAAAAGGTACAAACGTGAAACACATCTTTTTAAAGTAGTAAGCCAAAAAATACTTGCAAGAGCTTAAAGTGTTTAAAGTAAACAGATATATTATACCTGACTGGGAATATTCATAGGTTGATTCAGTGATTGCACCAAAGGAACTTGAGGAAGTACTATGGGGAAGTGATGGTGGAGTATAATGTGGATGCAGAATAACTTCTCCACTACTGTAGACTTTACTGTCTATAGAGCAAGATTACAAACTGCAGTTCAGTAAAACATACCTTCATCGTCAGCGCTCTAATGGTTTATAAACAGATATCTGCTTTTATACTTTTACTTATTCCAATTAAATCAAATTAAATCGAGTAACAGCTCTTACTTGACTCATTATGAAAATACCATTCTGGTCATTACATTGGGGACAAAAAAAAATTACCTACATCTTCTTTCCATTAACTGTATCTTGTACAGGACAAAAATCGCCTATCAAAGCAGTGCTAATTCAAGAATTCTAAGTCATGAAACAAATATTCTTAAGGGATTTTTGATCACAGCTCTTTAAGTAGCAAGTCTTGGTATAGAGTTATCAAACTCTTTCAGACTCAACACCCCATAAGTTACAAACTAGGCTCAAAAGTATGCTTTAGCGACCCATCAGTTTTGTCAGGACATATACAGAAATTATGAAACTCACATATGCCTCTTTGCATTTAAAAAAATCTACCTTTAACTTACATTATCCAAATTCATATTTCTAGTTACAGTTCAACTCTCCTGATGTAGAACTGTGAAGGAGAGTGCTGAAACTGGTCAGTGAATAGAAAAAGCTCATGAAGGAAGAATAATATAAAAACTGAAGAAAAAGATCTTGTCAACTAAAGGAGTGTTTGGAGTGAGCTACTTAGGAAGTAGCAAAAAAAAAAAAAAAAAAAAGTGTTGTCTTCTTAGGAGTTTCTTCATGATTCATGCAACAATTTAGAAACTCTGACTTTTAAATTTATCCATTAAATGAGGTCTAATTAAAAGCTCAAAAAAATCACAAAGTGAAACTAAAAGGATGTGCTGGATGAATAATTGGCCTTTACACAATGTGATGTTTCAAAAACATATACAGTGTCATTCTGTGTAATCAGCACAGTTAAGGTCTGAACAATAAATATTATTTCTTTTGACAACTTTGATTGCTGTTGGTGTTATAGTGATCTAGAAGATCTGGCAAAAGGAAACTCTGGTAATAAACCAGAAATACTAGCATAACTACTACTGGCATAGGAGACATGGCAGTGCACAGCCTTAGGAAATACTGACCACTACAGCACCAACCAAAATTCTCTAAAAAGTTATATAACATATGCTAACATATATTATATTTCCACTGATTATACTACAGATAATGATTAGATAAACTAATACTACAGATAATGATTAGATAAGCTAATACATACACGCTACAACTACACTTTCATTTTGTTATGCATAGGTAAACAAAGAATAAAATACAGGATTATTCACAAGTATAACATGAAACATTTTTTTAATAGCTTAAAAACACAAAACCCAATACTCCTATTTACTGTAGCTATCCCGAGGTCACAATTCTGTTAAATTACACTATCAAAAAATCAATCCAATAATTTAATAACTTTATTTCTTGTGTCATTCTTTGAAGGCCAAAACACCTTATTATCAATTTATCTTTTCCTAATACTACTAGGCATAATATAATCGGAAGAGTTAAAATGCAGACTACTTACTGCTTATCAAAGTAACTTGTTGATCAGAGAGGTGAAATGCCAAATACGGGTATAAAGTAAGAAGGCAATTCTCTGCTGTTGCAGCAACCTGAAGGGAGAATCTGTTCAAAACAAAATACAAAGGTGATATTTTTCTATTTAGTTATGGCAATCAAAAATATTTCAAAACAAGAAGAAAAGACAGATATAAAAGATATCCAGACCACTTTATTTTCTCCCTCCTGGTTCAGTAAGAGAGTACATGGATGAGGCTGCAAATGCTGAAATGGTGACAGTATATTCCACAATAAAATTTATTATAGAGCATGGATGTGTCCTCAAACTGAAAGTTCCAGATTTAGAAAATATTTTCGTGAAATAAATTAACTCCGTCTCTGAAGAAAAAATAAATTAAAATTGCAGTAGGTATGTATGAGCGTATTAAGGAGACTGCTAACGGTAAAGTTTAGGCACATTTCCCAGCACAAGAAGGCAACATAACATTTCCTTCCATGAGACACTGAGATCTCATGGACTACCAAAACAACTGGAACTCTTAATAGCTATCTTAATACCAATCGTGTCTGCTTCATTATGTTATTATCAAATGCTAAGATCACTGATATCTTGTTTTCCTGAGCTTCCAACCAAAACGAAATAAGAAATAGCATGAGTTTCCCCAGATCCACAGTGAAAGGAAAGAAAACTGAGAAGTGTAGAACACAGAAGTCACAGACAACATTTGTGTCACCAATGATCACAGCACTTCATCTATCCACCACATAGGTATTTTGGGGTATTTTGCTGTCCAGAGCACCATTTCTTTGGTTTATATGACACATAATGTACATGTTGTTTCCTACTTATCTTTTTTACTTAAATGTCATTTCAAATCAGGATGGCAGAGAAATTTCTTTCCTGCTGAACTATTTATTTGCTTAGCAAATTAAAAGATGTAATCACAATTGGAGGACAAATATAAAAACACAACATTCTCATTGTATTGGGCTTATGTAGGAAAGCTTTGGAAAAAGCAGGAAAGAACCCAGCAGCTGCCCCAAGTAAGGATAAGAGCCAGCTCCAGACGGATCTAAAAGGGACCAGCCACTGACCAGAGCTGTTTGTGCCTCTGGGACAGTAGATTAAAGAAGGGGGGAGGGGGGGGGAAGAAGCTTTGCTACAGCAGCTGGGAGAGAATAGTGAGAACATGTGAGGGAACCAGCCCTGCAGCCCCCCATGTGAATGCAGCAGGAGGACAGGAGGTGCTCCAGGCAGGCAGCAGCAGTTCCCCTGTGGCCTGTGGAGAGGCCCCTGGTAGAGCAGGCTGTCCCCCTGCAGCCCATGGGTCCCACATGGGGTAGATCATGCTGCAGCCCCCCCATGGGTGGAGGAGCCCCCGTGGAGCAGGTGGATGTGGCCTGGAGGCGGCTGCGGCCCATGGAGAGCCCCCGCAGGAGCAGGGGGTCTGGGGGGAGCTGCCGCCCACCCGTGGGGGACCTGTGCTGGAGCAGTTTGCTCCTGGGGGATGGATGGATGGACCCCGTGGGACGGAGCTATGCGGGAGCAGTTCCTGAAGAGCTGCTGTGTTTGGAGCAGGGGCAGGGAGTTACCATGAAGGAGTAGCGGAGATGAAGCATTGGAGACTAACCACAACCCCCATTCCCCATTTTTCTGCACTGCGTGGGGCAGAGGGGTGGGGGAGGGAGGAGGAGGACATAGAGGAGGGTAAATGGTGGAAAGGTGGTTCACAGTGATCTGGTCTGTTATTAGTGGGCAATAAATCACATTATGCTGAGTCTGTTTTGCTCATGATGGCAATAGTTGAGTACCCTTATCTCCCTGCCCTTATCTCAACTCACAAGTATTTTTTCCATCTTATATTCTCCCTGTCATTTTGAGGATGGGGAGTGAGAGCATGGCATGGCTGTGCTTAGCTTTGCACAGGTGTTAAATCACCACACTGTTGTTTTTTTATTATTATTTAGTTTTTCAAGTCGAAGGAAATAAGTTTTATAACTGAATAGCTTTCCCATTTTTTAAATACTTGGCCAATACATTCTTGGATTTTGCTACCTTTAACTTCTTTATTCATATCAGCCCTGTGCAATGTAATGTCATTTAATCTGTTTTGGAGTCAAAGAAGCACAAAGAGAGAACAGAGATTAAAAGTAGTATTAGAAATTAACTGCAAATTCTCATCCAAGGTAGTCATTAAATTAATATTAATGAACTTACTTATGATCCATTTAATGTAATCCATGGACACAGTAAATTACTTGCTAAAGGACAAATATATATCTCCTTATTTTTCTCTTACAGATACATATAAAGTTATTTTTCTTTAAAACATGATTGCCTTGTTTTCTGTAAAGTAGGCAAATTCAACAATATCCATCTTCTACCCAGTGCTCACTCTTGATTTACAGGAAAATTATGATTTGCACAATCATAATATGCAAATCAATCCTACTGATATTTTAGGCCTGGATTTATATAAAAACAAAATATTACAGAGCATAACTTGGTTTCAATTCAAATAGTTAAAAATAGACTAAATATTACCAAGATAGGAATTAAAATTTAACTCATATTTTTTTCCACCCTAGAACACCGAACATAAAATACCAAAGTTTAAGGTTTCAGTTCTAATAATTTTAAAATATAATTTTGTTGCTTTTAAAATGGAAATATAAAGGGAATATACTTGCAAAGTTAGTATGTTCTCACTGATGCTGTGAGGTTTCATGGCCTATTAAAGAAACCAGGAACCTATTTAAGATCAGTTTCCTTTTATACGGGTTATGTCTTGATTTTATTATTCCATTATTAAAGGTTGAGAAGGCCCCCAAATCCTGTCTTAAATTAACAAAGCAGTTTAAATTCATTAGTCAAACAGTTTGAAACAAACTGCTCAAATGCTTATATAATTGTTTCAGTCAGATTTGAGGTTTAAACACATTCCATACATCTCCCATGACCTTGGAGCAGGAAAAAGAATGAGGGCAGATGTGCAGATAACAAAAATTGCAACTACGAGTTATTATGGAGTGTAATATCAATGAACAGTGAAATTATTAACAGTAGTAAAGAAACTGACGCCTGGGCACATTATAGATTTTATTAGAATAATAACTATCTGTTCTGGATTAGAAAATCTTACGTTGACTTCTCCAATTGAAGGAAAGATTTTTTTCCACTTATGATAAAAAATAATTTCTTCCAAAAGCCAATATGAATAATATTATCATGATGACTAATAGCACACACAGAATCCCTTTGATTTGGATGGTGTGTTATTTCATCCATTTGTGTTCATATTTTATATCATCTGCTTGTACAGCCTATGCAACTCACTGACAGGAAATCATATACACATTGGAAAACCAGTGTTGTTAGTAATGTTTAAAAAAAAAAAAAACAAAAAACCAGCTACCTACTTTATTTTAAAACACAGCAACATTTTTAAGATGATTTGCCATTCCCAAGCATGATTTTTTTTCACCTTCATAAGAATGGATGCCTTTTAACATTACTTTTATAACTTTAATTGGTATATTTTTCTCAGAAAGACTAAGTTTGCCCTTAAATTGAGGATGGTATTCTTTATTTCATTTTAATGGCAAATATAGAAAAAAAAATATTGCACAGCAGTAAGTTTTATTCTTCTATAGCAAGATTTGAGAAGCTGCTAGTGCAAAAAAAACTTATTAAAACCAAATATTGTGCCTGATCAGCAGCTATATTTCAGATCTCATCATATGCCTAAATTACCTTTTCTCATAATTAATACAAGCTTTAGCACACATTTATGAGTTGTATCCTACACAATGATTAAATCTTACAAATAATTAAAATGAGTAAAAATGAAGAGATTTGTGGCTGATGATCTATGCAGAAAAATGTATTTATTTTTTTAATAGTTGAATGTGAGCAACAGTAACTAAAATGTCCACAACACTTGCATTGAAATAATTTAGTTTTATGCTTAGGAAAAATCATGGTCTAAACTTTAGAGTGAGATATTTAATCCTCAAAATAGTTGCTTGAGTGAAAATAGCAACTAGGGATAGCTTTTAATCACAACAGTATCTATCTTTTACTGCTCATGCATACACCTATTCATCACACCAAGGGAAAAGATGAACTAAATAGACAAATCCTGAAAAATGTTTATATTTATGTAGAACAATAATAACAGATCTGCTTCTATTTACTAGGGGCAGACAATACGAGTTACCATATAGATAAATGTTACCTTAGAGACCAGATCTGAATTTTGTGTTTTGGAATTATGAACTAGTTGAAAAAAGGAACATATTTCTAAATGTCATTCTTATTTTTTTCCAGAATTATTATTGTATTCCTTCATCTAACCAGTTCTCATTACAAGTCCTGTGTCTCACATCTTTCTTTGATAGTTTGGACCATGTCCCCAGATGAATTTATATTACACATATTACCTGTTTTCTTCTTCATCAGTGAAGAATATGGTCCCTAAAGATGAAATTGGCTTAGATGATCTGAAGCTGATATGACAATTTAGTTTCATATTTGTGCCATTTGATGAAAGAATTATATCTTGTCCTTCTGGAAACCGTACAGAAAAAGGGCAAATCTTGTCACCATCGTCAAGTTCAAGTTCGGGAAGTTCAACTTGAATTCGTGATGACCTGCATTAAAAATAAATAGTATTGATAATTGTGCTCACAGTTTGACAAAAAAAAAAAAAAAGTTAATTCACAGATTCACACATTTATGAAGCTGCTTTTTTAAATACAGAGGAATAACTTCAGTTTTGAAGTACATGCCAACTGAAACTAACTGAAGAGTTAAAATTCCCTTAGCATTTAAATGCTAGTTTGTTTTATACAAACATTTCTCAACATTTTTGTAATCAGCCACAAAAGCTCAAAATCCAAATAATGAACAATTTCTATTCACTCTGCTACCAAAGACTTAACTGTTACTTACTTCCTTACTCATGCTTTCTCAGAGGTTTCCTAAACCTAAATCTTTCATTAATATTGATCAAACTGCATTATAGCACTTCAAGGCACTTTAGCGTTCAGACAAGTTGTACAATAGTAGTATTAAGTGGAAATTTGTCAATATATGTATTATTTCCCTGGTTATGTAATTTATGGTTCTAGTCCAAAATGACAATGCCAGTCAGTCCAAGACAATACTGAATCCTTTCAGATGCAATCACTGAGTTCACTACATGCCTCTTCATAAACTGCTACAACTCAAACAAGATTAGATGTTAATAATTTGAAGATAAAGTGACTTTAATTATTTTTTTGCAACTGAAAAAGTTTTCTTCCAGTTATTCAAGTATTGGAACGGTATCTGTATAAGTTTAACAAATGCATAATCTTGCTGTTGAAGTACAGAAAGAAAAGTTGAATCTCAGAGACCAGAGAAGCTTATTTTCAAACACTTTCCAGACATAAGAGTATCCGGAAAGAACTATTCTAAAAGACTAAGATTTCTATCAGATTGGAATAGATGTGGTACTGGGTTATGTTACATATGATGAAGATCTTGAAAATGCTCTCTTTTGCATTCAACTAACAAGATGAAGTGGGTGATCCACAGAATAATGAAAAAGTTATGAGTTATTTATTCCATTAAATAACATACTTAAAATATTTGTGCTTTTTTTTTTTTTTTTGATAGTAAAATGTTGCTTAGGAAGTAAATAAGAACAATGGTCAGGGTGGGGGGTGAAAAGAACCCCACCCACTCCATCAATTATCCAAACACCAGCTGAATTTAAAAACAGTGCTTTATAACCTTTGGAGTAGAGAAAATAAAACAACAAACTGGCTAAAGATAAGAGGAAATCCTGGTGGGGCTCGTTTCTTATTTCTTGTGCTATTACAAATAATTTTAAAAACACGTGGAAGAGTAAACATATCAGAAGATAGATGCCTTGCAAAGCAGTAACATTTTGAGAACAGAACACACAGGTTTGCAGGATGTAGAGCAATATTAAATACATGAATTTTCTCTAAAATACGCAGATTCTTTCTGCTGCTAAGCATAGCATTAATACTAGCCTTCACAAAGAAAAAATAATTCAATTTTTCAGGAGAGAAAAGAAAACAAGCATTATTCAGGAGTTTTATAATAGACTTATTTTGACATTTTTACCTTAAGTAATCTTGTGGAATAATATTGATGGCTCTTTCAGTTTTCACATCCAGAGGAACTGGCATCAGCATTAAAAAGGGGGGATCAAAATTTATTTTTGGTGACTTCATAATACCAGACAAGGTTATTTTGTAATGTGATGGATTATCATCTAGACACACTGACACTTCAGATGCATATGTCCCAGGACAAGCTGTTAAAAAGGTTTTAAAAAAATATATTTTACCATAAATATACACAACTTAAAGAGCTGTAGTAAGAACTTTTTTTTTTTTTTAAGTTATCAGTACTATTTCTTAATCAAAATGTAGTTTAACATAAAGAACATGTTGCATAAGATTTATTTATTAAGAAAGTTTGGAATAATTGCTTGTAGTAAGCCATAAGACCATTATTTTTAATTTTGTCACAATTTCTTGAAGTTTTAAATTACCCTCCACTGAAAGCTTCCCCTGTTTTCTTGTATTCCCATCCCTTCTCACACCATCCTGCTAACTGCGGCTATACATCTTTCTATTGGATGGCAAACGTGCATTTTCTTTCACTGATAATACAAAGCAATGTTTAGCAACTGTTACACTATCAAAATGTTGTTTCAAACAAGGAAGTGTCATTTACCAACTTTTCATTTATTCCCACCAACTGAAAAACCATCAAAAGAACAAATTTTTTATGTACAACTAATGAATACCTCTTGTATTTAGAATTAAATCCATATCACATGTTATAAGACAACACAAAAAGCTTAGAACTTCTCATTTTTGACAGAAACACTTTTCCCTTTGATTCTCCACTGTTAACAGATTAAGACATGGAACTGGTAAAGTGAAAACCAGATGAAATAGGAACTTCTGGCAGTGTTTGCAACATCTGACTATTTCCAAGTTAAATGGAAGTTAGTTTTAGGAGACAATATTGCTGAGAAGGCTAGGAAGCTCATGCTTCTAAGTTTTGATACATCAAGAACATTTTTATTTCCCTAGCACTTAGCTCTCTTATGAGGGAAAGGTGAGAGAAACGCCATCAGAAAAGCTCACAGAAGAGTGAACAGGAAAGTTCATATGTAGAACTAAACAGGATTTTTTTACATGCTTATAAAAAGAGAGTAACACGTTACTCCCATCTACAAGCTAGACAGACTTAAGATCCTACAGCTGTACTCTAATTAAACTGTATTTCTGGTATCGTATCTTCCTGTGTATGTATATCATACAATAAAGTGACCAATAAACACCATAGGAAGGAATGCCATGATGGAAGAAAAATAGAAGGGCAGATGTCAGCACCATAGAACATGTTATTTTCACTAACTCATAGTTTGAAGTATTCAATTCATATTAACTATTTCCCACACAAACTTTTCATCCTTATGGTACATATAAGTTATAAAAAATCAATTAATTACATGATTACATTTCCCATAGAATCCCTGACTTGACCAGAATGCAGAACAGAGAATGCTCTTTCCGTGTACCTCATCACCCTCTGTGTGGACCCACATTTATTAAAATTGAAATACTGCATAATATGTATGCTGATAATGAGCTCATGTCAGGGAAGAAAAAAAAACATCAACAACAACAACAAAACACTAGCATGTTGCAAAGCAAAACTGTCCTCATTTTAAACAAAGGAAAGAGGACCAAAAAAAAAAAAAAGTGAATGATCCCATTAAGTTTTGTTCATTACTTTGTTATTGTTAGGACAAAAGTTTTCAGAATATTTCATGTTAAATAAACTACTTGAAATTAATAAGAATTATGTCCTGAACTGGCAGTTGAGGTCACAAATACTTAAGGTCACAAGGAAAGCAAGTCAGATGCTGGTTTATCTGGAAAAGTGAAAGGTATATAAAGAGTACTGTTTTAGCTAAACTTGTGTTTCACTAAATGTGAAAAATATGGCAAAGCTAAAGCCATAATATAAACCCTGTGTTATTTGCCACACACAATGCAATCAGCATGCTGAAGAAGTCTTCTCCATCACTGCACAGTAACCTGGAATCAAGGTTGTGTAGATCAAACGAACTAGGGTGCTAGAGAATAAATACTGCACAATTTAAAATTAGGAATCACTTTAAGAGAAGAAATAGCAAGATCCTTTGTAAATTATTATTAAATCTTTCTTCCTCATACTAATCTCTTAATTTCTTTACATCCTGTTATTTCCTTTTACCCTTCAGTTATTCAGCTTCACTTAACAGCACTTTCTGTTAATGTCTATTACCTTCTTTTTTTTTCACCATTAAGTGCAAAGGATGCTTCTGCCAAGCCTGAGAATACCTTCCACCCCATTCACCCATAAACTGACATGAATCTCAACCAGATTTTGTTTCAGTCTTGTGAGCAGTAAGAAGAAATTCCAGATGTGGACCTCATATAAACTGAGTTACAAGATGAAATTTTATTAATAAAAAATATGTATTTTTTTTATTTTTCTGAAGTATTCAAATCACTTAGCCAGGAAAAACTAAATATTCAGAATTCTGTGGTATATATGTATATGTACATATATGTGATATATGCATTCTGTCATTTACACCTTTCAGGACTATGCTCAAAGTAGTAGCAAAGTGCTTTTGCTACTGTTTTGATATACTACCATTAATTTCTCTAGCAACTAGCAGTCCAGCAGATGTGGAAGTTTTCCTTAGAGAGAGTCTATGGTAGTTACAAATCTGTCTAAATTTGCAGAGTAATAACAAAATCTGTACAATTATTTGGGAAATTTCCTCTTTGTTTTTGTTTTTGATTTTTTTTTTCTGGATGTATATATTAAGGTAAATAAGCATTCATTGCCTTACCTTAAAACAACAACAAACATCTGGATAAAGGAACACAACTTTTCAAAGCATATATGTGCATATATTCAATAGCTGCTTCATTTTCAGTCCAGTTTGCATTAGAAAACCCATCCAGCTCCGACTGCTTAACTCCCTAGCATATTATGCTGGGACTATAACTTATGCAAAGTCCATATTAATAAAAGCATAAACAGAGGTTGTATTTCTGCTGCAAGTCAGTTATATATATATGCAAGTTCTCCTCCAGATACATCTCACACACTTCCAGAGGAGAAATATTTCAGGTCCCCTCATCTTCTACTTCACCTGTTTTGGTTTCAAGTTAAACAGCAAAAGTTCATTCAAAAGGCCATCTCTATAAGGATGTCCATATTCCTTGATCCTCTCTATCAGTATAAATCTTCCCCCTCCCCCCCAAAGAAATCTTAACTTTCTAATAGCATGTTTTCCAATCTTTTGAGAGTGGAGGGGGAATAAAGTAAAAAACTTATCTGCTCTTCTCACCCTCTTAAGTCTGTATTAGATGTTACTCACTTCCTACACTTGTCTCCCAAATAAATATTGCCAGTTCCGTTGCCCTAGACTTTCTGATAATTCATGCCATACTACATATATACACTTTCAACATAAATGGGTGCCAATAATGAATTTGCGTACACTGGAATACAGACTTCAAAACAGAGAAGTTACAGACAGTTAAAAGCTAATGATAAGCCCTATTAAAAATTATTATTATTATTATTATTAATAATAATAATAAAAAAGTGAACTAATCATTTCCCCACAAAACCTGTTATTAGGCATAGTTATTTAATCTCTTACTGTTGTAGAAAAAAACCCTAGAAGATGGAGGGTGTGATGTTCCCATATGCCCATTACATAACTATCACATCTTCCAGGGACACTGAATTCCTTTTAGCTCACTGGCACATTTGGAAGTATTTTGCCAGATCTATTTTTATTTTTATTTTTTTAATATATATCACAATAAGATATGGTGAATTTTTTCATATACCATTAATACAGTACATTAGTACAGCAGAAAAGGATCAAATTGATACTTCCTCAGTTCTCAAGAATCCCTATTAAACTGGTAATTTTTTGAACAGGTAGAATCATATTACCACACATCATACAAAACTCTTGCATTTAGTTTACTACCATACCATTACGCACTTGTTATTACAAATATCATGGAACATTTGAACACATGACTCTAATCCACACTCAAGGTTCTTCTTATGGCTTGTTCATCCCCACATACTACATGTTTACAGTACAAACATATGAAGGTGATTAGCCCAGCCTATTCATTAATAAGGTCTCCTGTGTGGGTTTTGTTGTATCTAATGCTCTGTTACAAGAAAGTAATTATTTTCAGTGATGGGTTAGTACAAGTAGACTACTAATCACAAGAAAATACTTTGAATATCAAATTAAGGGCAATTGATTTTTACAATGATTTGTTTTTTTGTAAATAAAGGATTGGGAAAAGAGTGAAAATAAAAATAACTTAACTGACAATTATTTACCAGTCATCTTCATGTATACATGCATTTGAGTTTACACAAACAATTTATCCAGTAATTTAAAATACTGTCTTTTATTTGCATGCTTTTTTCAGCTTCAGCCTTTGCAACACTTGAGCATTTTTTAATACATAATACAAAACACCTAACTAGCACCAACCATCATATGATGACTGTGCTAGTTGTTTGTTTCAACTAGGGGATAATTGTTTCCTCTACAGCTGCTGCATAAAATAGTATTAGACAAAATCCGTAAAATTTCCTTTGTCTGAAATGCTACAGTGTTATGGAGAAACAGGAGAAAATGAGACACTGTGCTCTCCCAGGCCCTCAAACCATTACAGATCTGGACATATAGCTTGACTGTTCTTATTTTCTAAGTCTAGTATTGCCCTGAGCATCCTTAAAACCAACCCCACAGATTTAATCATACATAATTACTTCTGAAAGGGTATATTCTTCCTTTCTCTCCAAGCTATATATGTTAACCTAATACATGTAAAATACAGCTATATCATCTCCTATTAGACAAATTATTTGCTTTGAATTTTAGAAACAAAATGATTTGTTTCAAGTCACAAATATGTCACAAGTGATTATTTTCCTGTGATCCACAATTACTCCATCCATGTGCATACTTCTCAAAAACTTCTATTAAGATACCATCTTAGAAGTTTCAACACTTATTTTGGAGGTTTTAGTAATTGAAAGACCACTGAAAAAATATGATACCCTACTGAAAGCAAAGTAGAAATTTATAAATGAAGGACTAAGAGTTATAGTAAACCACACATGTATTTTTTAATTACAACTCAAACATCACAGGAGGTTTTGAGGGTTTATTTTTCACTTTCCATCCTACAATACCATTCCTCTTTCCTCTACATTTTTACTCCAAAGAACTGGGATCATGGTATGTTTTTGTGTCTTGACTTTTATAACTTATATTTTTGTAGACTCGCATCTCAACATTTTCTCAGAAATTCAGAACTTAACCCAAAACCTTTCTTCTGGTTAGACACACTTTCCATATACAATTTAAGTAGATCCTTATGTCCTTCAAAAGAAAAGTGAAATTCCAAGTCCATATTTCTACAAGTCTGTATAACTGAACATCTGAAAAGAAATATCTCCCACTGTTTTCTCCTATGATATCACTGTGTTCTGTACAATCTTCTCGTCTTCCTGCTCCCACTGTTTAACTCCTTCTTATTTATACATTCTAACATTTTCTAGCACCCTGAAACAATTTCTTCTTTCAATTCACCCAGTATCCTTGGATCTCATTTTTTTTTAATTTCATATTTATCCCCAAACCAGCTCTTTAACATTTTCATTTATGATTTATTTTTGATAGCTTCCATAAGTTATCACTCAAAATTGATTGAGGACCTGCAGACAAGATGCAGATGGGATCATATCACTTGGTTCCAAAACTAAACATCACACTAAGTATAGAATAGAACCTACACCGTAAAAAAAAAAAAAAAAAAAAAAAAAAAAAACTTTATTAAGTACATTTTTATGGCTGTTTCATAAACATGTGTTTCAGAGCCAAAACTTAGGGTTTTAGTGATTTACTTTGGAAGAACATCAGGGAAAGGAGACAAACTGATGCATCACAAATGTAAATATACTATAAATATTTTTGCTCAGTCTTCCAAAAGTAAATGGTATTTAACTTTCATCTAGCAGTTTAATTTGAAATAATATAAAATTGAATAGAATAACTTAAATACCTATTTCTAAAAGGATACCTCATGAACATGTCAGAAGTGTAAAAAAAAAAAATAATACAACTATAGATACTGATTAGGTCAGAGACTTTCCAGGTAATATATGCCGAAAGAAATACTCTTTCAGACAAGTCAGGATTTGTTACTCAAAATTAAAAATAAAAGAATATAAGGAAAACCACTTCCTAAACAATTCTGCAACGGTCCTTGTACATTAGTTGCTTTTCCATTTCATGAAACAAAATCACAGACCAACCATAAGTTGAAAACAAAAGCTACCAAGAAGATATAATACATAATGGAAAAACTTTCTAAAATAAAGCAATCAACTCCAAGTAACATATGCAATTGAATGCTGCTCTTACATATTCACAACAAATATGCAGAGCAACATTTAATACAGTATTCTCAATTTATCATACAGAATCATGGCAAGACTCATGCCTATAGATCTTTAGGATTTACAAACTAATTTTCAATTATATCAAATAGTTTGTAAGGCTTAGAGGTTTGTAGAAGTTATAGATTTCAACTGTATCATCAAAAATAGCAGCAATATGTGACTTTAGGAAAGGGATACTCACTTGCTGACTCTGGATCATACCCAACCAACAAGACATCTTTTCTTCCCTTCAAGAATGCTGGCACTACCAGTAGGCCACATACAATTGTCAGTACCGCTCAGTTCTGTGAGGGGCTTTATTAATGGACAGTGTTACATTACTCTCTACCCAAAACACTTGTTTGACTGGGAATAATGTAAAATCTTAATGCTCTGCCATTCCCACTGTATGTGGTTGATTATCATCTTCTTGAATGCTCCCGGTGTTTGTTAGAAATCTATTTTATATTTTTTACTTGGTCTCTGGTTCTCTGAGCAAACTATTCAGAAATTTATATATGTACATATATATATATATATATGTATATGTACATATATATATAAGACTTTGTATCTTCTGGAGGAAGGAAATTTCTGTTCTTGTCTAAGTTCTGTCTGTTGGGGGGGGGGGGGGGGGAGGAGGGAGAATCACACACACTCCAAGTACTCTTGGAAAGTGTAAATATTTAAGCCAGTTGGCACAAATACACATTAAGGAGCAGTGCTAAAAATAATTTAGGTATCCTAGCATTTAAAGCCTTCTGTGTGCAAAACAGACTTTTCATATATTGCTACGCAAATGATTCCATGTTTTATGTTAGGTCTGCAGCTGTCTTTTTTCTCAGAACTTCAGCATGTCTTTTTGGCATTTTGGTTGACTATTTAGTCATGTTAACTCAGAGGTCATCAAAGTAAGTGCTAGTCTTGATTCATCAAAGAAAGTGACTTAAGCAAATCTATGAAAATGCCAAAAATGTCCAAAATACCCGTAGAAGAACTCACAAAATTACTTACGAGGGCAGAAGAATACAGTAATACTGATTTTTTGTCCTGGATCAAGAAATCCAGCATGCAGGCTAAATTTGAAAATACTGTCTTGTATATTTTTGCCTGCATCATCGCAATTCAATTTCCATGTCAAATACTGCCTTGAGATATTCTTCAGGTCAAGCTCCTGTAAATATTTACAGAGAAAGGAGGGCATGATGAAAGAGGGAAAGCAGCAAGCATCATGATACTTTTCACATTGCTCTGTCCAAAGCATTTCTTTTGCAATCAGATCAGATTGAAAGCAAGAAAGCACTAGAAAGCAATGAAGAACCCAGTTTACTTTATTTGTAAGGCGAAAAAATGAGTGTTCCCATTAGTGCAGACCAAATGATTTCCAGTCACTCACCACATCCACAAAGACAATGATCAACATATTGTGGTGGGAGTGCTTAGCCAAATAGAAACAAGTATTTACTGATACAAGTGGAGTAAAGCAAGAACTAAACACATGACTTGGAATATTAAAATTTACAGGTGGATATACAGAAATTACAAAAATTTCAAAGTAGGTTTTCAAAACCTATTCTTTCAATCCAATATGAAAACAGTGGGAATAACACCACCAAAGAATCTATTCTTTGATGTCAGAGTTGCTCTGTCTCATGGTGCCCATTCTTTTTCATACAACAGAAAGCCAAGATGAGCCCAATGCTGAGCTTTGAAAAATCTTCTAGTGACCAAAAACTAGTATGAAATCAAAATCTGAACAAATTGATGATGGAAAAAGTTCAACATACATAAAAGCGTATGTTTGGAACATGATTGGATTTTGAGTTCCAAATCTATATTCTTACCCAGTCATTTTTAAGTAATTAAAATATATAGCCAAGAATAACTATAACAACGTGTTTACGTACCTGGGAATTCAGACTTTCATCAGGACTATTGTAACGTATACAACTTGAATGTTGTGTAAATGTAAGTTTCATTGAGGAGAACTCCAGTGGTGATTTAAGTACTGTTGGAAATATTAAGTAAGGATGTTTATATGGTATTGTCTTGACACATGGTTCCTCAAAGTCCTTTCATAAAACCACTGTTTCAGCTCATATTTAGCAGAATTGCTTCTCCCCTTTATTAAAGCTCTAATTTCATTTTACTGTTCCCATGCTATACGACTACTAAATAGCTACCATAACTGTCTTATTATGACCCTTTAGTCACATTCAAATTATTTTAATTTTACATCTACCACACAGCATCTCATCCTGAAGATGTTATAAACAGAGTGTCACATGCTCTGCCTGTTACAGATGAATTCAAGGACATTCAGACTATATATACACAAGCATACTTTAGAGATTAAAAGCAATGCTTCTTAAAAGAGGACCTAGAATATCTTCAGTCAACTGCTTTAGTTATATCGAGTATGATATATATATAAATAAATTCATTTATGTAACAATAAAATAATGCAGAATATTATTTTCATGTAATTCTATACACACATTCAAATTCACTGATGTTACTTCCAGACCCTGTATTATTTTATTAGTTACATATAATGCATTTGCATTTGTGATGGTAATTTATCAGTAAAGGCATAAAACATTTTATCACAACAGCATTCCTCTTAATTTCATATAGCTAGAATAAAGAAACCAGAACAAAGGATGAAGTTTAAAATGAGTATTTCAAAAAAACAAAGATGTATATTTCCACAGGAGTCTTCATTTTGCCTCTGCACTTGGTTAATCAGCTGGGAATGAATGTAGCAAGCATACGGTATATTAAAATCTGCAAGTTTGCTTCACACCCCTTGAGAAAGTTTGTTGATCAATTCTCTCTTCCCTTCAAAAAGCCCGAAGCGCTTCTTGATCTTATGTCTCACATTACGTAAAGACCAGTATTATCCACATTTCTCTAAAACAAAGACATATAACCTCTGTAAACTAATATTGTTTCAAACCAGGACCTCATCTTTGGAATGCTTCCACCAACTAACGTACAATTGTGCCAGTCACTGAGTCCTCCCACCTCTTGCAGAAACTGTCTATACAAGGTAAACACCACAAGAATAAAGGACTAGACACAAGATGGAAGGGAAAGAAAAAGATAAACTCCATGAAGAATCTGAGAGATTGATCAATTAAAAAAAAAAAAAAAAAAAGATCACATGACGTCATGACAGGTACTATGCATTCTTCCTTTTCTCTGGATCAGGTAGGGATTGCTATAATTACATAACATTTTCTTTAACTGTTTCTTTCTGTTATCAGAATGAAACAATTAAATGGTTCTGAAACATTTTTCACAATCTGTTGGAAGCTGATAAGTGATTTTTTGCTTTGATTCTGAATTTAAACAAGTTTGAAACTGATTTTCCACACATCAAATTTATCATTTCTATCAGCTCCAGTAAGAGTAGAGGACAGGATTTCATAGAATCATAGAATCATTTACATTGGAAAAGACCTCTAAAATCATCAAGTCCAACTGCTAACCTAGCACTGTCAAGTCTACAACTAAACCATGTCCCTAAACACCCACATCTTTTGAATACATCCAGAGATGGCGACCTAGACACTTCCCTGAGCAGCCTGTTCTAATTCCTCACTATCCATTTAGTGAACAATTTTTTCCTAACATTCAACTTAAAATTCCTTTGGCACAACTTGAGGCCATTCCCTCAACAAGCTTGTAGCTTGGGAGAAGAGACTAGCTACAAATTGTAGCCACCCACCCCGCTATAACATCCTTTGAGATGGTTGTAGAGCATGATAAGGTCTCCCCTGAGCCTCCTTTTTTCCCCTAGCATATGTCACACATTTACAGAAAGTTCAGCTTTACATATATTAAAAATATAAGTTAAATACAAACCATTATAAGCACTCTCCACCTGCTTTAAGTCCCCAGTTTACTTACCAACTGCTTTAACTCTACAAACTGGAACAGCCACAGTCACTGCCTGTGGCCGTGGAGCAACAGTGTGCTTTACAGGCCCAACAGAAGTTGCAGATACAGAGCATTGCTGTAGCAATGGAAAGTCATCCCAAGGAGTATTAACTGTAAGAGTGAAGTCATACGCTGCCACCTAAAGAACACAAATGCCAGTGTGGTCACCTTCCCAAAGAAAGTAGTACTTCTTGAACCACCTGAGTGGTAATGTTGTTTTTTATTACTATTTCATAATTATAAAAACTAACTTCAGAACTAATCATGATAATAATAGGATGTTTGTTTATTACCATCAAGTGTGAGTCATTAAAGTATGTAGTAATGAGCCATTTCATTTTTACCCCATCAAGGAAAAAAATGTATACCCCAAAGTATCTGGGTTATCAGCACAGCTACAAACAAGGCTTGTGGTAAATCACTGTGCTGTGGTCCTTTCCATCCTGAGCAGGAAAAAAAAAAAAAAAAAATCGAAAGTGCAGTCCAAAAGCATAACCATAAGAAACAAGGTGGGAAACAAAAATACATAAATTAAGAAAGCATTTTTCCAACATCGAAGAGAAAAACTCAGCTGTTATGGTATAGCCAACATAAATGAAATTGGTTCAGAGAACTAGGTGGAACATGAGTTAAAACTGACATAATTCAGCAAAAAGAAAAATAACCTGACAGGTTATGCATGTGATAAACCTAATTTATTTCACAGTGCACTTTTCAAGAAGGTATTACATACCTTTCACTTGATCTTGATCTTTCCAACACATCAGAGCAGTACACTCTTCAGAGAAAAAGATATGGATAACCATAACAAACGTAACAGAAGAAAAAACAAAACATCTACCATAAAAACACTGTTGGAGTCTTTCAGTCACTTACCTTGAAATCTTCAGAAAGGATTCTGGCCTACAAAACCTGTATGCTGCTTAAAACATACAGTAAAGCCAAGCATATGAAAATGTTTAGTTTTCAAATACCCAAATACCACAGGAAATAGTGCATCATGCTTTATTGTCATACATGTGGTAGTGAGTAAAATATATAAATGACAGGAAAGAAAAATAAAATGTGCTACCCCAAGAAAGGAAGCATATATTCATCTGTAACAAAATCAACCGGAGCTCAGGTGATGAGAAGCAAGTACACAGCATTTACAGTGTTTGGAATTCCAGCAGGGTTTTTAATACACAATTACAAGCTCCTGGTGAGCAATATGTGTGCTGAGCATTGTGGAACTTTTCGCAAATTTGCATTCAGCAAGATGAAAACATGGGATGAAAGGAAATATTTTTAGATCATGGTGCCCTTGTTTATATTGATACTTCAAATCTGATAAGGACTAGATTCTATAACATAGAATTACACTTTTCAAAATTAAGATGGCGAAAGACATTTGAAATTTTCACTATTCTAATATTTGAATTGGATAATAAAGAAAGAGTGAGTAAAAATCTCCTGATGTGATTTAAATATTCTTCTAGTTTAGTACACCACATTAAATACTTCATGTTACATCTTCAAAGTATGTGCTTGCATCATAAAACCAAATAATTAAAAGTTAGACTGAAAAAGGATCTTTTCTTCAGTGTTAGAAGTTCCTTTTACTTCAAAGTATGTACGAAATATGTTGCTACTAACAACAGTGGCTCCTTGCAGTTTTAGACAAAAACTTATATTTTCTTACAGTTGAAACTAAAAAGCATTGCATTTCAAGACTGAAATCAAAAATCATTTAAAACTTTATATGAAAACACATGAGAAGTTTGATAGATTAGAGCTGAACACATTCTTATTTGGTAACCTTAATAACTGTTAAAATGCATTAAAATTAATAAATTAAAAATTAAATTAAGTTTAAAAAATAAATTCAAAATTAAGAGACAACTGCAAAGTGATCCAATGTGAGAGAGGGAGAAGAAAATTTTCCTGGACTCTTTAGGTCAAGTATCTTGTATAACAGTCACAAACCAGACTCAATTAGAAGTTTTTATCGTACTCCTCAAGCTGTACGTGAAGTTTGCTATACTGGTCACACTTAGCCACTGTACATCTTCAAAAATGTAAAATGTAATATGCTTCCCATATAAATAGTATATCTCACAAGCATTATGGCTCACCATAAACAGAAAAAAAAAAGGGTGGGGTGGGAAGAGATGACTGCACACCTCAGTGTGTACCTCAGGTGCAAAGATTACAGCCAGCCCTGGCAGCTCCCTAAAGCCAGCACGGACATCCTTACTTGTGAAATTTTAACACTTGGAACATCATTGCCAAGAAATGCTATAAAAAAAAGAGACCTAGAAAAGCCCTTCCATCTCCAGCATGTGTCACTGGTATACCAGTATAATGATACTGCATTTTTCAAGACCTAGAAAGCTTGGTAAGATTAAAATGCTTTACCTATAATTGATAACATGACTTTATATATTTTTCCTATCCTGACTTAAACTAATTATGAGCATCAATTGGAAAGAAGGCATCATTTGCAAAGTGTTAGTCTTAGAAATTAAAAAGACTTTTAAAGAAGCTTTAAAAAGAATAGCCACGTGCAACAAAGCAGCTTTTTGTTACGCGTTCACATAGAACACCTCCAAAAAAAGTAAGAAAAGTGGTGTAGGCTGCCACAAGAAGGTATCAATTCTTTAAATCAAGAATCTGCAATCTTTTATTTCATTAGGGGAAAAAAAAAAGAAAAAAAAAGCTTTTTTTTCTCTCCTTAGAATTTCTAAACAGAGAAACAGAGTTGTGGATTTTTAAGAAATCTTTCTGATCAGAAAGTTCAGCTACCCAAACTCATATGAACCTATGAAATCGGTTTCATACAATGTGGATGATAGCGCTAAGCCTAACATTGAAGAGTGAACTTAGCTGAAGGCCTTCCTGCCTCAGACCTAAGTACTCCATACACTGAAAATAACAAAAAGGGGAAACACCTACCCCAGAAGCCATGACAATTAAAAAGTTATTTTAAGTTATTAATATTAAAGTTATTTTATATAAAATTTGTGCATAAAAAAAAAAAAAATTCAAGCAATCTGAGTAGAACAAAAAGTTACATTTTTTTTAAATGAACTTTCAAAGCAGTTACCTCATTTCTATCTTTACTAAGCACCCTAATGCAGTAATGCTTTATATGTTATATGCTTTACAATAATAATTATCAAAATGTATGTTCTCAAGGTTGAGTGAAAAATTTTGCTTTCGAATCCAAGAATCAAATAGTTTATTTAGCACAAAGAGTACATATCTCCCTAAAATTAAAAGACTTGCTTTTATAGTACAACTTCACACCAAATTGCAAGTAAATCAATGAACTAATTTATGACTTCAAATTAACTTAAAACACCTGTATAAGAAAATAATCTTGTATTTACAACATAATATGCAGAGTGATCAAATATCTTGAAGCATTAGAAATCACTGAATTTTTGTGTAAAGGATCTTTTTAAAATTTATTTATAGCACTAGCAACAGACAGATTTTCGGCAGTGATACCTGAAGAGAAAGTGTAATGTACATTAAAAAAGCAGTTTGATTAAAATTTAAACCTAACTATCAAAGTAAACGGTACTGCAGAACCAAGGTTTTATGTACTGCAGCTGTATACATTATATATTCTCAAAGTCTTGTAAGATTTAACATTAACTCTTCCTTAAAATATACAAAAAAAATTTAATGCAGTCTAAATTCCCCAGCTTTCCATCACATATAGCCAGCATAATGAATAATGTAAAAAGTGTTCAAATCCATCATCGAGAACACTGAAATAAAACTAAATCCTTCCCTTGTATACAGAGATGTCAGAGATGGTGCAGCAGCAATACCCTGATTATTTTGTAATTCAACGGCTGATTTTCCAGAGAATGCATATCTTACACTGTGAATTCTGTGCATTAAAATAAATAAATAATTCCATCCTTATCAATATCAAAAATTAAAAAGGGGGGGGGGGGGGGGGGGGGGGAAGGGAACACCTGTCACTTCTCTATATGAAGTCTAAACAACAAGTTCTGACAAGTGTGACTTGCTCCATTTGTCTCAATCAAAGCCCTCACAGGTCTCATTATTACACAGCTGTATATGTCATATTTTTTCCTAAGGTGCTGGAATTTTCTATTCCAAAATATATGTGTGTGTATATATACATGTATATATATAGTGTGTGTGTATATATATACACATATATATAGTGCGTGTATATATATATACATATACACATTGTATATATTGTATACATATATATACACACTATATCGTGTATATATATAATTATATACTATATAGTGTGTATATATATATACACACACTATATATAGTTGAAGCAGCACACTCCTGCACCTTGCTTTGCCTTTCTGCCTTACCAGAACTTGCATAACCTTGCTGCTAGCAGGTGGATCATCCTGCCTTGAGAAGCACAGTGAGAGCTAAGGACCAAAGATTGTCACTGAGCAAATATTCAACATGATAACACACTGTCCATTTCCCTGGCACAAAACAACAACAACAACAGCAATGAACTGCTCCTCAACCTAACAGACAATCAGCCTGCAGAACATGAGTCACGATCAAAAAAAGTCATGCTTCTTGGATAGGGACAAGAGAGTTCCAACAAATATTTGGCCGGAGGTTCGTGAGTTTTTTGGTTGTTTTATCTGTTGATTTGTTGCTGTTCTTTAAATCAATACGAATTTTTGTTTTACTCAGCATCTGAAATGAAATGACTTACAGCTGGCTAAACCTCCTTATATTGCAGTGAAAAACACGTGAAATGTAATCATTATTTGAGATACTTCATTAAAAGTGTAACAAAACAGAAAAGAAAGGATCATATAGCCTATATAAAATATGACATTAAGGATTTGCCAGCTTACCTATTTATATTTACTTATTTGTATATTGTTCTCACTTATGTACATCTATGCATATACATCTATCTGTAACTGCAAATGAATCCCACTATTCAACACTTTCCCACGAGGCAGAGAACTGTCACCTCCAACACCTTCTGAGAGGCTGGAGTAACAGGAAGGGAAAATCATGCCATACCTGGGCAGCATCCTAGCCTTATCTATAAAGCATCAATTTAATTTAATTGCTTAGGCTATTGGGAGAATTATCTCAAAATTTGTAGATGTTATTTTATAAACATGCCAATATACTTCATCTCTAAGAATGTCTTATGATATCACATTAAATTGTTCATACTAAGTTTTAGCATAAATTGTGGCAGCTATTCAGAGTTGCTATGTGCTTACTTAGTCTGATGACTTAAAGCTTTTTAACATAAAAGGAAAACAATTACCAAGATGATTTTTGGCAGGAGTATTCAAGATTGATTCAATTTCACATTTCTAGTATCTACTTTCTTAGCACAACACAGATTTGTGGAGTTTTGTTGGTTTACGGATAGCATTGTCAGTAGTGATGACTACAGCAACAGCAGGAAGCTTTAGCAGAACCAGACAGCAGGCAGAAAGAATTCATCTCACTGGGATACAGAAGGCTTGCAGCAGCTGGGAGGTAAGCCGGCTAAGACCAGTTGTCCAGAAAACAGTGATGATATCAGAGAAACAGCTGTTCAAGTAGAGAGGCAGGATATAGTGCCAGCAACTGTGAAACTTGAATAGAGTAAGCTCAGTATAGAGAGATCTGAGCTTTTTCAAGAGCTTTTTCCAAAGTCAGAAAAGAGATGGAAGAAATCTGATGAGAGAAGGGGCAAATCTAGATGCAGCAGAATGATAGCAACAACTCAGATCCAAGGAGGAATGTTCTAAGAATCTGCAACTAATGAGAGTCTCTGATCACAACAAGAGATGCCACTACCCATACCAATTTCTTAACAAAATTATGCTTATTATTAAAGATTTTATTTTATTATACTACTTTGCAGGAGCTAGATTAAAGAAAAGCTACAGCACCCTGGGGGTACAGGCACTTCCAGATGCTTTCTTGGTCATGCCATACTGGGTGGCACATTTAGTTTTCAAGGTTATCTGCCTTTTACATTAATCAGTGCTATTGCTCCCAGCTATCAGTGCTTCATTAAAGCTCAACAATGTTAACATGTGACCACCAGTGGGTTGTAAGTTGTAAGTGTATTTGGGCATGTCTTGCCTGGTAATCAGTAAGCTGCCTCCTGCCAGGCAAGAAATAGTATACTTGCAGCAGAATGGAAGCACTGGCTGCGCACTGAGCCTACCTAGCACAGGGTAGAGACAGAGAAAGGATGTGAGCACATGGAGAGAAGGGGAAATGGAAATAAATAAAATCTGTGAGAGCAGGGCTTATTAATTGGTTATGAGGCATGAGACACCTCAGGGAAGTTTCCTTTTTGAAGCTCTTTATTCCCTTACTTCTGAATGAAGCTGTTCTGCTTGGAGAAAAAAAAAAAAAAAAAAAAAAAAGCACTCAAAGTTTGAAAAATTAAAAAAAGATGATATCACAGAGAAAAACTATAATCAACAGTTGCAATATATTTGACAGTGACTTATTTTTTTTTTTAAAAAGGAGCTATCAGAAAACAAATCAAGTTAAATATAAGATATTTTTTTTCCCCAAATTATATCATTAGAGCAGATTGCAAATTGATATAGCCTTGTCTTCAGTTAGGTTACCTTATCACCAGCATCAAATTATAGTTGGGGATGCTTGTTAATAACCATCAGTAATGCTGAGTCTGTAGCTCAGACTACAAGTGAAATGAACTAAATAAGTGGTTCAGAAGACTTCTGAGACAGTAGACGATTCTGCATGTTTAATCATTTGAATGTAGAGCAGTGTTAGAAGCAACATATCTATTCTTAATCCATCCTTACACTTGGCAAAGAAAGAAAACAGTAATATAGCTTAATTGCAGAAGGGGCAAATAGGATACTGGGAGGCACAAAAAAATCCCTATTTTGATAGTTTGGAGGGGATGGGGTTCATTTACAATTTTAGAGTTTATATTTCAGTAGTCTGGAAAGGGATGATTGGCCTTCTTCTATACTACTTTCTAGTACAATGAAGAATAAAGGATCAGTTTGTACAGCAGCACTATCACCAGAGAAACCCCATGCCAGAAGCAGGAAAAGAGCTGTCAGATATCAGGTTATGGCTCCCATCAATATGAACGTAGTTTAGAGATACACAACTTGTATACACAAATTTCTATTCTTGATCATTCATACCTAAATGAAAATGTCAGCATATTCCCTTCTGAGCTTCTCTTCAGTTTGATAGTAGGTCACTGGCGATATTCTGTGTACAATTTAGCATACCTTCCTAGCACTGTATCCAGTCAACACCTGCCTGCCTTGCCTATGTGAGTACTGCACCAGACAATGTCAAGATACTTATAAAGATATGACATCTACTGCTTCTCATCTAACCTCAAGGCCTGCTATGCTACTGGTGGAAATTAATTCAATTTCAAATAATTCATTTTTGATGAATATGTTAACTCATCCTCTGTCAAGAAAAATTCCGAGTAGCAAGCATACTATAAATTTACACCACCAGTTATTTATTTTGCAATGGTTTACCTGTGTGCACAAAATCTAAGCTGAAAGTAGTATAGAAAGAAAACCATAGTGTTAAGAGATGCAGGCTGTAATATGCAAATATTTATTTGAATTATGCTTGGAACAGAGAACTCGACTTCTATTCAAACAATAAAATTGTAGGTAGGAAGGAGGGACAGTAGGAACAAGGGAGAAAAGAACATTGTTGGCCCTTCCAAGATGCATTGTCTCTGAAATTCATTTATTTTTTAAGGTAAAAATGAAGCTAATGGAACAGGTTTGTGTGCTGCAACTAGTTGTTTGTTCTGAAAGAGGTTTATAATATCAAAGACTAGGTTTTGTTGCTGTTCATTGTTCTTCATATATATGAAAATCCCCAAACCCCCCACTTAAAAAATGTTGCTCAATAGGTTGAATTAAAATTTACTAAAAGTGCTGCCCATTGACATGTACCACCAATAAAACGCAATGATCCTGATGTAAAACTAACCCATAGTCTCATATCTTCAATTTGTTTCCTTTCCTCCATTACAAAGCAACTTTGCTGATCATTATGACACACAAAACTCTTCTACTTTTGTAGTCCCTTAAGGTCATCTGAGAGTTAAACCATAAACAGCTGCAAATAGAAAACAGCCACCAATTGCTGAATGACTTAATGAACGTGTGGTAAGGATTTAAATGTATTCATTCTCTATTTTGAAGTCATTGGAAAAGTGTGTTTTCTTTGTGAGCATACTTTTAAGGAAAGAAGCAAAAGTAGTACGTTATTTCAAAACTTGTTTTCTTAATAATCAGGTTGCTATTACAAAACTATTGTACACACTAAAAAGTACATCTAGAATGTCTATATTCTCTCATCTTAGAAATATTAGAGAGTGCCAGTTTAATTTAGCTTAATCACCACTGCCCCATCAACCTACCTCTTTTGGCATGAAGGACAATGAGCACTGCAAAGATGACTTTCCCTCTAAGTCAACTGAATACAAATAAGGTTTTGAAGAACAGTTTTCAACCACTGTCAAACAAAATTCAGAATCAAGTTAGAGGTGTCATTACACTAAATATCAATTTTGTAATAATTGCAGTACATGAAAGTGATTACCAACACAGGTATACATGTATAAATGGTAAATATTTCTCATCTAGTTATGAATGAATATAATATTTCTCATAAGCATTCTGGATGTAATTTTGAGAAGTGTTAATCACCACCTATCTTCAGTAAAGTCATTGATTTGGGGGAATATTTGAAAGAAAAAAAAAAAAAGATTTAATTTATCTTTGAAGAAAAGCATCAAGCAAAAATACTTAACTAAATAATAAGAACTCATACCACACGGGAAAAAATGGAATCTTAGAATCACGGAATGGTTTGGGTTGGAAAGAACATTAAAGATGACCTGGTTCCAACCCCCTGCCATGGGCAGGGACACTTCCCACCAGAGTAGGGTGCTCAAAACCCCATCCAACTTGGCCTTGAACACTTCCAGAGAGCTACCAACTTCTGTGGGCAACTTGTTCCAGTGCATTACCACCCTCATAGTAAAGAACTTCTTCCACATATCTAAAATAAATATCTATATGTATATCTAAAATAAATATCTACATATCTAATCTACCCTCTCTTAGTTTAAAACCATTACTCCTTGTCCTATCAATACAATCCCTAATAAAGAGTCCCTCTCCAGAGGGACATGGCTGAACCTTTTTTTTGTTTTCCTAAATGACTTTCAGGAATAATCTGCACTACAGAAGTTTACCAGTAAGGCTTCCTTAATTTAGCAGGCTTTCAGGTCCAATTTTAAGGCATAGGCAGAAGCATGGGTTTCCAATACATAAAGTAAAACTGCTCTGAAAAATTATTCATCCTGAAGGCACACCGTTTGAACAGTACCTGACCTGACTGAACACCCCGTTACTTGTTTCAAGCACAAACTCTGATCTAGAAATCATGTGCAATGAGTCAATTCCCAAGCTGGCTAGCTGCCTCTTGTAGACAGTTTTGCAATCCTCATCCAAGTTAAGATGACTGACTAGGGGCACCCACTTTCCCTTTGAAATCTACCATGTGGAAGGAAAGCCCTCTGTTCTCATCAGATCATTTGTTGTGATCATCCACATGTAGTTCTACATAAGCACAACTAAACATTACAATATTGGCTTGCACAAGAAAAAGTATTGATTTCACATGTTTTCAGGGATAAGAGGCCATAAGAACATAAATTCTCTCATTAATGAAGTTGTTTAAAAACAGCAAAGGTGGTACCAGGACTGAATTAGAAAAGGGATGAGCAACAATGAATGAAGAATAGGAAACTGCAGTCCTATCAAGAAACAAAGAATAGCAACTGAATTCCACACATTACCCCGATGTCATTCTAACTTGTAAATCATGTAAAACAGAGGTCTTGTGATTAAGGCACCATTAGAGGGAAAAAAAAAAAAAAAAAAGTCCAGACCTTTACAGTGACACTGAATTAACTTAAGAGTAAATATTGTCAAACCAGTGGATAGAAGTCCATGAACAGGAAATAAGTATAGCTGTGCTTTTGGGTTGACTTTTTGGTTGTTCTTGTTACTTGTTTTAATTGGTGAGAGGGTGCTCAGATATTTTTATATGCCTTTGCAACTACAGGCAAAAAAAAATCTACAGGCAAACTGTCATTTTCCAAGTGCTTTTTTTTTGGCAAGCATTTTATAGGCAGAATAAACTGTCTCATTTTAATTTATATTAAGCAGCAGTTTTAAAATAATCGTCTTAGGTTTTCTGTTAATCAGAAAAATTGTATACCAGAAATAGTCTGACAGATTTTCTCTTAGCACTATCCTATTCTTTATTTAATGAACGTTGATATAGCAAAGCAAATACCTGAATGGTCATTAGCACTCAATTTAAAATCCTTATACTTGAAAAAATCAAACTCCACTCTGGTACGTGCCTGTCCTTTATTCTGAAGCAAAAATGGAATTGATTTTGTAGAATTAACATAAACACCACCAAAGTCAAATAGTTCCTGTAAGTTTAAAGAAAAAAAATATGGTCAAACCCGTGTGAAGTCAACTTTGTAACTGAACAGCATGTGAGAAATAATTATATTCAGTAATGCAGTGACTCAGAATTTATAATCCATTAGGCAGACATCTCAGTTAATTAATTGTTTTGCCTAACTCTTATCTTTAAATTCTTTCCAAGATATCAAACGCAACAAAGTTCAGTGATACCACCAGGACAGTTTTCCTCATTCAGTCAACAGATCAGTGGATTCACTTTTCCCTATCCTATATTTTTCTTTATTACTACCTTAAAGAAATCTTCTGCCTTTTTTTTTTTTACAGGTGTTGAAGTTCAAAGGTTAAAGTTGTTATCATTTAGTGAAACTTTCATATATACATTTATTTTCTTAATTTCTGTTCCCAAGTTCTTCTCTGTGATAATTTTCTCAGGAAGTTAGTACAGGGGAAAAAAAAGGAAAACATGAAGTAGGAATGTGCCACTTTGACATTAAGATAAAGCAAAACACTACTAATCTTACCAGTTGCTTCAATTTCTTCATACTTACCACATCAATCTTTATTTCAGGGGTCTCTACAAATCCAACAATCCTGAGCACTAGTACTCCTGAATTTCGCACTGCTACCTAAGTTAATGGAGGACAGTGTGATTGTTGACAAGATCATTTTAACATAACAACATCATCAAATCTGTCAAAATTAAATGAAAGTCAAAAAAAAAACAAAAACAAAAACAAAAAAACAACAGGTATAGAAGAACCAATAGTGCCTTTGTGGTATACCTTGTCTGGATAGTTATAGTTGTCAAGAACGTTTCAGGGAAGACCATTCTTCTGCAGACAAAAATAATGCTGCACGAGTTTGTATCATTAGAACTAATTGTTTCCTCTAGCAGAGAAAACTGAGTGGATGAGTTACATCTATTCAGCAGCTGTGAGGATTGGAAAGTACACCTGAAGACAAATTGCTTGAGGAGCTGCTGGCACAATGTAGATGTTGTTTTGAGCAGTGTTTGTTAGAAGTGAAAAGAAGAATGACTAGTAGGTTCAGTGAGCACAGTGTATGCAGTCAAAGACGACAAAGAATCCAGGATTAGAATTGGAAAAGGTAGCAAAGATCAGCCCCAGTACAGAATCCCTTTTTTCTTCCCACTTATCTGACCAAAGACAAGCCGACTAAGTGGGCATGCAGAAAACAAAGTAGGATTAGATCTTTACTGCACTCCTATTATCAGACCAAGTTTACTGGTAAATTCATCTCCAAGTTAACCTTTTTGTAATGTTCACAAGAAGTAGTCAGGAAATCAAAAACACTGCAGTATTTCAGTCCTGCTACTCAATAAAACACAAAAACTGTGCATATGTCTACATGATCTTATGAAAACAAGGAGATGTTAGTTTCAGCAGCTTGCCAATAATATGCTATGAATCAGCTCAACTGAGAGGCTGTTTAGGACTTCAGAGCAGTAGTGAGACCAGAATAACAGAATAGCTTACTAGCTACCAACAGCTGTAAGAAAATACTTTTTTTAAAGTATTAGAACACTTCGGATAAAATTCAAAAGATGCTCAGATGCACACACATCTCAACATTCAAACATCTCCACATACAAACATGCAACATAACACTCAAAAGCCAAAACTCATTCAGTTTTGGATACCTCCACTCTTGTATCAAAACTCATTTTTGCATTTGGAGTGAAAAGGATTTTGAGCTCAGCATGGCCTCCCACAGGTACCACCCCGTCACGAGGGGTGATCAACATTCCAGGCAGTGGATTTGAATGAAGGACCTTCAAACACAAACATGTATTATTAATAGTATCAGGGAAAAAAAATCACTGCTAAAAAAAACACATTACTATATCTATCATGAAGATTTAATATTCTTACAAGGTGAACCTTTATAACATATAATAAACAAATTACAAATTCAAATAAAACAATCACATAGTACCAAAATAAACAACAGTTCTGAGGATTTTAATCAGAACAATTCTATGTCACTATTTAAATATAGCAAATCATTCTGTGATCAGAAGAACTAATAAGGTTAGGTTTACTACTAATTCATGGCTTATGTGTTTACCTGCTCTGGCTCACGTCTTATCTAATTCACATTATAGCCTACCATCCTCTTAGTTGTTAATCTAGCAAAATCACCACATTTGCTGTGACTGGTCTGAGTCTACGCATGCATTGACTGGGCAGCCAGGGTGAGAATAAGATGACCAGCCAGTTCACTTTCTCTCTCTGCATATAAAAACATCCAAGGTGTAAATGCCTTTTTATAGGGTACACAAATACAGGATTCTTGTTTCACCTGTGGTTTTCATGCAGCTTCTGGAATCTTTTCAAGGAGTTTTTATCTCTTTGTGAGACACTACCACTTTGTCAGGTTTGGATTGGTGGATAGACAGACACATAGGGACAGAATTCCTCTTCACATAAATCTTTGTTCATCTAAAAACTAGACAAATGAAGCAGTTCTATCTAATAACTGAGAATACAAAGCTGTAACACGATCTGAAAAAATGCACTCCCTTCTCCTCCCCACCCCCAAGTAATTAAACGTACTAAAAATAATTTTAGTTTACTTGGAAGTAGGCATGATTGTATCCTGTGTTTTGAAGAATGGCTGTCTTACAAGTAGATAAACCCACTGGACAATGACTGAACGGTATCCTTTGTTCTATAAACTGAACTTTTGTGGTACCAAGCTGTCAAAAAATAAGAGAAAGCAAAAACAAGCAAACCAAATAACATATTACTAAGTATAAATAAATAATCAGCCTTATTTTCTTTTCATTACATAGTAAGTTAACATACCTCTGGAAATGTATAAATTAGAATAATTTAAACAGAAAAATATACATTTTAAAAATGGGACAACATATAGACAATATTTTGAATTTATCTAGATTCAAAGTTAATAGATACATTAGATACATAGATACTCAAATACGTTTCTAAGTTAATTTAAAGGTAAATAAAATTATTTTAATTAATTTTAATACCACGAGCTCCATGTGTTTTTTTTCATCTCAAATGTGTGAGCAGGACAATATACTTTTTAATATAAGTAATTTTTAATAGCAGTAATAATACAGTAATAATAGCAGGAAAAATGACAATATTATAACTTGCACACATCCTGATTTTAGTTATGACAATTTCAAACGTTTCAAAGGAAAAAGCTACCATGAAAAGCTACCAGTCATATCAAAAGGGGAAAAGTCTTATTTGCATTCAAAATGTTTACATATAGAGCATGCAGCCATCAGAATGTTTTAAAAAACAAAACAAAACAAAAAAAACGTTCTCATTCACACTTCCTGGCACGTAACATTACATATCAAATGATTCACCAAATTTCTTATTGCTGGAAAATCTCTTATTTTGTCATAGGATTCCTTCTATAAATTTATTTTATTCCACCTTAAAATAATTCGAGATTCTCTTTGCCACTGTTCAAAAAACTATCCAGAACATTTCTTTTCAAAATAGCAGAAAACATACTCAAATAACAGGACAAAATTATGTTACAGCCAATCCACAGGTGTTATGCTGAAGCTATTCATACTCAAAAAAACCTTTCTATTTTCCTTCTCCTTGATCTGTTTCCCTTTAACATACATATAAAGAACTATCATATCACCTCTCAACCTTTGTTTAGCTATATTAAGTAAGCCAAGAAGAACAATTACATACATATAAAGACCACTCAGTTGTGGTGCCAAAGGAAGTATATAACTACAGCCAAGACAAAGGCAGTCTTGCCTTCTCCATCATTTCTTTGGAGCAACACCCTTTTTGTAAATACGTCAGGTAGAAATTACATAAAATTAAAATATTTTTTGAATGCTCAACCAAAGAAACATATTTACGAAATTGTTTGTTAAATAAATTTTCTAATTTTTTCTTTTCTAAATCTGTTGTATGATGTGTTACCTTTGCAAAACATTTCAACTTAATTATGTTTCCTTTACGCACACACAAGTTGAATTCTCCTGCTTCTGGGGAGTTGAACCCGGGATGCCAAACAACTTCACACTCTAAGTCTCTATAGGGCTCCACAAAGCCTAAATAACATGAAGAATTATTATAGTCATACACATTTACAATTATCAAGTTATGTTGTACAATTACAATAACACAAGCATATTAAAATCAAATGACTTTCGATTATTGAGCACAAAGCCTACATTTCAAAGATGTTCAATGGTATGATGAATTAAATAAAGTTAGTTTCTGAATTCTCACGTCAATTGCATAACATCAGTTTATCAGCATCCTGCAGTAAAACACATTCAAAGTTCATTGATTTTTTTTTGCCTCAAATTACCCAAATATTAAACTTTAACAAAAAATTTAAAAGAACAGACAGCCCTTCTGGTAGACTAATACCTCTGGGAAGGAGCATATGCTTTTTCTTGCTTGCAATTGATTCTGAACTCAGAATCAAAATATCTTATTTTTCAAGAATCAGTGCACACCAAGCTCTTCATCTAGCCAAATCTTTTTATCTTTTTTTTTTTTTTTTTTTTTTTTTTTTTTTATTGAATAATGCCAGCTCGGTTAGCAGTTATTTTTTTTTTAAATAATGAAGTTCCAACATACTCTTACAGAACACTGTCTTTCAAAGGAAAAAAATGTCTCACACACTTCTAACAAACATCAATCCATAGTGCAAGTGAAACTAATGCCAGGCTGAATTATATTTGTGTCACTCACACTGTCTACATCAAATTCTAGCAGCTTTGTTCATACAGAACTTTTGGAAAGCTCTTTAAGAGCCGTGTGACGTTGGTAACTGCCATTAAATGGCTGCCTCACTTTTTAGATACCAGCAATTTGAGTTCAGAAATTTGGCTACATGAGAGCTGTTTGTTGGACACAGAAACAACAAGCTGGACTTAGCACATGCTAGTAGGGTTTACATAGGGAATGCTGCTCTGGTATTAACACTCTGATCTGGTACTACTTTGGGGATAAACTGATGCTGAACCAAATACAGTTTACGTAATCACCTGGATGTTTGCCTTATTTAACATTATTGACACTTAAGATACATGAATACATATGTATTTGCAAAGCATACCTTTGGCTGGCTGTATAGAAAATGCAGTTCCTTTATCTGTAGTTACAGGTTTCCAAGTAAACTCAGCAGAATGGTTTCTGGTATTGTATACCCTGACAGTTGCTCTAAATTCTGTCTCTGCCAAGTAGCCAGGAATAGGATTTAAAATCACTTCCCTTTCAGACAACTGGAGTTCAACAGACACTGCATTTGCAATGACCAGCACGTGCCCAGGATGTTTGTTGTTTATTGTGTAAGTAAAAGATCTGTAGTATAAAAACAAATATTTCTCAATAGCATTTTTAGATTTATTATGCTATAGTCAAAGAAAAAATTATGTGAAATCTAATCATTAGGAAGAAAATACAGGAAACAACTGAATAGGAACACAGTTCAGACTGACAAGAAAAAAGCTATCTGTAATAGATTCACATGCAACTTAAACCACCTGAAAGGTGAAAATCATCCCATAGGATTATCAACTTCATATTGTTTGTTCACAAAAGCATTATAACATGAGAATTCCACCTTGACACCAGATATATAGAAAACAGTTTGCCTATAAATTTACCAAGAAGGAAGTGTATCAACAGATACAAGCACAGATACAGAGATGCAAGACTGACAGAAAGAGCACAGTATTTTCATAAAGTTTATCCTACCATATAAAGTATAACAGCACAATTTTTGCTGATATACAGGTGGCACTGTGGTTATATATGCTCTTGCCACAACAGACTTAAAAAAAAAAAAAAAAAAAAGAAACTAATAAAAAATTTTTGCAACATAAATCTGCATGTTATTGATATTACCACAAATCAGTGTTCACCAAGTTTAATTACACCAAGTTTAAAATAGCCGCATGATATTTTTATTTATTCTACTATGCAAATTAATTATGTGAAACAATATAAGAAACCTTACTTTTTAAACATTCCAAGCTTTTTTGTCTCAAAGACAACTGGAATATAAGTCTTTGTAAGCGGAGGCACCACCTGACACAGTGGACTTGTTTGCTCTAGTTCATCTATTTCAATCTCAATTTGTATCCATATATGGACTAACAAGTTATTGACGATATGTAGTTTTCTGGCAGTTGTAGAGTACACACAAACATCACCAAAGTCCATAGTAGAGGGACCTGGAATACAGAAGAAATAAGATCTTCAACATTAAATAGTGAAAATTAACATAAGGAAACATAACTACTAAAGGAAGCATACTCACTAAACTACTAAGGAAACACAACTACTAACAAATTCTGATCAAAACATTTTAGTCCCCAAATTTACTGACTTACCTAAAATAACTCTGTGGTGGAACAAATTCACATTTAAATTTGGAAGTATATATTTTCCTACCTATTGCAACCCAAAAGTCAACACCAATATTTATTTAATTCTGTCTTATACAGCGATTTAAATGGGAAAAGCAAGGTGTTAATGACAGAAGGCAGTATTAGTAAATATTTTCTTTAACTAATCACATATTTAACTGGCTAGAAAAACAACGATTAACGATAAGAGTACTTATTTTATTTGTTCCTTGACATGTGGCAATTTGGTTTCATAATTTGAAACCAAAATTACATATTTTGTGGTGACAAAATGATCTCTCCTGTATTTACTGCTATCACTGATTTTTATGCTGGTCTGCAAACTTCACTGCTTATTGCACTAATCAAACATTTTATAAAACCGTACATACTTTATCTATTTATATGGTTATTTTTATGGTATTTATTATTTACTTTTCCCCAAATATATTGGTATACACAGCTAGAATACTGAAGTTCTAGCTTCAATGAAAATTAAAAAGACAACCCAGAAAGTAATGAAATTTTTCATTTTGAAGCTAAATAATATGACAGGGCCTTGTGACCTTAAAACAGACCTGTTTTAATATCTATATTAGGTTTATGTGGCAATGTTTTGGTAGTGGGGGGGCTGCAGCAGGGGCCTCTGTGAGCAGAGCCCAGCAGCTGCCCCATGTCAGACCAGAGCCAGCTCCAGCCACCTCCAAAAAGGACCAGTCACTGGCCAGAGCCAAGAGAGGGAGTGACGCTGGGTGGGCCTCTGGGAAAGCACAGTTAAGGAAAGGAAAAAACGTCATGCAACACCATCCGGGAAAGAGGTGTGAGAACGTGCAGCCCCCCAGGTGAGTGCAGCAAGAGGTGCTCCAGGCAGGCAGCAGCAGTTCCCCTGCAGCCTGTGGAGAGGCCCCTGGTGGAGCAGGCTGTCCCCCTGCAGCCCATGGGTCCCACATGGAGCAGATCTCCACGCTGCAGCCCCCCCATGGGTGGAGGAGCCCCCATGGAGCAGGTGGATGTGGCCTGGAGGAGGCTGCGGCCCATGGAGAGCCCCTGCAGGAGCAGGCCCTGGGCTGGAGCTGCAGCCTGTGGAGAGGAGTCCATGCAGGAGCAGGGGGTCTGGGGGGAGCTGCTGCCCACCTGTGGGGGACCCGTGCTGGAGCAATTTGCTCCTGGGGGATGGATGGATGGACCCTGTGGGACGGAGCCGTGTGGGAGCAGTGCTTGACATGGGCAGCATCCCCACACTGGAGCAGAGAAAGAGTGTGAGGAGGAGAGAGCAGCAGAGACAAAGCACTATGGCCTGACCACAACTCTCGTTCCCCCTTCCCCTGCACTGACCAGGAGGAGGCAGATTAGAGTGTATTGGGGGAAGCCATTTTTAGTTGCTTTTAGTTCTCCAGAAGAGAAATAGAAGACTGCTTTAGTCAGATATTAGTTGGCAATAAATTATACTAACCTGCTTTATGCTGAATCTGTTTTGCCTATGACAGTAATTGATGAGTGATCTCCCTGACCTTATCCTTGCCCTTGAGCCCTTTTCCATGTTTTTTCCCCCCGTTCCTTTGAGGAAAGGGAGCAGGAGAAAAATGTGGTGGAGTTTAGCTGCCCATCAGGTTGAAAGCACCACAGTCCAACATGTTGTTAATAGATGAACCCCTCACAAACTTTAGAAGGCACTCCGCATCACAGAGCTTCCCACTGGAATTATTTTGAAGGAGGATCCTGAAGAAGTTGTACTCTGTTGGGCCATTACTATTATCTCAAAGAAACATTTTGAAGACTCCCACAAACATTGATGATATTAATGCTGATCTAGATATTACCCGATACAAGCCATAAGAGTATGAGCTGCCCTCATATTATGCAGCATTCTTTTCTCATTAACGGGCCATACCATAACTGGTCTTTAAAGAAAGCTCTCCGTTCACACTTCAATACCTTTAAAGAAAGCTCTCCGTTCACACTTCAATACCTAATTGTGTCTCCCTATCGTCTGCTGAGTACAAAGCTTCAGTTAAACGCTAATGTATATATCAAGCTACCACCAAATTAATCTATTTTCTATTTAAGGTGAAAAATTATGAACATACACTGTGTTACTACAAATAAGTGCTTTTATAACAACCATATTTGTTTCATAACCAAAGTAAAAATCTTACCAATTAGTATTTGATGAAGCTGTTTGGGTGTCAAAGTTAGACTACAATCTTCCTTCTCTTGGGTAGAAGATGGCATAGCACTAAGCCCGCTCCAAATCTGGGAAAAGCACAAGACATTTTCTCAGAACGGAACCAAAATTTATATTCATATACATATATACATATACACGTGTCTGTGTGTCTGTGTGTTAAACATTTTATGTTTACATTATTACTGAAGCATTTAACTTACTTCTTTGACTGAAGATTTAGACGCACTTGCTGACAGTCTTCGACTAGTTAATGGGCAATTTTCATCTAAAGAAAGCATTTTGAACTGTAACTCCTCCTTGTGAAGATCTGTGATTGAGATCTTTGGTGACACAAGTCCTTCTGCAGGTTTAAGGCCTATGCTCACAGAATTATTATAAATATAAAACTGCCTATAGGCAAGGGGAAAAAAAGAATAGGGAAATCTAGAATTTTGAGCGTTTTATGTTCTACACTTTAAACTACCTAAGATTATTTAATACAACAAATAATACTTTAAGTGAGGATATTTCATTAGAAAAAAAACAACCATTGCATGTTTGTTAACCATTGTTAACAATTGTCAACCATTGCATGCCTAGCTAAATGTATTAAAAGTATTATGGCTACCAAAATGTAATTATATCATGTCTAGAATATACCTTAAAGAACAATGATGTCGTAAAGTGACACACTTAAAAGATAACAAATGACAAGATTACAAAGGATCTTTTAATATGTGTATGTTTGAGCTGGACCACTTACAGCTTAATTTTCTGATCAGTTACCTTTTCTTGATCTTGGTTAAGCGCCAATCAATTTCACCTGCAACTATGCAATTTTAAACTTCCAGAAAACTTACACAGAGGTATCATATCAAGTATTTAGAAAATTATACTGACTTCAATAACAACCATAAATTCATCTGGTAATTGTGAAATGTGCCTTTCTGTTCTTGCTCCTCTTGAAACACACCTTTAATATGTTATGGTCATGTAAGTTACGGTCACAGAAACAGCACAATACCAGTGCCTTCCAAGAAAACCATGTACCCTGTGCATGCAGAAAAAAATACAATACATCCATCTCTGCAGGCCTTGTTTGAATCATGACATATGTACACAGAACAACTTAAAATTGAAACTATGTTGAGGGATTTTTGAAACAGCAAAGATCCCATGACTTGCTGCAGCTGAGCAAACCAACTCTATGAGAAGACTATGACAACTATGAGAAGTTCCCATGACAGTGCTTCCACATTGCCCAGTTGAGGAATTTAGAAAAATATTGTTGCCAGCAGCTGGCTTCAAGGACGGGATCTACGTGACTGCTAATCACAAGGGGGTTGTTTTCTTGCAGGTGGGGTTGTTCTCTTGCAGTTGTTTGTCTGAGTGCTTTTGACCAATAATCTTGTGTGAGACACTATCCACCCATGTTAAGTTTGCTATAAAAGTCAGGCTGTTTGGGTAATAAAGGGGAGCATGATCTGACCATACTAGTGCCTGTCGTGTTTTCGGCCGTTCTTCCTGCAACAAAACTACAACAATAACCCTCTGCCCATATACATTTTTAAATAACAAGTTTTGAGACTTACCAGTCTTAAGGTATTACTTCTCTTGCCTTGGAGGAAGGTTTTACAGGCTTTTATTTTTTAATAAAATGCTTATTTTTAATAAAATTAAAAACATCAGAACTGTCATGTAAAGTTTTCCCAGACTATAGTTTTCCAAGGTTTGCTCCACAACATATCAAGCAAACACAGCAAATTCTTACTCCATAAATTTGTGTTAGCTAAAGCTAGAATGCCAGCACCATCCTTTGATCTTAGTTACACTACACAAGTTATATTATAACTCACATATTGAACCCATCACTATTGGTGAGCTACACATATTGATTAGAAATACATACAGTTTATTATATATAAAAAAAGATTCCAGCACAACCATAAACACTTTTTTGCAATGAGCCACAAGCAACTTTTCTTAAAACCTGGTATCTTAAGTTCATCGTAGGTTTTATTTCAAGTTCCATGGCCTTGAACCTAAGTTTTACCCTGGAAGTAATCTTCAAGTGTCTAAATCAATGCTTGATCAAAATTGGTTTTAAATACTTTATAAATGAAGATCCCAAGACCATAAGCATTTCTGGATGCGATAAAATTCGGCATAAGATTGGTGCCACTAAATCTATTCTGCATGTATACGTATATTTTTCATACAAGCCTCAAGTGTTTATTTATCCTTCAAACAAAAGTCTTACCTGGTGGCATCTTTCTGCAAGCGACACTGCCTTAAACTAGAAATGAAATCGGCATAGTATTCCTTGTGTACTTCTTTCAACAGTTGTTCATAGTCAGTATAAGAAAACTGTGGATCTATGTAATTATATCTCTCAGTCTTCGTAAAAATAGTCCTAAATATTGAGAAAGAATCACAATTTCATTATTTGTATTAAATGATTCTGGGTTTTCTTAGAACTATAATATATTGATTTTGCTACATATATTTTTCACCCCAAACATTCTTTTTATCACAGCTTATTATTAATATTTGACCTTGTAAAGGCAACCATAAAAATAAAACACAAACTGTAATAGCTACATTTGTAGTTTCACACACACAAATACAAACACACACACACACAAAAAAGAGGTGCAAGAAGTTGAAGGTTAATGAATTTTAGACAACTTTCAGACTGAAAAAAGACAGTAAGCTGTCATGAGTCTTAATCTACTGTGCAGTATATATAAATTATTATTTTTAAATATTATATTTGCTTAATTTGTTACCTGTATTTTTTATTCCGTTCGCTAGGCCTAATGCTGGCAGAGCGGTCATTAGGAAAAGCTATAAACGCGTCACCCTTATAATTTCTGTTTATCTTGTGAGTATGAATTTGTGTTTGGGTTGATTTAAGTATTGCCACAGGTGCAATATCAGTGCACTGTCCTGTGCCATCAGCTACAAACTGTCCAGTTGCATTGGAAATCATTGGTGTTATACCTTAAAATTCAAATAAAACACGTTACATACAATTATACTTGACCTCTCAAAACAAAATTCAAAGTACTATATCAGACAAAACATTTCATAATTTATAATTGTTCACCCAGCAACCCAACCAGCAGTTGTCCATCCTACTGTTTTCCTCAGACATGAGTACCATAATAAGAGCCAACAACTTTAGTCACAGTCAAACAAATACTGGAGCCCAAACCACTTCCATTGTGTCCAGCTGGGGCACTTTATCTTGCATGTACACACAACCAAACACTTAGAGCCACAACTGTGACGGCACTGTCTGCAGCGTCCTAAAGCTTGTCACAAGGGCTGCAAAAGCAAGTTTTTGACAAAGACTCCCAAGCTACTACAACATAAAGGAGAGCTCAAATATTTTTCAGTGAAATTTTAGAAAAGCACATATAGATCACAGAGGAAAATAATGACAGCAACAAGTCCTTGTGTTTGCTCACCTCTCCTTATATAAAGATACCTATGTTTAAAGCAGCACTAAAAATAAATAATTATTGCACTGCACCTTCCTCCCCCCACGAAAACTGATACATTAAACACAGTAGTTCTATCTACTTTAGCCTTAACCCTGATTTGTCTAAAATGGCTACAAGAATAGCTATTTTCTATAGTCCGAACTATTGGAGACACACAGGCAAGCACAAAAACACATCCACAGAGACTGGGAGAAGTGAACAAGAAAACACAGTCCGTTGATATAAGGATCTGAAAACCTTCACATTCCCCCCACACCACAATGAAACTTAAAAGCAAAACATGGGTATCAGTAGCCTATATAACAGAGATGTTCCTCATAACATCTCTATTATCCCACAAGTTGGAGCAGAATGCGGTCACTAATAGAATAAATGGTAGAAAACAGGATTTTGAAAAGCTGACAGCCACCAAGGAATATGAGAAGGAAATCAAGAAATATGACTAAAGTTTAAACTCTGATTATCACTACCATTTGAAATAAATAAATATATATATATATATACACATATACATATATATATATATGTAAAAGTATGCATATGTGTATATGGCCAAATCTTGCCTGACAAATTTGGTGGCTTCCTATGACAGGGTTACAGCATTGGCGGATAAGGAAAAGCAACTGACATTGTCTACCTGAACTTCTGCAAAGCTTTTGACACTGCCCCACACAGCAACCCTATCTCTAAATAGGACAGACATGAACTTGACAGATGTACCACTCAGTGGGCAAGGTTGCTGGATGGTTGCACCCAATAGCTCAAGTGTCCAAGCGAAGATCACTATCTAGTGTTCCTCAGGGGTCAGTACTGGGACCAGCACAGTTTGTTGGTGACACGGACAGTGGGATTGAGTGCACCCTCAGGAATTTTGCTGATGACACCAAGCTGTGCAGTGCAGTCAGCACACTGTAGTGAAGGGATACCATCCCCAGGGACCTTGATAGGCAGGCCTATATGAAACTCATGCAGTGCAGCAAGGCCAAGTGCAAGGTACTGCACCTGGGTTAGCACAATCCCAAACATGAATATAGGCTAGGCAAGGAATGGATAGAGAGCAGCTCTGCAGAGAAGGGCTTAGGGGTACTGTTAGACAAAATGCTCGGCATGGACCAGCAATGTACACCTGCAGCCCAGAAAGCCAACCGTACCCTGGGCTGCATCAACAGAAACATGGCCAGCAGGTCCAGGGAGGTGATTCTCCCCCTCTATGCTGCTCTCTTGAGACACTGCTGGGAGTGCTGCATTCAGCCTAGGGCCCCCAGCCTGAGAGACCTGAACCCATCAGAGTGGTTCTAGAGTAGGGCCACAAACAAGATCAGAGGTCTAGAACACGTCTCCTATGAAGACAGGCTGAGAAAGCTGAGGTTATTTAGCTTACAGAAGAGAAGGTTCTGGGGAGACCTTACAGCAGCCTTTCAGTACTTACAGGGGGCTTACAGGAAAGATAAGGAGGGACTCTTTATCAGAAAAGATAGTGATAGGATAAGGGGTAACAGGGTTAAGCTAAAAGAGTGTAGGTTTAGGTTAGATGCAAGGAAGAAATTATTCACTCAGAGGGTGGCGAGACCCAGGCACAGGTTGCCCATAGAAGCTGCAGATGCCCCATCCAGGGTTGCGTTCAAGGCCAGGCTGGATGGGGCTTTGGGCAACCTGCTCTGGTGGAAGGTGTCCCTGCCCATGGCGGGGTGACTGAATTTAGATGATCTGTAAGGTCCCTTCCAGCCCAAGCCACTTTATGATTCCGTATATACGTATACAATCAAGAGCTGTTTGGAAATGTATTATAAGTACGTATTTCATAAGGACTCAAAATATCACAGAATCACAGAATCACAGAATCTCTAGGTTGGAAGAGACCTCAAGATCATCGAGTCCAACCTCTGACCTAACACTAACAGTCCCCACTAAACCATATCCCTAAGTTCTACATCTAAACGTCTTTTGAAGTATGAACCAAAACGTTGATCTACAGAAATATACTTTAATAGTACTTTTGAAAGAGGAAAAACACTGATTCTGGATTTCATATAAACAAGCATCAGAAGTTCTGGGATTTATTAAAACTGTAGTTTCTCATCAATTCTTGATTGCCCTGGATATGAAATGCCTACCTGAAAGTAACTAAAAAGTCCAGTAGCTTATCAACCACTCTGATACTTGTAGAAAGAACAGCAGTTCTGTAGGCGACTCTACAGTTCATCCAGTGACTTCCTGTTTTTACTTCCCCTCAATACTTTCAGTGAATAAAATGGATAGCGTCTTTCTGTTTTTCCATTAATCAACACATCTTCAAGTGGGCAGCAGTATGTTAAGGAATATTCAGCTACCCTCCTCTAATTCATCTACACACAGAACTCAGATGCGCCACTATACAGCACAGTGCTGTTGCACTAGTACTACCTGCAGATACTACGGCACATTTGATGCCACAAAAAAGTCATTTTTCCATGACTGGTTTTAAACTCCAGCAACAGGCTTAGTCAAATCTACTGTTGAGTGGTTGTTCATCAAACAAATTGGGAACATGATAACACGAGGAAAAATTTATCAAGAGGCCAACTACTGTATCACCTGAAATACTTTCATGCTGTCATAGGCTTCATCAGATGGGAAGAACCAATGGATACAGCCAGCTAGCAGGCAGTATTAACTGGCAAATTCATTTGGCAGTAGTGACTTACAGCCAATAAAGAATACCCTGTTCTCCATCTAACTTTTTTTCCCCTGTGCTTTACCTCTCTCTGTTGAAAACTTGAGCATATTAGCACTGTGTAATGGCACCTGTCAAAAACTGAAACCTTCATTTTCTGATGTATAAAAGTTAAATAAACATACGATGAAAAATAATTAGGAAAATGCTTTAGGAATTCAATTTTTGTTAAAATACAAACCATTTTTTCTTGCCATCAATTAATAGTTTTTTGGGGTATACATTTTGCAGCTGAGCATTCTCTCAACTCCCAAGAGAAATTACTTTTTTAAAAAACTAAAGTAGTAAGTGAAAAAATCTTTCCAAAAATGTTAAAAAAGTGTACTTCTAAAAGTGTTTTATCACATTGCACTTATCTTTTTAGTATCTTACCAGGATTAATCTTGAATAGAATGTTTTTTGGCTTAGATTTGCACACACCAATCAAGCTCAGGTATATTTGGTGAAAAGATTTTGTCTTCGAAACCTGTAAATTGTTTTCTAGTCCTGTACCAATGATATCAACAACTTGCTTCACTTTAAATGTTCCTATTTGATGCGGAGAAAATGAAAATATCACATCCTGTAAAAGAAAAGTTATGAGACATGATGAAGGAAAGAAAAGCAAGTAAATTGTATAATTACCTATTTGAGTTACTTCCCTTCCCAGTTACTCCTAAAGATCTGTATTTAACCCCGTGCTTTAAAAATACGCCAGTGGCTACACTTAGCCTAGCAATATATGTATCATGCCACAAATTAGAACATCATCAAATTCTTGCTAACTCACTTCTGAGACACACTGTTCTCTTGCTTCCTGAGTTAGAGTTCTGTTAAATTATAAATGCCTCCATATTCAACTTAAAATTAACATAGCTTCCTCCGTTGAAGAAATACGTTACTCAGGTATTTGTGATTAAGTGAAGGAAATGAAAATAATCCTAACAAAGGTTTGAGTCTAAATTACTCTGCTCAAGTCAGTAAAATTCCCCCCAAAAAAGTAAAGCCAGGCAAAACCTGCATCAAGTTTCCTTATTATTACAATTATCTTTTCCATATTAAAAATAATACCTGTTGCTTCCTGAAGTACAGATAAGAGCATTAAATGACTCTACGAAAACAGGAAAAAAAAAAAAAACATTTGGCTGATATTAAATATCATGGAACTATTCTATTTTAATTAAAAAATATATATATATAGTACTGACCCATGTAGAGTAAAATAATCTCTTTGTCTACATAATCTGTGGGAAAGAGGTAATTACCTTTGTAGAACATTTTTTTATTTTTCCTTTTTCAGGAGAAATATTAAAGTGAGCAGTCTTGCGGAAACTGAATTTTACTGGAAGGGACTCAGATTCATTTTTGAGTGTGCACACAACTTGTGTTTGTTCACCTGAGAAACAGTCCATAAACTTAATAACTGGTCCTGGATTAAAAGTTAACATGACAGGAATCCCAGAACCTTTCAGAGCCAGCTCAGTGTGATGAGGATGATTCACTGTATTAGAAAGACACATACACACATTAAATAGTAATGAAATAAAAAACACAATAAACCTTGTCACTTGTTTTAGCTAACAAGCAGAAAATTCATACTATATTTGTACGGTTGCAAAAGCAGAACCATACAGTTATACAGTATGATTTATGATGCAGTCTTCTATAAACTTTGAACTCAGGCTTACTTATAATGGCAGCTAGGTACTGTATTGTTCCTTCATTAAGAAATCTGAGGATGAACAGATACTCGCTTGAAAACACAGAATTATTACCAAAGTGCTGGTGACTTGCAAACAGCTGCTGTTTTTTTTGTTTGTTTGTTTGTTTGTTTCCTCTCCCCTCTATTCCAAATATTTACCATTACATTTAAGATTTAGGCATACACTACTAGTTCTTCTTTCTACTCGTGATTAGAACTGTTTTTTGTGCTGAGGCTTAAAAGATGTATTTTTTTTTTTTAATTGATATAAGATAGACACAAGTTTCCCATAAAATTAAGAAGTGGAAGATTAAGAAACAAAAATCAAGATATACAATCTTATCATCCAGATATACATTTCTGATAGTGACTATATGTTTCTGTAACATACTTGTGATCAGTGTGGTATCATCACCACAAGCCTTCAGATAGCCATCTTTATTCCCAACAACCTCAAATCTCAGAAACAGTACATAATCTTGTTTTGGTGACAAGTCATTCACTCCAAAGGCCTTTTTAAATTTCCTGTAAGAATCACAATATCTAATTACTAGACAAAAGAAAAAAGGAAAAAAAAAAAAACATTTTTCATCATCTAATTCAGCTGTTGCTATCAATTACAGCTTTAAATGACCTTTACACTTCAGTTCAGAAAACGGGAAAGTAACAAATTTAACCGAACACTATCTATATGACTATGCTACTAGTCATTTGGTATCTTTTTCATTTGCATACATCTACAAAAGTTTTCTATAAGTGATTCATGTGCGTGTAATCTTTAAAGAAGAGTTTCAGTAAGAAAATTTGCTTTTTCAATTTATTCTTTTTCTCCCCCTTGCTTGAAGGAGAAATGTTCCTTTACGTCTACTATTTTGTAATTTCAAGGAAAGCTTGCAAATGTTTCGTTCTCCTGGTAATGAAATATCTATTCTTTACTATTGCTGCACATACGCGACATCTTCATGAAATAAGTCTGCACTCCTGGAAAAGACATTTAATTTGACACCACACGACTCAACAATCTTTAGAGATTCAACATACTTAATTGGAGAAGTAATTAGTTCCCTTTGCAAAAAATCTAATAAAATTCTTCAGCTTAAACAAGCTGAACCAATTCCTGGTTCAAAGGCATCCTTAATGAATTATAAGACATCTCCCGGATAATCACTTCTGACTTGGCTTTATCATTTTTAGTATCACACCAAGGAATTTCTTTTAATACACATAAGTATCAAGTAATTAAAAAAATCTGCATATTAACTTAAAATGATTTCTCTAAACTATTATGTAAAAAGACGTGGTAGAGAAGCAAACTTTTTTTTTTTTTTTTTTTTTTTTTGGCTTGTTTGTAATTTGGACTATTAATAACTCACTTTGGACTAAAGCACAATGTAAGAAAAGACTTCTCATAAGGTAGTAAGGTTCCTTGATTGGGAAAGCACAGGATCAAAGTGGAAACATTTACATCTTCTGTTTTATTTATGAGGCTTAAATCTTGTAAAACAGCATCTGCACTCCTCTGAAGATCTGTTCCCTAAATAAAAAAAAAATAATCAAAGTATGGATATATCAACAGTTCAGCCTGCTCTACCTACCCTTTTGTTTTGCTTTTTTCCCCATGCATGGTTTCACATCTTTCAAAACAAATAGAAAGACATAATGTAAATAATGCCAGTAAGACATAGTTCCATATCACTCAGCTAATTAACTACTTCTATGTCAATGTTTTTAATTCCCTTTTTTATAAAACATGATGCTTACTCAAGATTACTTCACTGTCAGAGAAAAGCAAGTGAAACTAAGCATTTAACACCTTGGAAAATCAAAATGTGTTTTGACAACTCCTATATAGCTTCATCATAACAAATCCACTAAATCAAGCATAACCATTCCTGAAAAAATAAAAAAGAAAAAAAAAAGAGACTGGGTGGACAATGAGGGAAAACATACTTAACATCATTAATGCTACGGTGTCACACAGTGAAACAGAAATACTGAAAAAAAATAATTCCAAGGTAAATATATAGTAAACAATTTGCTGATTGGACAGAAGTGACAGGAAGTTTATTGATCAGGAAATAGCATGACATAGAAAACACTGCTAGAAGATGAATGTTGAGAAAAAGAATGTAAATGCGGAAATAAAAACGAGTCTTCAACTAAACTGAATTTAAAATAAAGAACATTTTCTTACCATCTCTCCTCCAATGCTATTGTCTTCCAGTATTGCTACCCAGTCCATAGACTCTGGACTTCTATTGTATAAACATATTTGTTCAGTCTTTGAAGACCCAAAGTAAACTGATCCAAAATTAATGCATTCCAATACATTTCCAGAAGACACTCCTAGAACTTTCAGAATTTGTTCAACCACAACAGCTTTGATCCATACTTCAGTGCAGCCACGTCCTTCCAACTCCACTCTGTCAGTAACAGTAGCATATAACAGGTAATGTACAAAAATGTTAGAAACAATCAATTTGTTTTATGCAAAACTAAATCAAATCAAAGCATTTCAACACAAATTGTCATCTCTCCATAGATAACCTAAGCAAAAAAATGTGTACTAGACAATACAACACCTAATAGATATATATCCAATCAGAAGGAATCACACATTAAAATGTGAGGTTTGGGGGAGACTTCTTCAATTTTCACTTTTTCCTTCCCCCTACTTTTCTTTGTTTTGTTGGAAGACTGTTATTTGAAACAATAGGAATAACATCTCAAAAGAATCAGAGATGTCCACAGATGATATATTGTTTTTTTTACCTCTGACAATTGTTGTGTCTAGCTCCCTATTTTGGTGTATACTTAGCAATTTTCCTCTCAGGCAACTGGGGAAGAAGTTCATCTGAGAAAGCACAGAACTGCTGTTATTCCTTCCTGAATGCTTATTCACGATGATAGCACAAAACCCGAAGGGTCGTACAGACACTGTACAAGTCTAAACTAGACTGCAGAAGGCAGTGGCTGCTTAACCAACATGGGGTGAGGAAGACAGTAGTAGTACCCTGGAGTTCAAAAATGGAAAGGCAGAATGTGTGACACTTTGCAATCAAAAGGTTGAAACTCAATAACCGGAGAAACACATTCCATATGAAGGTGGATGCAATTGTGATGCCAAATACAGATATAGGCTCCTCTGTCAATAACTAATAGAACTCTTCTCTTTTAATTTAATTTCCTTTTCCAGAGGGCTACAAAATGCAAGAACAGGAAAAAGAGCTCAACTTTAAGTCAAAGATCTTCTTAATTTAAGTAACATAACGAAACAGAACAGGAAAAAATAACACACATACCCTTTTTGCTACTAGAAGAATATAGGATTGAAAAGGGCTTTCCAGATTTGTATCAACTCCAAATTCTGACGCTGCCTAAAAAGTCTATATTTACAATCTGAAAGAAGACTAGGTGCAAACATAAAAACAGTGTATTCTTGAAAGTGTTAATGGTTATGAACAGATTCCTTCTGTTGAAAATAAGATACACCAATGGACATCATAATGTTTTCTGAGACTAGTGAAACACATCCAACCAAAAGAAAAAGAGCAAAGTTATAGAAATCCAGAAAAAATTGGTGGTGTGGAAGGTACAG